ATTTACCCTCGTTTCCTAGTTAGAGGAATTGGCCCTCCTTACCTAGTTAGAGGAATTGTCCCCCGTTACTTAGTTAGAGGAGTTGATTCTCGTTACTTAGTTAGAGGAATTGACCCCCGTTACTTAGTTAGAGGAATTGACCCCCGTTACTTAGTTAGAGGAATTGGCCCTCGTTACCTAGTTAGAGGAATTGTCCCTCGTTACCTAGTTAGAGGAATTGTCCCCCGTTACTTAGTTAGAGGAATTGACCATCGTTACCTAGTTAGAGGAATTGACCCCCGTTACTTAGTTAGAGGAATTAACCCCCGTTACTACGTTAGAGGAATTGACCATCGTTACCTAGTTAGAGGAATTGGCCCTCAGTACCTAGTTAGAGTAATTGGCCCTCGTTACCTAGTTAAAGGAATTGACCCCCGTTACCTAGTTAGAGGAGTTGGCCCTCAGTACCTAGTTAGAGTAATTGACCCTCGTTACCTAGTTAAAGGAATTGACCCTCGTTACCTAGTAAGAGGAATTGGCCTTCGTTACCTAGTTTGAAGAATTGACCCTCATGATTTTGATCCGATTGTTTGAGATAAGGAAAATGACATTTATTTCTAAGAAAGGGGAAGTGGCATTCGTTTCCAAATAAAGGATAAACATGTAAATACCACGTTTTATACAAGTTTAGAACTAGATACACGAGGACTAGCTCCATAATTCAATAGGCTCCGTAATTTTCCTAATATTTATCTAAACGGGTTGCTTGAAATAAAGGACTTTTAGGTTCAATCTTTGCTGTGGTACCATACCAATCGCTTGGAACATCTCAAGGTAACCGGTTTCAAATGAACAGTAAGATAATTTGATTAATAAAACAATTCAATTCATGAAAAGGAGTGAAACGAAACAATATAACACACAAACAGTTTTGCCAGTATTGAAAAGTCTTACAAGTACAAGATAAGACACACAATGATAATCATCACTCATTTGGAAGGTCGTTCAAGCTGTTTAACCACTTACCACACATGTTAACAATACTGTATATTTTCGATGCCAACAAAGCAAATTATTAAATGATAAATTAGTGTTACGTCATGAGTCTTTTTTCATTTTCTGATAGATGTGACCTGAAACTTCCCAGAATTAACTTTCATGCTGTTCGACCAAAATCGAGTAACATTTTCTGATTAAACTTTAAAACTGAGAAAACATATTTTAAGCAGAACACGTTCTGTAAACAACAAAGAATATATCGGCATGTCAACAGAGTCTAACTCAAACTCAAATTCCATGAAACCAAATTAAAATATGATCAAATGAACGATTTATAGGAAGATCCATTAAAAAAGAAATCTTGGTCAGTGTAAAAAATAAAAATTCCCAAAAAAGAGCGAGGTCAACAACGGGACCACCTGGCATACTAATGAGCATCAAACACGTCAAACAAGTGATGTTTACAAGTAAACGCCATTGGATTGGGAAGCAGCGATATTGCTGTCTAGAAATGGGAAATTCATAACAGCGAAATCGAAATCATCCCACTTATCATACATCCTTGATTTCCAGTTTTGGTGAGTTTATATCTTGTTCAATAAACTTCTTGTCTTTTAAAGACAACACATCAATTATTAAAAAAAAATGAAATTGAAGGACTTGATAAGGTTTGTGTAACCTGATTTGATAAGTTCTTTGGTAAAATCAGTATCGTATGAAAACATAGACATGTCAGCCAAGAGCAAGTCGCTTTTTATTTCCATATGTACTCAAATAGCCTGCTAGAAGATATTACCACCGAACTCGACAAAGCTATTGTCAACCAAAACTTCTATCATCTTTACAATTTCTGCCTCGTGTTATTTCCTTTTTACTTGACGAAATACGCTCCAGAAAAGTTAACGCCGTAAACATCACTTTTAAAATCGTCTTTCATATTTCAGTTGGCTGAAAGTATGCCATTTTTTAATGTAAGTACAACGAGTGAAAAATATCATCGCTGGAGAATGCTGGTATTCCTAGTCTGGAATGGGGTATGGTATTGTACACAATGGAAAAATAAAATGTTCTCATAGAAGTACTGTTATTAAGGAGACTGTTCAAAATTGATCGAAAATTCGTGAAATTCTTAAACATATTTAAGGTGAGTTGATGTCATTCTTCAACAAAGACTGCTGGTGATTTGTTTGCAGTCTATTTCCAAATATACAGGAATAAGTCCTCAGGGTTCTGTAAGTATGACTTCACATTTCGCTTTCAGACTAAATAACCTGAACCGACGTGAAACTTGCTGTTTAAAGTTTACATGTATTTTCTCAAAAGAAAACATTATACCTTCGAAAGAACACAACTTTTGTAAATTACAAACATTTTAGAACAGTCGTTGACTACATGCAGTTTGGATGGCAAATACATAATGTTTACTGGTATTTAAAACGGTTGAAGAATTTACAGATTAAAATGTGAGAATACTTCAAAGAATGAGAGAATCATTGGTCATGTCTTTTTTTATTTGTCCTTGTACATCAAACCGAGTGAAATGCACTATAGAACTAATTCAAGGTAACAAGTCAATCGGATTTCAAGAGAATAAGTATGCGTCAGAAATTTACGCACGAACGGTGGGGTGACCCTTGAAGCATGTCGACCAATTGACTGTAATTAAAGTTAAAGTGAGGAAATACGGGGCACTGTCAACCAGTTGAATTAATTAAATTTATTTTGTGCTTGTCTTTACTTAAACAAAATAACTCGATCACTTAAGATTCAGCGTGACAGTATATTCTTGTACGGAATTTGCACTAGTAATATTTTTCACTCGGTGAAATTATGTAAGTGAAATGCACTGGTTTTGACCACATGTATGACTTAAGGATGAGAGTGATAAAGTGCGTATAGTTTTTAAATGTCTCACTGCGCAATGAACGGCAATAAAACAATCTTCTGATCGATGTATGAAGAAAAGTTAAAATACAGGAAAAAAGTATAATTCTCTTTTCTGACCCAAGTGTTTAGTTTGATTAAATGAACTTAACGAGGAAAACTAAGTTGCTAGTTAATCATTGTGCTCTCTCAAAGATAGTACGGTAAAGAGATCAGTTGTTGTTGTTGAGGAATTGAGAGGTAGCAGGATTCCTTTTGAATCTCTTAACTGTATTTTTGACACGCACGTGCAAACGGATGTCTAGATGACAGAAGTTCTGACTCTCAACAATTATGTCGACTCTTGGTAGTCAGGAGTCAAATAGAAATATTGTAACGTTATGAAATGGTATCGATAAGCTACAAAGAAACATTCCAAATTCAGAATTTGAAGCGTCCTCGGTTGAAGGGGAATCAAATTCACCGTGCTCGACTTGCATTTCGTTTCTATTGTTTTCCTTTTTAAGTATTTTTTTAAAATTAAGTAATTAATGACGAGAAATCATAACATCAGATTTCAAGTGACGTAGACAAGTGTAATTATACAGCTTATTTCGCTTACAGTGCTTCTGTCCAGTCCGGGTTTCAAGCTCGTCCTGTTTCCATCTGCCCAGCCCCTAGTCGGCATCAGCAATAATTCGATATTTGATATGGAAGGCGATTTTCTAATTCTGTATTATTGAGAGGTATTATCGATTGTCTTTTGTACAATCCATTAATAAGGGGCATTATCTCCGCGATACGATAGGATGACCGGCTCCATAAATAAATCGTTACTGACTCAATCCTAATTCAGTAAAACAATGTTTTATTTCAGGAAGGCATATTAAACATCCCCAATCCTACTTCAGAGAGTGTAGCCGACTCTGTATTTTTCAAGCCTCGTATTATTTACATTTTACCGTGTTTCATACAAATGTAGGCTTTCAGTTCAATCTTTTTCATAAATCGATAAATGTGTGTAATGAGAATGAGAAGACGGTAAATTGTGTTCGTTCTACTTAAAACTACGCACATTTTGAATTCGAGTCAAATAGGTGCACACACGAGGATAATGGAGGCAAAATCTGCTACAGAAATCGGTCGCTGGGTATGTTACGAATTTTCGGCCCGTCACTTCATCTATTTACAAAACTTGAACAGTGATTTATATATAGAATCACATGGTATGGCTATGTAATCAGTCATATCATTATCTCAGTGCTGTAGAGGTCCCTAGGGCCTGTACCACCTGTCTCTTCGTTCACCATCTACAGACATCGGCAGCGATCCCGGATGTCTTTTTGAACCAAATAAGGTTTCTTATTCAAGTTTATAGATAGGAAAAAGGAGCGGATTGTGTTGTAGTCCGAAACTGAATAAGATTGTGTACTTTTTGATGACTTTGAGCTTTCTGAGGTACATTACTTAAAGGAAGGCGAAACACGAGTGAAGAAGTAGTTCGTAGACTAGTGATTACTGAAGGAAAAAATCACGAAGAAATTCAGATACTATGTAAAGAAAGAAAATTCCGAGTTAGAGACAAAACTGCATAAAATGTCCAAGACCTTTTCAGGAAAACAATATCAGACTGAATGACATACTGATACAACTTATTCACAACACTATGTTTTCATACGACAAGAGTAATATAAAGCACATGTAGTATAGACTGACCACCCATCCTATTCACTGGACCTAAGTTCTCTCTGGGAATAAGTACTATCCTGCAGGGCTGAAGATTATTTCTTGTCTCGACTGTATACTGAAGGGAGACTACCGTGCAATGTTAAGGACATGGATAGAGGGACTGTGTTTGTTTCTATGGATTAGAGTGGTGGGGTACTATAAGAGACTGTAACAGAAAAAATAATATCAATTATCCATTAGATTTACGACATTAAGGATTCACTGAATGACTCTCATATTGTAGTGGAATTGAAATCTATGTTTAGACTAATCTGTTTTATTGTTTTTATATATATATATATACCCATGTAGAGTCATATATTATGAAGTGAAAGGATGATGATGATGATGATGATGATGATGTATAACTCAAACAAAAATAGCACAATACTCATTTTATTTTCTTATTCAAAATTTCTCATGACATTTGAGATAAACATTTAACTTCTCTAAGTAATAAAAACATCTCGAGAAACTTTGAATTGGGATCTTAACGGGTGAATAGAGAAAAAACATTTCATTTCAGAAAAAAAAATCACATTTTAATCTTTATTTTCTAAAGGTACTGACCCACCTTTAGTAAGACAAACAAGACTGGCCAAAGTAAACAAACACGACATAAAAAAAATTCTGTACGAAACAATGCCTTCCATTTCATAACTTTATATTTCCATGTAAATGCAGTGTGTTGGTTTGCAGTCCATCCTGAGTGTTATGAATATCTATGGTAACTGATATGGTCCCTGGGAAGCTATAGTCAGCATTTGTGTATCTAAAATGTTATAAAATGTTATTTAGAAAGATGATTCTATTTCGAAGGTCTGAACTAAGCTGTACACATCAAAACTTTTGGAATACTACAGCTTGTGCTTGGTGTCTGCAACATGAATACCCCTGCCAGTGACCGAGGACAAGATTGATACTTTTCAGTGTTATTGGCTTTGTAAAGAAGGATCCTCAATCCTCACGACTTATGGCATAAAACAGAAGCCCTGTCTGCACAACTTTTTTTTAATCCAGCTGGAGTTACCATTTTTTAAAGACATTATGACTGGCAAGGATGTGAGACTGAGGTGGAAGGGACATTAAATATATACAGGTATTAAAGAGCTGGTGATCTCTGTCTTCCTACTCGGGTGAAAACAAATCTTTGCTGTCACTTGTTCCACACATCTGAGAAAGCGAGGATGTTCATAATACTTTTGGCAAAATATTTAGAAATTGTATATCAACAAGGACTTTCTACTTTATCAGTTGAAGCTAAATACAATATATTTGTAGAAAGACTTAAATGCTGCATTTTTTGTGTCCATTAAATACTTTTTACTTCATGAAGATAATTCTTGCTAATTCTCTGTCGCTGATCATTCATAGTGTTGTTGATTTATCACCAAGCATTTTTCTACTTTCAGTTCTAGGTAATTTGCTCTCCTGTACCAGCTTGTTGTATTAAAGATGTATCTGGATTCTTTCTCAAGAGATTTGGTCGAACACTACAAGATATGTACATCTGTATAATATCTATCATGATATACAAACAGGTAAACAATGTACAATAGCTGGTAACTGTTACATTGAAACAATAGTAAAGTATGCTAATTTAATATAACATACTCTATCTCTATTATATAAACAGGAAAAATAAAAACACAATTTCTTTTTCATAAACATACTTTCATGATGCCCAAGACTGAAGATTATGGGCAGGTCTTTATTTGTTCCAATATTCTCTTTCCCTGAATAAACACGGGGCTGCATTTACAAGGAGAGGTGTGCTTATTATGTTGAATATGGTCTCTTATGTTACCATTTATTGTACTTAATACACAAACAACTCAGTCACAGTGATGTTAGTGGGGATTTTGGATCAATGTTTCTGAAAAATCATCACCAATGAATTTCAATGATTGTAACTGTTTAACCAATATCAAGGAAAATACTCTGAAAATTGAGTATCTTCTATAGCACACCAGAGTTCAATTTTCCACAGAATACATTCCCTAACATATCAGGTATAGATAATCAATTACCCTAGTACATAACATCAATATTTGATAAGAATAAAAAAAACTGAAAAAACTTTATTTTTTCCCCATGGGGATCTCTATCAATTGAAGGTGGATGTATACTGGGACCATGCAGATTTTTTTAAGCTGCTTGTTCATCTTTTCCAAGTACAAGTATCATCTTTGATAATGGTCTTTCCATAATGGCTAAACCCTGAGGTACATTGGAAGTTTATAAGATATAAAAAAAGTTGGGCAACAACATGACAATCTGTGAGGTAAACACCTTTGTTCATGAATTAAATACTGGACAGGATCTTGTCAGAACATTTATCATTTACTGTTAGGAATATGTATATATGACAAAATTTTTTTATCACATATCTCTATAAAATTATCATTTACAGTCTTCAGGCCAAACAAAAAATGTTTACCAACATGTTACAGGAAACACATATATTTTTTGCTTGGTTGATCATAATTACCAATAACAGTAGAACATGCGTAATAAATTACCCTATATTTTAAAGCATACTATCGGAAACCAATTAGTTTTTTGGTCTGATGCCCTGCAATTGCACTCACAGCTGTGACTGAGATTAAAGAGATGAAACCTGAGTATCATGTAGTATAAACGAGAGGTTTGGAAACAACACTAGTCATATCGTCTATATACTGTTCATGAAATTCTGGAACTGGATCTACATTGCTTATATTTCCTGGTGGTATGCTCTGAACATCAGCAGTTTCCTCGTCATTACACGATAATGCACAATAAATATTAGGTTGCTCCTGTTCAGATCCTCCCAAGCCTTCAATAGTACTTGTGTTTGGTACTTCTGCATTTGTCACAAGCTGTTCTCGACTCTGCATAGTGGAGTCTCCAAGTGATGTAGATTCATAATAATTATGTAAATCAGGTTCTGGTGCACTACTATTATTGATTAATTCTGTCTGATTTGGAACAAACAGAACAGAAGTTCTTTGTCCTTCTTGAGTTTCCGAAGAATTTGCTAAATTGATGTCAACTTGAGTTTTTCCCTGCATTAGGAAGTCTGATGTACAAGAATTTGTGTAACCAGCACTACCAGAACTACTTGCTGGTGTTAAGTTAATATCTATCAACTCTGTCACATTTTCATTAGAAACAGGTTGTTGAGAAGTTGAAGGAACGTTGACTGAGCTGTCCTTCTCAGGTTGAATTTTATACACATGTATGACTGTTTCCTCACCAGGTGCAGTGGGGCGATTGTAGACCAGGATTAGCGGCTCGTTAACATTATCGCCAATGAGAGCAGCCTGCCCAGAAGTCTGAAGCAGCTGGACTAGCTGTTCTGTATTGGTACCGATGTCCACCACCGGCATACCTGACTGCTTCACCATGACATTTTCTACATGTGGCCTGTCAACAGCTGGTGGAACAGGGTTACTTCCCTTACTCATGTTCATCAGGATCTCCACAATTTCATTGGATTCCTCGACACCTGCTGCCACATTTTGGGAGCTGTATAAAACAGAATTCATTATACGCATTAAAAATAAACTGCACGCATGATCATGAAAACAACGAAAATACATCCCAGGTAATTCAGAATAAAGAAAACAATTATTTCAGTACAATGAGAACCACAGCACTACAAATGTAAGGTGCCATCTCAATTCAAGAATACAACAGATAAAGGGCCACAATTTTTAAAAGGGTTTAAAATTTCAAACAATATTAATACACTTATTCAGATACATATATGCAAATTATCATGAGAATAGGCAAAATTCTATCGGTATATCCATTCATATCTACTTATGACTGCTATTTCATCATTTGTATTACATTCACAACTAAACCTTGACCATCCTTGATACTCCAGGGGTTGAATTGAAGGCACAAGAAAATAATGTGATTGATTCAAAGAGAAAAAAATGACCATTCTCAGGCTGATTGCTACTTTTGAAGATTACAAAGAAACAACACCCAACTTCAAAGCCATTACAATATATGTTATGTGACCTCGACATTTCTTTGATGTACATCAAAAGATCAACCTTCAATTTTGCGAGTTCCAGGGGTGCAGAGTGTGAAAGTGATTGTAACCTCTGGAGTATCGTAGATGAACTTTGATTTGGTATAAATATAAGTCTTCTGGGCTTATTGTTACAAGGTGAATGGAGAGGTCATGATAAAATCATGTCTGTATATGAGTCATTACAACAACAAGAGGTATAAAGGGCTTGTGCAAACATGGTGAATATTCATGTTAATCTCCTTATTGTAACAATATACATTGACTCTAGAACTCCCAAATGTGAGGTTACAATTTACTGCAAATTTTAATTTCATCAGTAACCCATCCATGAAATCATCAATGGTTGCCTTTAATGTGCATCCATACTCTATAAAGATGTGATAATTAATTGATCAAGTATATCTAAAAGGTATTCAAACTTTCAATGATTGATGTGAGACAAAAAGAAAAGTCTCTGCAAAAACTATAAACTTGAAGGTTCACTACCATTATTTTATATTTGGAGTAGCCTATACTGATAGCTTAGTTAAGATAGTAATTCCTCTCCTCTGTTGGATGTCACAGCAATTTTATACAGCTACACAAAATGTTGCTGCCAAATAACAATGAGACAAATATTGCAGTCTAGTGTTAATCACAGATAAAAAAAAATGTCTACAATACAATTTCATGTCATCAGTATACAGTTTTCAAAAACATCATGCCAAATTTTAAAATGCTAGGGTCATGCATAACAAGTAAAGTCAATATTATGTGTTTAACAATGCCATCTTGACATATATCAGTAACGGTGTCGCTGGTAATAAACTCGTCTGTATAGTACAGACAATAAACCTGTCAAATTATACCCAAAACCAGTAACTTTCTGAACAATATATTTACCTACATGCAGCATTCATCTGCATCCTGCCTACATTTCCAAGAAAGTTATATATAATAAAAGAGAAAGTGAAAATTATCCCTACATCCTACATCCTCAATACTCCTTGGGTTATGATTACTTCCACTCTCTGCACCCCTAGAACATTTCATGGCAAAATTGAAGGTTCCATGTGTAACACCTTGCGCATAAGTCGAGAACAATACTTTGATCCTTTGATGTACATCAAACGGATCTCAAGGTTGCACAACGATAAGTTGTACTGGCTTTGAAGTTGGGTGTTATGCCTTTGTAATCTTCAAAGGAGAGTATCAGTCAGTGACTGGTCAGATTTTACTCCTGAAACCCACTCTCAACCAATCGACTTTCATGGAGTCTTAAATTTTGCCATGAAATTTTAGGGGGTTGTAACTCCTGCAGTATCAAGGGTGCATGACCTGAAAGACTTGAAAGTTGTCCAAGTATTGATTTTTTTTTTCAAATTAAATTATTTATCTGTATCATCAAAATATTAAATAAATATCTGGTGCACTGATACTTCTATGCTTTTTATTGTTAAAGTGATAGGTATCATTTACTGAATCAATTAAGTACCATTTACTGAATCAATTAGGTACCATTTACTGAATCAATTAAGTACCATTTACTGAATCAATTAGGTACCATTTACTGAATCAATTAAGTACCATTTACTGAATCAATTAGGTACCATTTACTGAATCAATTAGGTACCATTTACTGAATCAATAGCTATAATATCAAGAAATAATGGGATAATTAATGGTTTCTAGGTCTACAAAAGTGTATGATGATAATCACTCATTATTATCCAAAATCATAGCTTTTCAAAACTAGATAATCTGAAAACCAAAATAAACTTCAAATGAGAAAAGCAATAACTAGAGACTGATGTAAGGATCATCATACTTCTAGATCTGCATTTCAGTAATGTTAATCAGTCAAGGGAAGTAACTAGCCTGCTTGTTTTCATCATACAGGGGAGAAAACTCAGTCATAAAAATCTCTAGGTGATTATAGGGGATTAAGTGCACCCTCTTATACCCCCATAATAACTTGCAATAAATAAGGAAGAAAAATGAAAAATCATGAATATGTTGTATAAGTTGATCATTCAGATCATGTTACCTGTTTCGTGATGCCAATAAACGTCTGCGTGCTTCTTCGACTTGCTGTCGTTTCTGAGCAGCTTTCACTGCTTCATCTTCTTCTGAACCTTCCTTATCTTTATAATAATATCTCCCTGAAAATGTGAGATAAAATTTTGTATACAGATTTATTTTCAACTCAACAAATGGTTTTGATACTAACAAGTTTTAAAACTTTTTTTTCTATTACAATATCCCTGTGAAATGTAAATTGACATTTACTAGAATCACCAGCTCTGAAAATCACCAGCTCTGAAAATCACCAGTTCTGAAAATCACCAGCTCTGAAAATCACCAGTTCTGGAAATCACCAGTTCTGAAAATCATCTGATAAGAAATGTGTAGGCAACATAAACACATCCTCTCAAGAATATTATCTTTAACACACTTAACTAACCATCATGAATCACCAGATCAGTAATGATCACTTAGCCAAATGACAAAATTGGTGATCTTTCAACGCTATTCTTGCCTGGAAATGTTTGCCATTCATACAGTATATATCATATACACAGAGCCCTGCATAACTTACCAAACAGGAAAAACACAATAATTGTCCAAGTGATTTAGATTAAAAAAAATGAAAATCATAATTTTTGTATTTAATAATAAACCTTATCATATATTATAACAGGTAGGGTCTAAGAAACTCCTTAATTCCTGTGTTTTATCATCTAATATTATCACAGAGAGGGTCTTACATAATTCCTTCATTTACATGTTTAATATGTGATATCATCACCGACAAGGTGTAAATAACTCCTTAATTTGTGTGTTTTATATCTGATATTATCAAAGAGAGGGTCTACATGATTCCTTCATTTACATGTTTAACATGTGATATCACAGACAAGGTGTAAATAACTCCTTAATTTGTGTGTTTTACATCTGATATTATCACAGACAGGGTGTAAATGACTCCTTAATTTGTGTGTTTTATATCTGATGTTATCACAGACAGGGTGTAAATGACTCCTTAATTTGTGTGTTTTATATCTGATGTTATCACAGACAGGGTGTAAATGACTCCTTAATTTGTGTGTTTTATATCTGATGTTATCACAGACTGGGTGTAAATGACTCCTTAATTTGTGTGTTTTATATCTGATATTATCACAGACAGGGTGTAAATGACTCCTTAATTTGTGTGTTTTATATCTGATATTATCACAGACAGGGTGTAAATGACTCCTTAATTTGTGTGTTTTATATCTGATATTATCACAGACAGGGTGTAAATGACTCCTTAATTTGTGTGTTTTATATCTGATATTATCACAGACAGGGTGTAAATGACTCCTTAATTTGTGTGTTTTATATCTGATATTATCACAGACAGGGTGTAAATGACTCCTTAATTTGTGTGTTTTATATCTGATGTTATCACAGACAGGGTGTAAATGACTCCTTAATTTGTGTGTTTTATATCTGATATTATCACAGACAGGGTGTAAATGACTCCTTAATTTGTGTGTTTTATATCTGATATTATCACAGACAGGGTGTAAATGACTCCTTAATTTGTGTGTTTTATATCTGATGTTATCACAGACAGGGTGTAAATGACTCCTTAAGTTGTGTGTTTTATATATGATGTTATCACAGACAGGGTGTAATTGACTCCTTAATTTGTGTGTTTTATATCTGATTTTATCACAGACAGGGTGTAAATGACTCCTTAATTTGTGTGTTTTATATCTGATATTATCACAGACAGGGTGTAAATGACTCCTTAATTTGTGTGTTTTATATCTGATATTATCACAGATAGGGTGTAAATGACTCCTTAATTTGTGTGTTTTATATCTGATATTATCACAGACAGGGTGTAAATGACTCCTTAATTTGTGTGTTTTATATCTGATATTATCACAGATAGGGTGTAAATAACTCCTCTCAGAATCTGATCTACATGATGATATATATTTGTCAATGGAACATATTATGAGAGATTGGGAATCAAAGACAAAGAGTTATTAGGTGAAATGATGCTGTTCTGCACACCAAATCATGGTCTACTTTTACGGACAGTAAAATAAATTGATCTTCTCTTATCTATAAGTGTTTATTGACTTACATTCTTTTGTCATTTTCTTGGCAGATTTTTCCACAGTTTTATTTTCCTTTTTGGCTCGTTTTGTTTTGCGTGCCGGTTTAGTTATCTCTTCCTCAGCCTCCGCCTCCTCTTGAAACACAGCCATATTGAAAGGCTTTTTGTTGCCTGAATAGAAATATACAGGTCATCGTTTCCATAAGTGATAAGAAATTGTTTAAATACCAGTTTTTCAACACATTTTATCTGTAATTTTGGAAGTTTCAGATGAGTTGATCAAAATTTCATTGATTCTGGATATAAAGGAACTTCTGACAGATAAATTTTTCGCAGATTAAACATCTCTTTGATTAAGTGAGGTTTTTATCTACATGCTGAAGGATTGAACAGCCAGTGTATTCCTGCCTTCAACTCTTCGAAAACTTCATATGTGATCACAAATTTATCTTTTATTATATGAAAGAAGAACATCACTCACGTAAAGCTGCCTCCACTTTGTCTCTGTTCTTCTTGTCTTCAAGCGCAAATTTCTTCTGTTTAACAAAGTACAAAAAAAAATACAACCATCTTTCATGTTACATTACCAAAATAAACAGAGAAATGCAAATTAGAAAATGAAAGCGTAATTGATTCTTTAATACAATACATAATAGTATGAAGTATTTTTCCTAATTGAATTTTCCAGCTGCTTGCATCAACAGTATTACCCCTAAACAGATAAAATAAATAACAATGAATTGTATTACCTCTACACAGATAAAATAAATAACAATGAATTGTATTACCCCTAAACAGGTAAAATAAATATCAATGAACTGTATTACCCCTAAACAGATAAAATAAATAACAATGAATTGTATTACCTCTACACAGATAAAATAAATAACAATGAATTGTATTACCCCTAAACAGGTAAAATAAATATCAATGAACTGTATTACCCCTAAACAGGTAAAATAAATAACAATGAATTGTATTACCTCTACACAGATAAAATAAATAACAATGAATTGTATTACCCCTAAACAGGTAAAACAAATAACAATGAATTGTATTACCCCTAAACAGGTAAAATAAATAACAATGAATTGTATTACCCCTAAACAGATAAAATAAATAACAATGAATTGTATTACCCCTAAACAGGTAAAATAAATAACAATGAATTGTATTACCTCTACACAGATAAAATAAATAACAATGAATTGTGTTACCCCTAAACAGGTATAATAAATAACAATGAATTGTATTACCTCTACACAGATAAAATAAATAACAATGAATTGTGTTACCCCTAAACAGGTAAAATAAATAACAATGAATTGTATTACCCCTAAACAGGTAAAATAAATAACAATGAATTGTGTTACCCCTAAACAGGTAAAATAAATAACAATGAATTGTGTTACCCCTAAACAGGTATAATAAATAACAATGAATTGTATTACCCCTAAACAGGTAAAATAAATAACAATGAATTGTGTTACCCCTAAACAGGTATAATAAATAACAATGAATTGTATTACCTCTACACAGATAAAATAAATAACAATGAATTGTATTACCCCTAAACAGGTAAAATAAATATCAATGAACTGTATTACCCCCTAAACAGGTATCATATTATTAATACGAATAAGGTTGGTTTCTATTGCACAGAAATAAATCGCAAAGAGAGAATACCTTAGAAATTTAGCTGAAAGAATTACAGTTCATTTCATGACTTGTGTGAAAAATAACTTTCGGGGACACTTTAAAAACATCAAAACAGATACTTTTTTTCAGTACTTTAAACATTATGAATTTTCAACTAAATATGAAGAGTAAATAAAGTAAAGATTGTATTATGGAGAAAGGATCTTACCTTGATTTCGTTACGACTCCTCTTTGGAAACACACTATGTATGAGTGAGAAATCTGTACCAATGTAACTTAAGGCTTTGTAGAACTTTTCTGTCTCTGAAAACAAACATAAAAAATGTCTTGGTATTCCTGTCATAATTTAAAAAGATACCCCTATCATAATTTTACAAAAAAAGTTCTCCAAGCTGATGAGTAAGTGGTCTTAAACATACTTATGTACAATGTTCTTATGGCAGGAAGACGGTTGGCTAGTTTGATTTCTAAGGCAGATAATTACAAGAACAGAAACTAACTTCAATAATAGACTGAACTTTCTTATACTAGTTATGTTATCACCTTCTACAAGAAGTTACAACCCATTCACCTTAGATATTTGTTTCCTGTCAGGTAAACAAGTCCAAGTTTTCTTTTTTTTTTGTCCAAAGAAATAAATGAAGTGTTACCTTTTTCTGACCATGACAGCTTCTGTCTTTGCTTTCTAAAGCTAGTGTAAGTAACATTAGTATCAGTTTCGTCAATGATGTCTCCATCTTCTTCTATAATACTGTCGTTATTCTTTATGACGAGACTGTTGAATAAATAAAACAATTACCTAAAAATTTACAACATAAAATACAGTGGAGCCTATTTATCATAATATCAGATATCAAATATCCTCTTTCTTATTTTTATTACCATGTAGCCAATATTCCTTTCATAAAATAATCAATTATAATGATTTTGTCAAAGATCAAAATTTTATCAGCCAAAATCTCTGGTAAATCTTTGGTAAGTGTCCCAAGTATGACACTAATTACTCCCATTAGGTCACTGCACACACCTGTCCAGCTTTACACCTGACACAAAGGGCGACTAGTGATCGATGGGGACAGTAAACAACAATAGAGCCCTCCTTATCTGTTATAGCAATCTAACAAAAGATGTGTTGTAGAGTGTAGCACCTCCAGACAAAATCCCATTGAATTTTATTACCATATTAGTCATAATTTCAAAACAGAATTTTATAATTATCTTCAGTCTCAGACTGCTTTGTTTGGACCACATTTTTGGATGTTGCCAGAAGTAGGTCAAAAGTGATCCATTAGTGTGATCAAAACACAAATAAATTCACATGTTTTGACTGACATTAATATGTAACAATTTCAATGTAACTTCTATTCTTTTTCCATAATTGATTTACTAATAGTTCACCTATACAGTGATCATACCAACATTTATTTTTTGTCTAATGATTGTAGGATATCCCATTCAGTTTCAACCAAACATATCATCTCCAAATTGCTTTCTCGGGTATTAGGATATTCGAGATATTAAATTTTTTCTGGAAAATAGAATATCATAATATGTGGATTCCATGGTAATTATTTATAACTTAAAATTTTAATAAAAGGATATTCCTAAGCTAAAACAGGAGTTTGATTGGATTGCATCACTGTGTAGGCAAACTCAGATTTATGTCTATCATGAATTAAATCTTACTATAGCTATATATGGCATGAGGGATGAACACATCTGTTGTAAATTTACCCATTTTACAAAATATGTGTTTCCAAACAAAGGCATATGTGCAGACATCTTATTGAACATATCTGGACAATGTTCTATGTCAAAGATTCTTAATTTGCCAAAACACTGCAAACAGACTTTAGAATCTCCAACTTTGGGTCAAGGTCCCTTACCTCTAACTTCAAATGGGGGTGAAAGATTCTGTTTATCTTATATATGCAGATGAGGAAAAGAACTTGTTTATAGTAATATTACATTCCACATAAAAATGTAACACCATACCTTTCCTCGTTAATGATGATATTACCATCAGGCCCAATTTTGACCTGAGGTACTGGCATGGCCTCATCCTCCATGGGTTCTGGATCATCCAACTTTTCCTCCTCTGCTGTAGGAGTTGTCAAACTGGTTGAAGTTTCCTCTTCGTCGTCATCGCTTGGTGACATTGACTTTTTCTTCTTTTTACCTTGTCCTGGTTTCTTTCTGTTACAAATAATGACATTACTGTCTTATTTGATTTGAATAAAGAAATACATCTTTCACAAGCATCCATCTTTTTTCTTATATCACTATGTTTTTCACTGTAAAACATGCAAACTATCAATAAAAATTGTAGGCCATTTAAAATAAATTTCAAAAACTTTTCCACTTCACACACTTTTTCTTCTCAAGACAAGCCATACCTTATTTTCTCTTACATTAGAATTTGCCCCATATAAAATATTTTCTAAACTGCACTGGATTAAGATACCCTAATTAAGCAAGAAAACTTATGTATGTGCAAGATCAATTGTCAACATGAAAGGGAAAGATTTACAATAGCCAACAACAGAGTTTCATCAAACTAAGAGGTTTAGTTCACAATATATTACACATAAGAATGGCTTTGTATTTCATACTGCTTTACACTTCAAACATTCTACTTGTATCATCGATGTCAGTTTTATCTATGTAGCATTTGTAACAATCATATGCTCAACCATAATCTTAGCCCAACAATATATAATGTATAATGTGGAGGTTAAACTCAGCACCTGTAACCAGCATTACATATAGAAACTCACGTTACAATTCTGGCTTAAGTTAAACCAATTTAACACTTAGAGCTGCTGTAGTGCACGTATATTTATGATGTCTTAACTAGAAACAGCAATTTGATATTGTTATGCTTTTTTTCAAAGGAGGTTTCGATTACTCTCAATCAAACTTGATCACAAGATAATTTTTCAAGTATTACTTCATTGGGTTCGAAGATGGATTCCAGTAAATCAGGTCCCCCATCTTTATCTTAGTTCGGTCAACTGGGACGTCTGTTGGAGCATCAACTTTCACATGCTTCTTTCGTTTGGGGGCCGAGGTCTGAAAAAGGACATACATGTTGTTTTGTGCAAAGTACATACACATTACAATCAACTTTCTGAGGTGTTTCACACAAAGTCATCAAATAACTAACTATTATAAAATCTAATCTCTTCTAATGCAATCAAATCAACAGAACTTTCAAAAGTTTTACATTAAAGTAGGTTCAAACAAATATGATAGCAATATTACTTCCATTTACTTTGATTTCATGTATCTGTGGGGTAGTAACATTGAACACACATACAAACTTAATGGCCAGTTATAATGTTTTGGAATTGATAATAGTTTAACATATAAAGTGATGGGCATACCTCAGCAACACTAATATGCCGATGCCTCTTCTCTCCGACCACAGCCTCACTGGTGCTCATCTGTCTTTGTCTTCTTTCAATGATCGGTGGTACGTCAACACCACTAAGATTACGATGACGTCGCTCAGCAACAGTTGTCTCCCCTGAATGCACTGATGATTTAGCATCAGATTTCAGTGATTTGGATGTTTGACTGACATTGTCAGTTACGTCTGTGACTGGGTAGTGGACTTGAAGTTCTCTTGCAACAACTGTAGACTTCTCTAGTGAGGACAGTGCCTTATCAGGAGATTGGCTACAAAATCAAAAGACATCCATTAAAATTGTCAAAAACAATCAATTAATTGAAACTATGTTTGAGTAAAACAATGTTGTTAACAAGGAAAAGTCAATTTGAAAATTACAGATCAGAGAAGATCGGAGACTCTATTGCCTCATTCTTTAGTACTGGGAGGAAACTGATCATTACTGATTATTCAAACTACATTCCGGAGACTCAGCTTAGAAAATTGATGACCAATGTGACAGTTATTTAAAGTCAGAAATTACTCTAATCACCTGATGATTGGTCTGGGTGATTTCAGTGGAGATGAAGGGCTGCTCTGGGTTGTCCCCCCTTTGACATTCAGGTCAGGAGCTCTGTAAGATGATTTTACAAAAAGGGTACTCCTCACAACATACTTACAAACTGAGTTTGATGATTGAGCTTAATGAGATTTATGATGAGAAAAATAGGTCACAATGACTTTAACGTAATATATCTACATATCACTTTTTTGATGGTAAGACTTTTTTTGTATTACAAATGTAACAAAATTAAACTATAAACATCCAAACAGAAATTATGAAAATGTCATGTAAACAGACAAATTAAAGCCCAATAGCAAAGACATATGTAAGGCTCAACATCCTTCAACTATTCAGGGTTGTGTAAAATGTTATCATCATAGAACATGAGAAAATATTTTATTACTTTTTTAGAACTCTGAAATGTGGACTCAACCTTTCACTAATATGAGTAACAAAAATTTTGAGTTTCTTACTTTCTTGGTCTTCCTGCATCTGTGAGATTTGGTCTAGCCTTTGGTAGTCTGTTTCTTGTAATCATTTGAACTTTGTTTTTGGGTGACACAGGTAATTTTTGCAGCACTGGTACAACCTCTCCACCATCTTTCCCTGTAGCCGTGGTCTTGTTCTGGCTTTCTGAACCAGACTTAATTGTATCCTTTCCTTCTTTACAAGAAACTGATTGTTCTCTCAGGACTGGGGAGCTAACTTCAGAACTCTGTTCATTAGATTTACCATCATTGTCAGCATTACCAACTTTATTGCTGATCTGTTGTATTTGTCCGACTGATTCAGATTCATCCTTGGAGGCTGTTACATCCTTTTCAATATCATCATCATCACTGACCTTTTTCCTCAACCGTTCTAGTGTCTCCTTTTTTGGGGAAGTTTGTTGTTGTTTACCCTTCTTCTCTGCAGCAGTTTTTGTCAATCCAGGCTTGGGTCCTCCAGGCTTTGGCCCAATGTTGGGTCTTACACTCAGTCTTGATCGTCTTGTTGCCATCTTTAATACGAAGACCTCAATTCTGAAATTATAAATAAATTTGAATCACAACCATGTGTGTAACATGTACACTGAGAGTGCCTATCATGTGGGTAACATCTTAAAATAATCATGAAAATAAAAATCAAACAATTTTTTTCATTTTCCAACAAATCTAACTTTTTTGCGTTAATTTTTGTTTATAAGCTGTACATTTTTGGTGGAGACAACAGGCTATTACACTCATCCATACAAACACCTGTGCTAAAATGAATTATTGTTAAGTTCCCTTTGGTTTTGATATGGACAACAAATCAATAACCTTGTCAAAACCCAAACAGACTTCCTTCATCTATATGTAGACAAGAACTATCATGAACAGTTGGGGTCACTTGGAAACCTTATTAATGAACCAGCATATTTTTTTATCAGACTGGATGGAACCCCACATATGGGTAATAGTCCCGCATTTGAGGGATAGTTACTGCTTGGTGTAATCAGTTAGTTACTGAAAAGCCAGATCACTTGAAATAGAAACATATTAAATTCTCTAAAACATCTGTAACAAAAAGGGTGGCATCTGTTTAACATGACCTAATAGCCAATGTAAGTCTGTAAATATCTGCACAAGAAATGTTGATTTCTATTGCTGAACTTTGTCCTAAAATGACAATTCATATCACTGAATTTGTTCTCGGTGTATAATCATCGAGATCATCTAGTACAAATGTCATAGGCGTGCATAAATGTACAATGTTGCATTTTATATTGGGACATTCAAGTAAAAAAAAAGAATCCTTTCTTCGTTGCAAATGTTTAAAATGTTTCTACTTCAAATGATCATACATATGACTAGATGATTACTCAAAATACTACCCCTCAAATGCCTATACTAGATAATACATTTGGAACAAAATACATTATCTACATGGTTTAATATCAGACATTAAGTTACTTCTATGACACAGGATGCCTGATCAATGATCTGACGTTGTTGTGCTGACTACCTTACAGTGCGTCTATTGCCTTATAAATCTTTAACATTGTTGCAGTAGAATTATGAAAGTAATCGTGTAATTGTCCTGTAAATATTGTATAACACTCTGGGTGGCATATATTTAACTGATACAAAGTATATACCAGTTTTGTGTTCAAATAGACAACGACAAAACCAACAGATTGACACTGGATCGTACACCTGTACCGTACTGTATATCAGTACAGCATCAGAGTTCAATATGGCACAGAGTTTCCAGCTTAACTCACTGTTCTAGAAAGCTGTGTTATCTATACACCATGTGTAGATAAGAACGTGGTTCCATTTCATGGTAAGAAAAGCATAGAAACCACAGAAATGATTCAAGAATATTATTTCAAATAGTCTGCGGCATCCTTCAATATCTCGTGTTTCTCATGTGTCGTCCATGGTGGTCAAATGCTTCACTTCCGGTAAGGAGTTGTTATATATTACGGACTCTAAAAATATGCGGCTCCTCAAGGTGATGCAATGCAGTGAAACAACTCAGGAGCATGTAGTCGATAAAAAAGAAAACAAAACAATTATATCAAAACGAAAAGATAGTACATATAACAAGAAAACAATATATAAATTAAGTAGATATGATTATTCAAAATGACTTAATTGTTCATGATTCGTTTTTTGAAGAATTGTAATTGTGGATTTATTATCGACTACATAAGCATACCTCACATTCTATTGCAGAATGTGCTAAAAATAAATTTGGGTTTCTATTTAAGGTTGTTGTTGGTGATCAAACTGCCATTTCTTACCGGGCATATCACCGTTAATCATGTGCTGAACTGATTTCTGAGCTAAATGAAAGGTTTGTCAAATTGTAACAGTAACGTATACTTGTGTAGTTTCACCGATTAGACACAGACATGTTTAACCTTTTTTTTACTGAACCTCCAAGCATCTGATTTAGCGATTTCCTATGAATGTAGATTGTATACGAAAATGTATTTTGGAACATATTATACTCTCTGTTGGAAATATAAATAATATTTAATTAAAATCTGAACTACATTTATCGATTTCATTTTATAGATACTAGTGTATTTATATATGTATGTATATAAACAACCAACAATGCGAATAGCACATGATGGATAAACAGCAAACACAAAAATAATACCGTGAATAAGTGTATGATAAAATCAGTTGGAGATATTGTATTGTTTTTTATGCGGACATCAATGCGGTAACTGTTCGTGATAAACAGAGAGATTACAGATCTACACGTGTCCCTGTCTAATGGTAAGGTTACGCGGCTCAAGTGTATTATATGGCAAGCCGTTTTAAAATTTAATCATGTTACAACACTTTCATCAACACGGTCGAGGGGAGAGAAATGGTACCTAGGTATACAATCTCCGATTGGTGTTTGCCTGTATTGTGCTGCAACTCCGCAATATTGAACAAAGACTTGCAGCCTTTAATCTAAATATCAGCGCAAAATATTTCCAAATATATGCACACATGTGTAGCATTAATGGAACTTACTGAAATTTCTTTTTTTTTCTCTGCAGGAATCATGAAGGTTTGAAGACAAGGAAAATGATGCTTTAAGGAGAAACTAATGGACCGCATGGACGATATGAAGTTAATATGGTGGGTCAAGGAGATTGATCCCTGAAGCACGATATGACAGAGGACGAACATGTCGATGAATAGTGGCATCGATTTGATGCCACTGAGTAATGAATGATATGCATACACGTCTAGCAAGCCATGTTAGAATGCACGTGTTTCAAATACACGTGCATTTCGATTGCTTTGCTGCAGTTGATATAGATATGGGATAAGTGTGGACGCTCATCAATGCTCATGGCCAAGGGCAATGCAAGTGCATACATGTATGTGCCCAGAAACCATGATCATAGGATACGCGTGATGGGAGATCATGCGGAAAAGACGGAGGTGTGGCTCTTCTGAAAAAAACCAGGTTCCGTTTCAGAGCGAGGAACATCTCAACAAAAAGTTGCTGTACAGATGGATGTGAAGATGTTTGCAGGTGGCCACGTCAAAACCATCAAAATGGCGACCTACGAGAAAAGGGCCCGCGATGGGGCCCGGGGGTTGGGGCTCGGGGAGGGAGATGCTGGGGGTTTCTTTCTTTCATATTTATTTCCAAGGTCAGATTTTCAAGTTTTCAAAACAATTCCAAATTCTCAAATTCTTCTGGAAAACGGACATAAAGTTACTGCGGACGTTAATCCATTAGCAAAACCAGACATACTGCCACCGGATCTGAACAACAGATCATTGCAACTTTTTGAAACCCTTCAAGAATTAGAGATTTCAACAGAGAGCGTCAAGTATGTACCAAAGGAAGATAGACAGCCAGATGACGAAACCGTCTATTGCAAGAACTTATTTCTTAAAGACAGGAAAGGACGCTTCTACTTGGTAATCTGTCACGAAGAAGAAGTCGTTGATTTGAAATCTTTAAAACAAAAACTAAAAGCATACAGAAACTTTTCCTTTGCTTCCTCTTCTGAGCTTTCGCGGATTCTGGGTGTTTGTTCAGGGGAGGTTACTCCGTTAGCGTTACCGAAAGACACGGACGGTCAAGTTAGAGCTGCAGCTACACACTCGGTCTGCTGCGAAGAAAAGCTTCTCAGTTTCCATCCTTTGGACCGACGTTATGCTACCCGGATGTCGTTTGCTGACCTGCTGAAATTTCTCTCTAGTCGTGGCCATTTACTTGAAAAACTGACTCCATGAAACCAGATATATTCTATCTTCCTTTCGTATCACTTTGTATCAGTTAAACAGCTAAAGGACATTTCTGACAACATAATTGTAAAGTATATCAAGAATTAAAGGAAAGAAAGTAAACTGTATCTGTGTTGTGTTAAATTGATAAATTGAATGTTTGTTGAAATACTGATGTTCCACAATATTATGACAATTGCGAAGTTCCCCAGCTTGTAAAGCTCTAGCACTTTTCTGCGTGTAGAATCTAGAGGCGTCAACACATTCGGAGACAATGAGCTAGCCTCTTTTATGGTCCCGTGTCATTTAGTCTGTTTTCTGTATTTCCTTGCGTGATATGAATTTTGACATATTTGATGCTCGTCAGTATTCCTGGTAGTCCTATGTTGTTAAGTTAGTTTTAAATCTGAGGGCTTGAAATTACTAACTTGGATCACTGACTCTTAGCTGGCTGATGAAAAAATAGCATGTTTGTTTAATATAAGAGATATGTGTGTACTATTTTTGATCAGTGAACCAACTGCCTGTGGTTTGATTGACCAAGATTTAGATGACTAGTTTCATCGATGAAGCAGAAAACGCCTAACCTTTTGGAACACCTTATATTGCTATTCTTGTACTTTTTCAAGGTCTCCATTTGTTCCTATGGTTTCGCGGAATTGAATTAGAATGAAGACTGTTGATATACATAAACTTTAAACGTTGACCGGGCATGGAATCAGATCATTTCCCTTTCAAAGATAATGGTTTTCTGTATGAGATAATCTTCTTGTCATAACAAAGATAATGGCTTTCTGTATGAGATAATCTTCTTGTCATAACAAAGATAATGTCTTTCTGTATGAGATAATCTTCTTGTCATAACAAAGATAATGGCTTTCTGTATGAGATAATCTTCTTGTCATAACAAAGATAATGGCTTTCTGTATGAGATAATCTTCTTGTCATAACAAAGATAATGTCTTTCTGTATGAGATAATCTTCTTGTCATAACAAAGATAATGGTTTTCTGTATGAGATAATCTTCTTGTCATAACAAAGATAATGGCTTTCTGTATGAGATAATCTTCTTGTCATAACAAAGATAATGGCTTTCTGTATGAGATAATCTTCTTGTCATAACAAAGATAATGGCTTTCTGTATGAGATAATCTTCTTGTCATAACAAAGATAATGTCTTTCTGTATGAGATAATCTTCTTGTCATAACAAAGATAATGGTTTTCTGTATGAGATAATCTTCTTGTCATAACAAAGATAATGGCTTTCTGTATGAGTAATCTTCTTGTCATAACAAAGATAATGGCTTTCTGTATGAGATAATCTTCTTGTCATAACAAAGATAATGGCTTTCTGTATGAGATAATCTTCTTGTCATAACAAAGATAATGGTTTTCTGTATGAGATAATCTTCTTGTCATAACAAAGATAATGGCTTTCTGTATGAGATAATCTTCTTGTCATAACAAAGATAATAGAGCATACCTTTATGTATCCATGGGCTTTCATGGAAATACGATTTCCTTGGTACGTTTTAGAAAGTGTCGAGTACCTGATACCCAAAGGATGGACTGGCTGATAATGCTCTGTCTAAATAGTAAGAATAATTTTCTTCCGTGATAGGTCACGAGTGGAGAGTTAAATCAAGTGTAGATTTACAATGAGGCCTAATCTTCACAGACCTACATGTCCAGCTTCAAAATAGTTTGAATACCGTGTAAGTGAATCCGTAGTTGTAGTGATTTGTTGCATTTATTTCGTCTACTGTAAACTGCAATAATTGCCTCATTGTAGAAATAGAGTTGTAATAAGACAACCGTACCTGTATAAAGATTGTACAAAAGACACACAAGTGAAAAGCGTCGTTCATGACAAATTTAGAAAAATATATAGAGACAAATGATAGAATTATACAGCATCATACAGCTGTTTCGTCTTTCTAGGACTCGTCAGATTGTACAACACACAAGTGAAAAGCGTCGTTCAATACAGATGTTTCGTCCTGCCAGGACTCGTCAATGATACTACATCAGACAGCTGTTTCGTCCTTCTAGGACTCGTCAGATTGTACAAAAGACACACAAGTGAAAAGCGTCGTTCAATACAGATGTTTCGTCCTGCCAGGACTCGTCAATGATACTACATCAGACAGCTGTTTCGTCCTGCTAGGACTCGTCAGTGATAACATATCATACAGCTGTTTTGTTCTGCTAGGACTCGTCAGTGATGCTATATATATCATACAGCTATTTCATCCTTCTAGGACTCGTCGGTGATGCTATATACACCATGCAGCTGTTTTGTCCTGCTTGGACTTGTCAGTGATAAAACATCATACAACTGTTTTGTCCTTCTGGGACGCGTCGGTGATGCTAAGGGCATACATTTTGAATCCAAGGAGGCAACTGAGGCAAATTGATCGAAAGTGATGTCACAATCTAAATAGTGAACTAGCCAAATTATTCAATCAATTTCATAATTTTGATATATCTGGCCCCACTTGTATAAAACATCTCAACTTGAGATTTCCTCAAGTCGAGATTTTCCTCAGCTAATATCTCATCGAAAATATCCTGTATGAAAATTCCTCAAGGAATTTCAGGACATCCTAGCCGTTGACTTCCTCCTGTTCCTTGAGAAAATTTTATACAAGCCGTTTTTGCACAATAAAGACAATTTGTAAATAAAATGGAATAAAAAGATAAATAAATAAAATAAGAGAGAGAGAAAATAAATAAAATAAGAGAGAGAGAGAGAGAGAGAGAGAGAGAGAGAGACAGACAGAGAGAGAGAGTGAGAGAGAGAGAGAGAGAGAGAGAGAGAGAGAGAGAGAGAGACAGAGAGAGAGAGAGAGAGTTCATTTCTATATTTCAATGAAAAATATATCAATTCTGCTTTTAAATGGCAAAATTTGGAAAATTTGAACTGTCGTGAAAAAACAACTTTCACAGAGTATACCAGGACTTGAATCAATATAGGAGCACTAGTCCTTGGAACCAAACAAGACTCTCGAACTTGGGCGACGCTTATAGAGAGAAATCATTGTTGTTGGTTTTCAACGAGCACGAAGGGTCTTGTTTTCAGGGATGAAATGAAAATTCTGTCAAAACTTTGAGAATCAGTTTTGAATCTGGACCATAAACGGAAGGAGTCGAGATACTGCAATTAATAAAACTTTCGAATTCGACATTTTATATCAAAAAGTGATATTACGAAATATCTCAAACTTAGCTAATGATCAAAGTTTATACCAAAGTCGTGAAAATAACGATAGAAAGAAGACTTGATGACAGATGTTTGTACTATCATCTTATAACTGAACAGTACTAGGCAGGCAAAAGATGTGTTCTACCAACGGAAAGAAAACCACCAGAATTCATTCCTCCAACAAAAAGGAAATAAAATCAATACAGAATGCACCAAATATCTATGATTAAATGTGATTGAAAGCGTCAAATAAAATTATTAGGCGAACAGTAGCCGACTTTGATTCTGCACAAGCTGGAAGCTGCGTCAGTGTTTTCCGGATCGATACAGTAACACCATCACGGGATATGGAGTGGGGCTCTCGATACTAATCAATGTATTGACTATCTAGAGGGACTGCACCGCTCACTAAAGACTTGCTATCGATCTGGGAACACTAAACATGGCCCTATGAAGCAAGGCTTATGTAATGTTCATAGTGTTTTATGTACGTAGTATAGTGTAGTACCATGTCGAGCGCCTTATGACAAGAGATGGACATACTTGTGAGCTTTGTTGTTGTACTGACCATTTTGGAAGCGGGTCATGGAAAATGTAAGTATATATAACTTTGCGGAGAAGGAGAGAGGGGAAGGGACCAGTAGATTTTATTGGTAGGACTATGATGTGCTTACTGGTTAACCATTATAACAACATATTTCAATTTAGCTTAGTAGATTAATTCTATTCAGTCATAGTTTGTGAAGCCTGTGTCTATATTCTTCTTCAGATGTTATTGGTTTATATATCTGTATATACTTTATGTTCACAATGTTTCCTCTTTTGTGCCAATTTTGTTAATGTTTTCTATGTCAGTAGTGCCAGTACATGCTGTATTTAGATATGAATTTTTAGCATGCGTCAAAGATACCAACACGTCACCAAAATCGTAATTCTGCAGCTCCACATTCACATTTCGAATTTTCTTTCTCCAAATCGATAAACGGAAGCCAAACCTGAACAAGTAAAAGATCTACATTAATATCATTGAAAAACCCAAAAGACGATATGTGTTCCGGAAGTGTAAGCGTCTTCTGCAATATTGCTGATACCAGTAATGCCCACAGAAGTAATCTATCTCTCTCTCTCAAAAAGGAGAACCAAGTTAATACACGCCGGACTTGGTGACTAGAAATCTAACAGAATTATCTCACATTGCAATAAAATATGTTTATCGACTTCGATTTTTTATTGAGATTTATTCTAAATTTTGAAAGAACAAAATGTATCTAGGTCTACCTTCTGTTGAAGTCCACTTAATTTGATCAAAGTGACATTATATTTTCTAAACTTTGTGTTACATTGACTTACTAGTTCTGTATCACTATTTATTTTTCCTTTTGATCTTAACATACTGACATTCGGTATATACATCATTAATGACGATAATGTGCACTTATTTTATCAAAGAGTTCCTCTGGTAATATTTGTGTTACTATGGATATGTTTCTTTTCTGGTCTCTTAGTCTATGGCGAAGCTATATCCGACAATCAATCAGTTATGACTTGCATTGTTGGTTTCACCACTGTTAATTTCCTTTTGACCAGTATAGATCGTTATCTGCTACTTCCGATTCCGTAGAACACTTTCTTTCTGAGATTATACAAAGACAAACAAAAGTTACCAGCACCTTTCGATTGAAATTAAGGAAAGGATAAGGCAGAGACAAGTGATGAATTCAACTGCACCATACAGCTGTTTCGTCCTTCTAGGACTTGTCAGTGATACTACATCATACAGCTGTTTCGTCCTTCTAGGACTTGTCAGTGAGAATACATCATACAGCTGTTTTGTAATGCTAGGACTTGTCAGTGATGCTGCATCACACAGCTGTTTTGTCCTTCTAGGACTCGTCAGTGATGCTGCATCACACAGCTGTTTCGTCCTTCTAGGACTTGTCAGTGATACTACATCATACAGCTGTTGCGTCCTTCTAGGACAACTCGGTGGTGTTAAAAGGGGCCTAAACTGTTGTAACTTAGGAGACGATTGAGGAAGATCCAATCGCTCGAAATAAAAGTCAAAAACCTTAAGTGGAGGTTCATACTTGCTAACCTATTCATCATATGAATGACACGTCGATGAAAGATAAACATGATATGTCATTCTTGTAGGACTAAACGAAATACAAGGGACATATTGGAAATATGCAAATGTTTTGATAAATAAATATACCTTTAAGCATAAGAAATTCTTTAAAACTCCTGATTCTCTTTCGACTGCTACATCAACAAAACATTACCTTATCTCTATTAGAAGGGCTAAACTATGATGATCAGCTATGCTATGGTATGGTTGCTATCGTATGATGCCAACTTTCAGTGTGTGACTGGCGATAAAATTCTTTCTTCATTGTATCACGCGATGTGTATCGTGTTTCTGATATATTGAACTGTAGTGATGGTACAGTGTGAGCCATGTATATATGTCGAACCTGGGTTGTTTATGTATTGTATATAGGCAATTCCATCAAGCACAAGGTTATGCTATATATAGTACAGTAGTACTTCATATTTGGTATTTCTAGATTTTTAGGATCACTTAAAATAATACGATTATCCCATTTTATATTTCATGATACTGCATCTAGATTTATAATCTGTATTTGGAAAGCTTTGATAAGCAACTTTAACAGTAACGAAAACAGATAGTAAAAACAAGTACCACTGAACACGCAAATCATGAAAAGAGCACAGGACCGTTGATGTCTATTAGTGAAAAAGACATATATGTTAATTGAAGTGATATTCGTGTTAACTCTCTTGCATTTGTATATCATAGTTACAAACACATTTCTAAAAATAGCTGTCTAATATTTGTAGTTGGCATTAAAACAGTCAACGCAGGTTATCCATATCTAATGCATGGGAAAAAAAACGTCTTATTACTTACTAATTAAATTATATTCAACGAAAACATCACTTATGTTGCTCCCATGAATATGAAATATGAAAATTTCAGCTTCAAAGGAAAATTGTATGGCAAATTAACAGAGGCAGATGGCAGTGAAAATATTTTTATGTAGCATTAATATATCATATCGATATAGTGAAAGAATGATTCAACTCTTTCTCTGTCATATTTAAAACATAATGAAATAGTGAAAATGATTTTGTTTCGTTCAAACTGTCTCTCCACCATCTTACAGTGATATAAACCGTCAATATCGCCGCGAGTTGATAATAACAATACAGATCGAGCGAGAGAAAGTCATAGCTTTATAAATGGTAATTGAACTGTACGTATCTATTCCTGTTGTCATATGTTTAGTGATGACAGACCCCAATTGCATCATAGACCCGACACTTGATGCCAGCGTTGCCGATAACTACCTCAACTGTCAGACGGAGGAGATGGTCAATGCAGGAACCACATCATGTTGTTACAAAGACAATGTCAAAAGTTGTTGTCAGGAGGGAAAAGAAAGGTATTGTACTGTCGTGCATTGTAATGTTTGTCTGTAAAGCTCTGGTATTTATAACGAGTATAAAACACATGAAAATACTGGTTAATGCTGAAAAAAAACACGGCAAGGTTACAAAAGCCGCCCTATTGTCCAAACCCAAAACACTTATAATGATGACGTAATCATGTCATGATGCAAACTACTGATTATTTTAACTGTTGAATTGATTTGCTATAATTGAATTTTCTACGCTGTGCTCATGAATTATAGTTATATAAACTGTAAATATTTTTACAGTTGGGATATGATGATAATCATTGGATGTGCTATTGGAGGGGTTACAACTGTCCTCGTGATATTTGTCTTCTGTGTGATGTGGTGCCTGCGTGACATTGTCCCATGCTTCGGATACTGTATGAAATTTACCCAGAAGAAGTACTACGAAGTGGAGGAGAGTTTCTGGTATGATGGAAGTGGAAACTTAACATTCAACTACTGTGTGTTCTCACTACATCGCATGCTCAATTATCAATTCAGTTGGAGTTTTCTTTCTTTACACCAATAGAAGTTATAACTTAAATGATAGCGGACCTTTTGTATATGTCTTTGGACATTAATTAATCTCTATTGCCAACTATTGTTTTAGATCAATTATGCCATAGTCTAGTTCGTTTATGAAAGGTATTTTTGACTTTATTTGTGATGTCGCAGTTTGATGTAAGTCCGCAGTTCTGTAAATGCCATTTTTTTCTACAAGAAAAACTGTTTCTCTTTATTTCTATTCATTTTTTACATCCTTTGGTATGTAAATTTAATTGTGTATTTCTGGTCGTTTTATATGTTTGTTTTGTTTTGTATTTTACTTTTATCCTTTTCGTTTGTTTGTTTCCATACTTTTTCTGTCTCAGAGTGAATAGTTAACTCGGTTAAGGATAAATTATTGCTTCCATTTGTTCAGTGATTTTTCTAGTTCTAGTATCGTTTCAATCCAATTTAAAACGCAATTTTCAACCTTTTTTGAACAGCTGCTGTGAAGGGCGGGTGATGAAAAGAAGACAGGAACAGGAAATGATGAAGAAATCCAAGAAAAAGCCAGTCTTAGCACTTCCGGAAGAAAAAACGGAAAATACAAAAAAGGAAGATTGTTGGCAAGGGAAACTAATAGAAAGTTGATATATGCATTAGAAAGAAAGTGTTGAAACGCGTTTAAAATCAGATACAATGATTATATTTATTTGTACACCTTATGCATGTATTGCCACATCATGTTGTTTTCCCAATGAAATTGAGGTAAGGCTGTATTTACTTATCGTTTAAAACACCTATTTAAAAATCACTTATAATGTAACAATCAGAGCCTATAGTATGGAGGACCGAATGAGTATATGAGATGATTTCGAGGTACGTTGGAAGATTTGCTATTACAAAAGATCACTATCCCTGGCGGTTTGTGTTTCTCAGGAAGCTGAGTAACGAGCCGATACGTTTATCACGTATTTCAGTGTGTGAAGGCTTATTGGGATTAAATAAATTAACCAGTTCAAATTCCCTGGCCAGTCGACTGCTATCTCTTATGTATAACTACAACTCTAGCATGCTAGCAAATATATCAATTTCTGTATATCGGCGAACAATAAGTCATGATTCTAATTACGCCTATGGGATCTTTATTCCCATCCTGATTAGGAGTCTGATGCTGAAATATTAACGATCTGTGTAACTGTAAGACCAGGACGATTAGTAGTGATTGATACGGTGACCTCATTCTTGCCTATAAGTGAATTGATCATACTAATTATCAAGTCTACAATATCTATAGATATAGAAAGGTAAACAGCTTGTTATCAAAATGTATAGTAATATATGTGTGTTATTTGTTTTTTTAGATTTCATACAGTAATTCGTTTTTAATGATTTGATAGAAATATTTATCCAATGTGCCTGATTAATGAGTATTGTGCAGTTGAGTTCATGTTGTTGACGTTTAAGAACTTGTCTTTATACTTGTTGATTTGATACGCCTATACCGTTACACCTTCCATATGCTATGCACAACGAATACTTAAACAATGCGTATACTGTTATATAACTATATATTTACAATTGCGTTGCATAGTCTAGATCTTAATAAATACACATGACGATTAATCTCGGGCAATAGTATACGGCCTTGTCATTGTAAATGTGCGATGTTTGTTTACATCACTGAAGGTTATATAGCAAAGTTTAATGTGAAGAGACGATTAAGCTATGATGTGACCTAATATATGTATTTGCAAAAAGTAAAGAGATAAATCAATTTATTCATTTGCTCTTGCAAGAGGTGCCACCTTCAGCTTCCGGTTATAAGATGACAGTTCAACTGAATCAGCCCCCGTTCTAACGATGTTTATGATATAATTTGTGTTTTAAATGTTTTATGAAAAATTGTCGTTATTAACTGTAAATATAAAGATTGTTATTTATTTTCTGCACCTGCATCGCAATGTATTTACATATCGATTGGTGCGCATTAGTGTAAAATATGCAGTAAATACACTGAATTGCAAGTACATAGTGTTAATTACATATTGATGGGTGTGAGTCAAAGCACTAAGTAAGATACGTACTAACTCCAAAGTAAAGACACTCCGGTGCTGATACAGAATATAGAAGACAATTAATATATTAAAATGTATTTCGTTATAATGTTTGAATGTTTCCATGCCAAAAAGTTAGTTATATATGTTTGTATAACCTCATTATGTTATATTAGTACGTAACAGCAATGATAACGTATCTGCTCTTCACCAGGTAAGCAATAAAGGCGAAAACTAATATCATTGAAATAAGAAAGGGAAAAACAAATTAATAATTAAGAAATAGACATTTAGACTAACCATGACTTGCAATAATTTACCGGATCAGGAAATCTTAGTTCAATGATCGGTATTGATTTTGAATGTTTCCTATGAGTGATAAAACAGGCTTATATCACTGGTATAACTACACCGAATAATCAGCCTCTAAAACATTATTTTATTCTGTAAATTTCATTATTTTAACAATTGAATTACTTTTTCGTATCTTACGAAAGATTATTGCTGTTTAAAAGAATATTAAGTTTGAAGAAACATGATGCAATGAACACCTACGGAGATTATATCATTCACATCTTGGTAAAGGATGCGTCATTCGTTACACAAAATATTATTGACCCATATGTAAATAAACAGCATTGGCATATAAAACATTTCTCCCTTTATTATGCTACTTGTTATTTGATACGTTATCACAGATTATATGCGACACATCACTGTTTAGAATCCATGTTTGAATATTCGCCTGAACAAATATAATAATATTTAAGACGAAAATGTCATAATTTCTCTCTCATTGTCGTGTTTATAATCTATTGCGGAAGTCAAAATTCTAGTATTTACACTTTATTAGTATAAGTCGATATATTGAAGCTACTTAGAAAAAACTGCTGTTGTCGGAATAAACAATATTCATATATTTTCAAACCAATAAATCATGCTATTGAACAACGTGTTTGTGTTTTGTTGACGTTAAAGCAACAGCTATTTTGGAAATCAGTGTTATTTATGATTCAATGAGAAGTACATACGTAATAATCTAGAACGGCGTAATATTTTTTCTTCGCGTGCCTGTATGCATGTAGACATGTAGAGACATAAGGTAATTATTGTATGCTTTTAATGCTGTGCATCAAAAAATCAATTCAATTAAAGTAAGATGTATCTAATCATTTATCTCAGTATCTAAATTTTCGGTTACGAAACATTTAAATGAGGTTATGAACAAATGAAAAAATGTGAAGTTAAAAATTCAAATTTTGCCAAGGGGTATGGGTAAGAGATAAATTGTGGCGGAAGTTTCCCTGTATATTAGTATACATTAAAACCAAGTAAATAAACAACGGCCTTTTTGTCTCGTTTCTCCTTATTCTACGAAGATTGATTACTGGTGGTTTAGGTATTTATTTTATCTTGTGGAGATTGTAACAGTGGCGATGTCTCGTCATTGATGGAAACAGGTAGTGTGTCTTTTATTAGAATAGGGTTCAGTACATTGTTCTGAAAAAGAAAGGACAATTTCAAATTGATAAACGGATATGAAATATTTTATTTTTCAAAATGTTTGACATCTTATTTTTGCTTGACAAAATAAGTGTTATAACTGCTGTTGAAATACATTTATTGAACTGCGTATAATGTTTTTATGTTTGAAACCTAAATTCAGGTAAATTTCCATGAACAATAGATACAGATTTTGTTTTGAACCATACTATAGACAGATTCAAATATTAAGACATCTGAAATTGAGTTATTGTGGCGACATTTCTGTTCGCCCTCTTCGTTAACAAGTGCAGGACATTGTTGTTGCCCATGCTTTGAATTAATGAAATTTGAAATGCACCAATAAGTTTGGAGGATTTTGGTCAATTACACACTTTGAGTCTGAGCGCTTTATATTCGACCGGGTCAGTCATAATTGTATTACGAAGTAACATTTAAGAGGAACAATTATCAGGATGAGTCGACATAGGCAAATGTAGTTCAGCCATATATGGTTATTTCCATAGGCCAGTCTGGATCCAATGCTACGCAACTCAAAAATAAATGTATTCGACTGTAGTCATAACATGTAAATTACAACATTTTAATGGGATGTTGCCCGTTATTTAATAGCAGCCGTTGTTTGTTAACTGTAACCGAAACTCACCTGATGATTGTCTGCTATGTTGGTTGCAATGCTGAACAAAGCTGATGTAACAGAAAGTGCGAATAGCAGCCAGAACATGGTTTGGTATTTAGATAATAATTCTACTGTATCCACACTGAAACAGGAAATAATACCAGTTACCAGCAAGAATGTTTAAATTAATTTTACTTTTACAAACTTCATTAACGATTTTTGTTTTGTTAAGATAAATTTTGAATTATTTGCTTATATTTGAGAGGTATTTCAGCACTTTATTTTAAGTTTTGAACATTGGTATATGCAGATTTACATATCTTTTACAAGTCGCAATAAAAAAGAAGATATAATAAACTTTCTATGTTCGTTAGAAATGAACTCCTTCAACAAGAAGGAGTTGATCTTTTCTCATTAATATGCTTGAAGAATATCTTAACAATCTCAGAAAATTGTTATTTTAGTCGCGACGACATCATAACCATTATCAGTGATTACTTATGTTGTCTAGATTTTGCACATCCATATACACCACCTTAATGAAGGTCTGCTGGGACAAAGTTATATTACGTCATGAACAATGCTGGAAAAATACAATGACTAATGCGTCGTTCAGTAATTTTCAACTCTGCATTTTCAGTGAAATGATTCAAATCAACCGACAGGATAAAAATCTGAATTCGTGAAAAACTCTATGAAAACACTAGATAAATATTAACAAAAGGAATATTTACACAAAGACTTATGAAAAAGTACAAGGAGAACAAGACAGGATATTCCGGAAGGGTAAGCGTTTTCTGCTTCATCGACGGCAGCGGTCACGTAAATCTTTGTCAGTCTTTGCATTTTTGTTCTGATGTACTAAGAAAACTAGATGTCTAATGACAATATATACGATAATATCTTCCATAAGATGTCCTTTTTTATACAACAATACTTGCCTTTCATTTGCTCCCATAATTTTCCCAACTGCTAGATTTATCATTCCAACTCCTCCATATTGTATCAAAATGACAATTCCTGAAGAAGTTCCGAATATATCGGGGCTCACCAGCATAGCAAAACATGGCCAAATACACACCTGATTATAATTGAAAATTGTGGTTGGTGTTACTACAGTACTGCTATCATTTGAATGTTATCATCGACTCTCTCCTCAACAGTTTATGTTAACATAACCTTAATAGGGAAAGGAAGTTGCCATGGATCATACGTATAGTAAGGACTTTCTGAAATCCTTCATCCAGCAAAATATTTACAATTATTTATAGATTTGGATCAGTTGTTGATAGATCTTTTGAATGTGATTTTCTTTCCTTGATATTTATATATCAAATATATGTACCTTTATATTAAATTAAATTTTGATAGCCTTTCCCTATTTTTCATGATGCATTAATGACGATGGATATCATTTAAATCTTCGTATACTATGCATATTTAATTGATAAGTGGTGCTTGGTGTTTTGAAAGTTAAGCTGAAACTTACAGCAAATGTAGTATATGTAACTCCCAGGTATGTTGTCAGCACCAACGGGTGTATACTCGGGCAGAAAGACAGTAATAAATATACTGGTACAGTCATTAAGGCGGAGCAACTCAACAAGGTCCCAGTACAGCGAAACCTTTTCTTAAATAAAGTGTAAAATGTTCAGTAAATAAAACTCAAAATCGGGGAATTTAAGCCAGTGTATACACAAAAAGAAACGTTACACGGAAATAACTCCTCCTGGCAGAGTAAATGACGAAAACTAAATAAAAATTGTAACTTCTTAAAACAATTGGTAAAATAGAGAGGAGGAATGTAGAATACATACTTACTCAAGAAATGATAGACATGAATAGGGGCCACTGTTCGTGATAATTCAGATGTTTCATTTGCACTCAAGGTGGTTACATTTCTTGTTTTCACTTTACAATGACTATCATGATGTACTTCCACCAAGCTATATGATAAGTTCGATTTCCCTTTTGAGAATTTTCTATTTCTGGAGAGCAACATTATTGCATCCCAAACCTACAATGTTTACATGTCGCAGTAGATTTGATATTGAGGAGCCTGTTCCCATTATCTCAATTTTCCTGCAAGAAGCTGACAATTGACGGAGAGAAACTCGTAGCATGGGGTTTCAAATGATGCATGTTGGTAAACATTATGGGGAATTTTTACGGTCGTTATTGTGATATTATTGAGGAATATTCTATTTCTTTGTGCAGTATGGCGCTGGACGCGTTTGATACTCATAAGTTTGCCTGTAGGTTCCATTGTTGAATACTTGGTCTCATTTGAGAACGTAACATTACTTACTTGGATTGACCAAGGTTTACATGGCGGGTATCACCTGGTATTATCATCCTTGGAAATTTTTCTTGAGGTTTCCTGTAAATCTCTCTTTCGTTTATATTTTTTCTTAATCTTATTGAATATTATTTATAAATATGTTGACATTTTTTTTCATTTTTTTTTAAAGATTTGTTTTTCTTACTTGTTACTTCACATTATCAACTATAATTGTTAGTTATCCCTCAGTTACTACTTCATTGGTCATTTTCCCCAAGAGGAAAGAATCATGTAGCCTCCAGACTGTGTATAATTCGAGTCATCAAACAAAGGATTAAATATTACGAAAAGACAAAACATACAAACCATATTTTTTTGTTTTTGTTTCTTTTTTTTCAATGGTTCAAATTTTGTAGTTTTTTTACCAGGTTGAATGTAAAATGGTTGAAAATATAACATTTCGAACATGGATGGCATGATTTAAAATATAATGACCAAAAACAATCTTTGGAAATAGTCCAAAGAACGATAAGGACGATAATCACCTCACAAAATACCAAGAAAGTACCAACATGTCAATATAATCATTTTATAAACTCTTTTTTATGTGACTTCTTTCTTTTTTACATAGTTTGTCATAGTTTTATTGAACTGGAATTTAGATTACGACACGCCTAGCTTCATAACGCATAAGGAATAAGAATATTTCCCAACGAGATCATTATGGCGCCTAGACATCATTTTCATCAACCTGTAAATGAAAGAACGGCGGAAGGATAATCACCAAAAATATTCCTAGGAACGGTGGGAGGATGATGGATACATCGTAAACAGCTCCAACGTAGTATGCAGATGTTGTCTTGGATAACCCATATCTGTCTTGGATGTATTTGCTACAAAATATCTATTTCTGTTAAGTTCAATAACGTACTTGCTGTGAAACCCTTTCATTTTTAATTGTATATGCGAACGAATATTGCTTTCTGAAACACAGTATATTTAAAAACTAGCCCATAAAGTAACAGTAATGTGATATACAATAGCTCCAGTTGTACAAAATTCTGCAGATGAAAAAAAAACTTACACTTACCTGCCATTACTGACCACGGGGAGATAAGCAGCATAGTAACAGACTGTTGTTACACACAGGAGCCAAAACATTCTTGGTAGGACGCGAATATTTTGTAATTGTCTGTATATTGTCTGTGGAAACAGAATAAATGCCGCTAGTAAGTTTCTATGCAAAAGGTTTAACTTGCAAGATCTTTGTTGTAATAACACTGAGAATTAACACACGTTAGTAAAACTTTTTCTTATACGTTGATAATTGTCTTGTTCCCCTGAAAAGCACTGTCTGAAGAGAATATTTCATTGGAAATATTTTTCTTCGGAATTAAAAAGTTTTGTTAGTTACTAAATCCCTGCATATAATGCATAATAACATTGTCTAAATTTGTAGTCTTAATGAATGTTAACTTCGTAGACGGAACATTTTTCAGGGAATGAAAACTTACTATAGAATTCTCAGCTCTATCAGGAATATGAGTTAGTTCTTTGTCTGAATTCTTTTGTCCGTAGAAATCAAGTAGTGAAAGAATAACTGCACTTACAACAGTTGTACTGCAGATGGCTGCCCCTAAATGACAAAATGGTGATATAATTATGATAAATCAAAAATATAAAAGATCACTAGGACATTATATAGATGTTTTAAACCACATTATGTTTTTTTCTTTTTTTTTTTTTTTTTTTTTTCTCCTTTTTTTTCTGAATTCGTAATTGTTAAATTATAGAAAAAAAATCTCTCATACTTTATTCACCAAATAAAATATATCGTCAATCGTAAATTTGTGTTTCAAATACATAGCATACTGCACGGAATTTAGTCTTGTTCGTCACAAAATGCGAAAAAAAATTATTAGAGAAAATAGAACCTATTTAAATGTATGTATGGAATTTAAACCGTACATGTTATACATCAACATTAAAAAAGAAACTTGACCTAAGATATTGTCTTATTTCTGTAGAGAACATATGTGCAACAATTAAGCTTACAACATCGCCATCAAAAAGGTTTCTTATTGAACAACTGACTACGCAACATAGTCACCATCAGAGTCCTAATAAAGGTTTGATAATAAACATTCCCTTACTTATAACCTGTCACATAACGCTTTACTAACCGACCCAAAGCGCCTTCGTCAGACCGATCCAGTTTGCTATATTGGCACTGAGGAGAAAGTTAGAAACGTTTCCCATACGTAGACCGACCACATTGATGCTGAAGACCATGGAAAGGTTATCGGGAAACCACACACACAAAATACGTTCTTGGACAACTGGAACAGTGAAGTCGAATATCATCATCTTCGATCAATTGAATTGTAATCCACATGTTATGTGAAGGGATTATATCAAGTAAACGTCCGCATTGATTTCCCATAGTTCTATCCTCAATTTCATGAAATTTTTTTTATAGAAATCCATTATCTGAGTAAGTCAATTATCAGTAAAAACAATTCAAAGATTGACACAAGTCAATAATACCTTTTAATTCATAATTTAATTAGACAAGCTGAAGTCAAATTAAGGAGTCAAACTGCTTTATACAGCTGTTTTGTTCTAGGATTCGTTGATGATCCAAAGCGCCTTCAATTTTAGGAGGCAGCTGAGGAATATCTCAAAATCTGGTCCGATAATTCATTATTTCGTCTTATATAGATATGCTAATCTAAAAGAACGTCCACTACAAGTATATATTCCGAACCGTGCCATAATCCGAATGAAATAAAACGAGACATACAGGTTACTTCAAATTTCGGGGACTAAACGTTTACCCGCAAATCTCGAAAATTGTCCATAAGGCATGTAGTAATGGAAGGGTTGTTAGCTCGTTGGTAACGTGATAAATCGGCTTTGTCTACCATCATTGGATACATATTTAATTTAAAATGAACCGTCAGTGGGAGCGCATCCTTAAAAACGTGTGATTTGTACGTACTTTCATAATTTATACTACAATACACGTCTGGAATGAAACGTTTCCTACTTACTTAAGGCCATTCCTGCTCCTGCTCCAAGGAGAAAACGGCTAACATACATTAAAGGGAACATAAGAAAGGATCCTCGCAGCTGACCAGTTACGGCAGCGGCGAATAACACTGTCCCTAACCAAGCAACAGATGTCGATAGGATGGAGGAAACTATACCAAAAAGAAATGAATAACAAATTATCGACAATATTAATAAAAAAACATTGATGATTTCATAAGTTGTTTTTTTAAACAAAATAAAATAAATCGCTACCCCTATTATCACATTATCAAAAAGTTATTTCTTTGTAAATATTCCAACATATATCAATGTTTAAGTCTAAAATATAATAATTTCCACTTTTACGTCATGATACAATTATTTTTGTGGTCTTTGTTGCACAGTCATTCATTTTATCTGACAATATTACACAAGTCCAATTAAATTTATACATAGAATTTGACATGCATGTAGATTTATTCACTAAAATATGATAGCAATTGTGAAATACAGTGAGAAAATATCACCTTTCAATACAAATAATGAAATAGATATAGTAAAGAAACAACCAAGCATAGAAATATTGGGGTAGACATAGTATGAAAAGTTCTTATTAATTGGATTTTCATTGAAAAGATTCATATTTAGTAATGAGTACCTCGATTTCCAAATCTGTCGACGAAGTATCCAGCGGGTATTACAGTCGCTGCAGCCCTACGTAAGGTGATACGTAAAAATAATGCTAACATACTGGCATCAAATTGAATTAAGGAATACTTGTAACTAGAAATTTTGGTTATGATTATAACGATGATGAGGATCTCATTTGTGTTATAGAATAAGAACGAGGTCTGACATTAAAGTTAATGATTTTTACAAAAACTGTCATAATGTTTCTTAACGCAAAAGCTGAATGTATAAATGTGACAAACAAAACCACGTATTGGTAGATAATAGTGAGCAATTTGATACAGTTATAAACTAGAATACATTTATTAGTGATCACATTTGCAATACATTCAATAGATTGACAATGAAGTAAAATTTGATACTAATGAGAAATCGACATATCTACCAATTACCAAGGGGACAGAATAAAAGAATCAATATCATTGATGTCCAAGCTTTACTTCTGATATAATTCTCAATGTTATTATACTCATTTACATCCAGGCATAGGCGGCATATAATTGGTTGTAACGATCAGGTCCTAAACCCACACAGTCCTGACAGCACGAGGCATTAGAAGTAATATTATCGCAACTTCCAGTCTGGTAAAGGTAAGAAGAACAGTCCTTAGCGTCTGATTGAAAACGTCAATTCATTTCCACGTACCACGGTCAATTAGTACCCATCATGTTAAAGTTTAAATAGTTTCTCAAGGATTATCTAAAACCCCTCTTTTAAGAATTTGTTTAAAAAAACACTACGTGAAAGAGTTTAACCACCACTACTCTCTAATTTCAGTAAATACACCAAACTATACATAACTTTTCAAAATGATAGCAATATTTAAATTACATGAAATTTAATATCAAAAGTCAGTGTCAAAGTGTTTTAGAACGATAAAACCACTCTTATTGATAGTTGCATCATTTTTCGAAGTGATAACAGTGATTGTTTCAATATTAAAATAAATGGTATAAATGGATCTGCCCATTAATTAAGGTCGATTTCAACGCTTTAATATAAATTAAGATCATAGACACGGAGGTAAGACGGGTTACAATTTTCTCTGTTACAGAGGCAGAATAAATTTTACCAAGGGTCATGTATATCAAAATTCAAATTTGACCTTATTCTGAAATAGCACTGCATGCTTATTGGGGGAAATATTCGCTCTGACGTATGTAAATAAAATGTTTAAAAAGTTAGCATAGCTTATCTAAATTAACTCACATCTGCTCCCTGAAGATCCCTCTGTAGTGCACTCAAGATGTCAACGTTGAAATATAAACCATACCCAAGCATGCAGTTGGAAAATAAAAGCACATGTCGCCAGCTCCCTAGTAAACATTTCAACATTAATGTTCTGTGTTGGTTAGAGTACAAATTATAAATACAATAAATATTTAATGTCAAAGCAGGAAACACTTCCGTTGTTGTTAACATTGCTCTTATTTGAAAACGTGACATTAATTTGATTAAGATTAACATGGTGTTGTCGCTGAAGAAACAGAAGACATCTACCCTTCCAGAACACCTGATCTTATTCTCCTTTTTCGGTATAAAGTCACATAAATGTTTGCCCCATTAAATAGATTTTCATATTTTGTTGAAATGTCGGTTCTTTCGTTTTGTTCTCCCATCGAAAGACGTGTATTGTAGAATATTGATAAGTCTTATCAGGAAAACAAAAACAGCTTATTACATTACGACCTTTGCATGCTAATAGCTATTTTCCCAATTTCGTTGATTTTAATGGACTATAGTAGGTGCAGTCAAGCAGTAAATATGACATTATGCAATTTAGATATACAGTTAATTGATCCAGACCTCAACATACGCTGGTAGTTCCAGCCTGCCGTATGTAAAGACAATAAAAAAAAATTAAAGGTACGTTACAATTTTTGTTTAAAGTAACGTTATTTACTCTATCACGCATGTAGATATGTATATCACTCGTTCAGGCAGTAGTGTATGTGATACGATTCAGTACAATGTTGAAGCATTGATACTTTGAATACTTTATCAGAAAATGTAGTTAGTACCCCGACCTTCAACTCGTCCAAGTCAAGTCTAATTCTTTCAGGTAGAGTTATCCTGTTAATGTTTTATCCGTCTGATTAGTAGCTTTGATATAATTCGTTAATAGCAGTTTGTATAATAAATTCTATTATGATGAGATTTGAATTTCTTCCCCGCAAGCTGAAGTCGTTTATTAGTTTATCTATGCAAAATGTATAAATGCTCAGATGAGACATCCCAGAAGCGTGACTAACAATACTGCGGACATTCAAAGGACTTGAAGTAAAAGATAAGGTCAATATAAAATGAATTATTTACAATGACATCATACGTTATAAATTGTTATACGAAAATATGTGCTTATTTAAGATAAGATGTTACAAAAAATCTTCTTTATCTTACGTGAAATTGTAAACATATCTTTGGTGTATGTGTATTTATGTACTATTAGGTCTTATCGTTCCTATGAAACGCTTAAACTGTCCCGGATTTCACGGTAGATGTTAAGGTAGTACTGGACAGAAATAAATGAATGAATATAACTCTTAAAGTATCAGACCTCTAAAGTCGCCTAATGTATTATTAAGAAGTTAGGTTTTATTTATTAATTTATTTATCTATTTATTTATTGGTAGGAGGGGCGTTACGCTTTTTTTAAACATCGACTCTTTTTACCCAAGATAGCAACTGTGTTATTACAGTGAAATAACATGATAATTGATTTATTGTTGCAGTAAGAATATGTACTAGTTGTCAGTACAGTATCATGTTATCCTGCCAGGTTAAGGCATCACAGTAGTAGATGATACTATCAAGATGCCCCTGACTGATTTAATCATAATTTGATAAGAGTCCTTAAGCCACCTTAAACTGTTTCAAGAGCGTATCCCTGACCTCAAATAGATAAACAAATCATTCAGTAGATTATTACATTGCAGGTTTCACATTGTAGTAGTAAAGTATGAAAGTTGGGTTTAAGATCGTTAATTATTATCATATATCACTTTTGAAGTAAGCAAAAATCACAATGAGATAGTATATTGTTAGTAATGTTAGTATAGACAGGAATGATTGTTAAATGTAATCATACATCAATACTGAATCAAAAATCACAATAAGACAGTATATTGCTAGTAATGTCAATATAGACAGGTATAGCCGAGAACATATACGCAGAAATGCAATGCTAACTACGTGAGTAAAAGTTGACGTAAAACATGTAGCAATTTATTCTGACTCGAGACACAAAAGACATAAGCTAAGGTTCGTTTAGGAGGTAATTATGATTAAATTCAAAGTTTCATTGCTGTTTGATATAAACACGCTTTTACACCTAAATTGACTTGGTAACAGATAAGCATTTTATTCCAAAACGAGGGCGACTATTCATACAACAGAAATTTCTAAGTGAGAAGCTTGGGATTATTTGTTTTGAAAGTTACATGAATTAATGTTTATGTCTATCATCTGTGTGTCTATCTTTCAAATGATTACCTATTGGATAATTTAGTCGATTTTCAAAATATTGAAATAATATTACATGACTCTGAACCTGAACACAGAGGAACTTAAACATAGACTAATTGAAATGTGACATTCACAATTCTACGCATACATTATTGAAAAGTACCCGTTGTATACGAATTGGTATCCCAATTTACATAATCAAGTGACATTAAGATTCTTTGCTTAATTTTAGAGAGTGTCTGTTAACCTTGTATTGTCGTGTTCTGCAGACTCCAAAAAGGGGCTCAATGAAGACGATGGAGATATTCTGTCTACAACCAACATTATACCTTTGTGTATTAAACAAATATCATAGAGTTACGTACAAAGATACGACAGACATGAACATGTCTATGATAAAATTATTAGTAGTCGTATAAAAAGACTGTGCCATGACGAGTATCTAAAAGTACATTCTAATATCAATCATCCTATGAGAGAATTAAATGTTAAATAGCCTTAGGACTACATATTTGGATTACTTACGTATCATCATCAGACTGAGCGTTGGACGTGTTATGCTGTTAACACTATCATCTGTGATAAACAAATATCGGCTTTTTGCTGGGTGCTCTCCCCTTAGCTATTATTTTCCTCTGAAATATCAGTAATATTATTTAAACAATTTTTACGCCTCTCCCTTCAATTGCTAACAGTTTTTTCTTCAGATGTTCATAGGTCGGTGTTTGCGCTCCTCTCGAAACAAAGCATTAGTAGTTAGTTATAGAACATTTATTGTAATGTTAATTACAAAATCCATTGTTTCTTTTAAAGTGCAAACTTTAAAAACAGTTTAATGGAAAAATCATTTGTAAAGGAAGCCGAAAGGAAAACGTTTCGATAAATAGTTTTTTTTTTATTAATTTACTCAGTACTAAGCACAAGTATGGGTTATTTTTTTTTAGGATTAACACATGCAAATTCAAACTGAAATTAACACAATTAAACATATTTACGTAATTTAGGTAGGCGTTATTGGGAGACCGGCATGTCTTATTAAGAGATAAGTAATCTTTTAAACCCATCATTAAAAAGACTATCAATTGCCACTTCCCAAACCTCTGGTATCACAATATCAGCTTCCACAACATTCAATTTGTCCCTACACTGTCTAATAATATTAGTTCCTACTATCACTGGACAATGGCTATTGTACTCAGTATCAGGTACCACAAGCACTGGAGCTACAAATTCTATATTAGTTAAGAATGGTAAAGTAATTACACATTCAATATAGCCAACACAACCTAATTTTGATCCATCTGCAACAGATATTTCCAAACCCAAATTATCTAAACTCCACAACTCTAGCTTATCCGACAACTTTTCATAACTAGTTTGTGATATTGTAATTACCATTGCTCCACTGTTTACAAAGGCCCTCAGGTCTAAATTGACCACTGTTATGACCTTGACCAAATCAGGACCCTCTCTGACCCCTATCACTACTTCCACCTTGGTTGTACCCTGACTTTTGACTCAAACTTTCCTGTCCTTCTAATTTACTCATTAAAGAATCCATTTTCTTCTCTGACTGACCAAATTTCTTACCACTAGATACAGAAGTACTTCTTTTTTGCTATTGATTTTTATCTCTTTCTCTACCCATCTTATCTCCCTTAGCAACTCATCATAATCTTTCATAATATCATACTTGTGTCTTGTCTGGCTTTTGAGTCTATCCGAAGACAAATAGGTCCAAAATTTGTGTCTAAGAAGTTCGCTTGTAGCAATTCAATCTAAGTACCTATATTGGCAATTGCTATTTTTAGCATACTTTCTAACCTGCAGCCAAATGAAGTAACAGATTCGTCGGGTTTCTGATAGGAATTGAAAAATTCCTGCATTATCATGCTATTAGTAGAGATATCACCAAACAATGTTTCTGATCTACTGTAGCTGATCCCCCTAAATGCATTAACATGCGTCTTGCTGTTCCCTTTAGTTACCTCCTAATAGCCTGGATCAATATATTTCCTGATACATCGTCGTCTTGATGAATACACTCTATCTCAAATTTCTATACTTGAAATGAAATATCCCCCTTCAGGGGTGGATCCTCCCCTGAAAACCGGGGTACCTTGGGTACTTGCATAGGTCTAGCAGGAGAATGAGTAGATTCAAATCTTGATTTCACATTATCCTCATCTTAATCAAAATCTTCAAAATCATTCTCATGATCATCTTTGTTTTTAAGAGAAATATCAATTCCACGTTGATTTACGTGCTTCTAACCATTTAGCCTCTTTTTTAGCTTGCCTCTTCTGCTTAGCTGGCATTTTGACTTGTAAATGTTACACATATACAAAATTTTATAATTAATGTAAAATAACCAAGTTATATTAAAGAAATGTATAATCACCAAAGGAATTGTACAAGCTAGCCATGCGATTGGGCAGTTCCATCGACAAGGCATGCATCTGTGGACTCTGGTTACCTAGCAACCTAAAAGTAAACAACTACACAATTCAGATAATTATACAGGTGTACCTGACCTGGTCTGTGAAGAAACCAAAATAATGCAATATACAACTGTAAGAACTGTACTATACAACAGAATCACCTATGACTGCCAATACAATGATTAATTGCAAGATAAGGCACTAAACACAAATCTTTTCATCCAACACCTTGCTATTACAGTGCTAGAATGAATACCGTCCTTGTATAGTAAGAAATTTACAGACGTCCTATTTTTGCTCTCTCCTTTTGATTTCCTATATTTCAAAAGATCAAACCGCAAACAAGGCGATCTCACAGTACCATTCTCATTGACCAGTTTTATATAGTCATTAATGAGAATAATTCTTTCACAAAGAATCTTGTCCTGATTCCTAAAACTAGAAGGATCCCTATGACCTTTAAACCGGTTCCACTCCTCAATTGAATATTGAGGGACTTCTACAAAAACTAAACTTACCCCTTTATATCGATTTAACAAAGGTACATACCTATCAATGTAATCTCTCAAATATTAAATAGCAAGGTAATCAGTGCTAAGTTTTATAAATTTCCCACCTTTAACAGTAAGGTCACATTTCCCTAATAATACGTACAGTACTATTTTCCTATACCGACTTAATTCATTTTCAAGGTTCCTTTCTAACCAAGGGAGGTAATCCGCAAAACGGGCACCTGCTTTGCATATAATATTAAAGTCAATCCCACAATTACGAGCTAAATCTAAATGAGATTTCAAGTAGCATAGCTTGCTGCTGTTCAATATTATTGGTTTTCCATCACAATAGCCACTACCAATAGGACTCTCTGTGAATTTAGTTAATTGACTTAAGGTCATATCCTGAAAATAAAACAAAAGTTGGGTTTATGAAGACTTACATTAACTACTGACTGCTACCAGCTTCTGTTCCCTAGACTTGTTTATGAGATTACACTGTGTCTCCAGACTGCCAAACAACAACTTGACCTGGAAGCTGGACTTGTCCTGGAAGTCGAATTAAGGTCAATCAATCAATCAAAAAATGGATTGGATTAGACAATAGCTAAACTGAAGTAACCACCCCTTACAAATAACACATGACATTCACAACAATTACACAGTATTGTCAACATTGTTACGTCATGTCTGAAAGTGCTGGTAAAGGATTGGGGGGAAATATGCAATATTAATCATGTTCTATCCCTAATCTTATAAGGAAACGTTAAATTAAATATTTTTACTTTATATTACTCGCGACAGATACCTTACGTTAATACGCGTTGCACGATTTATTGAACCATTCCGAAACCTTACACTTCCCTTTCACACGTTTACATGAGAAAAATACCATAGGTCAAATATCACATTTTACAGAGAATACATATATAAAATGAAACAGTCAATTATAACAGATTACTTAGTTCAAACGTTCCGTTCACCACATATTGCACGCTGTCACAGAAGTCTAGAAACCATCCACCCCATTCGTGTCCGTTCCGCCGGGTGGCAAGGGCAAGTTCGAACAGTTCCTCACGTGAGCTGGAGGTTCGAAACTGGGTCGCCTATATTATAGCCCGCTCCAGGAAAGTACATGAAACTAGGACCACTCCATCCCCGGTTCGCTGTATTCATCTAGTTGGGTGCCATATTTAGCCTAGATGGGTCGGATGTCGTAGTCAATACCCGGCACAGCGATTGCCATTCATGTTTTATTTACACAGAAGAAAAAACCTACAAAACAATACAAAGAATGAACACTCATTCATTCATTCATTCATTCATTCACATAACCAAGATAACATGAAATACCAACGGACCGGTAAGGTTATAATTATATGTCATAATTATTAATCGCGACGGCGTTTTATATCAATTAAAACGGATAAATAACTCACAGGGAACGGCTGCCTTGGATAATTCATAAATAAGTAATAAAGTGGAAATCAGTCGTGTACACGTCTTACGAGTACGACGAATAATCTGCAGACCTGTGGGGGACAAACCGCAGATCTTTATATAAGGGTGAAGGGTGACGTGTTATGATGTTAACACTATCTGTGATAAACAAATATCGGTTTTTTTCTGGTTACTCTCCCCTTAGCTATTATTTTCCTCTGAAATGTCAGTAATGTTATTGAAACAATTTTTACGCTTCTCCATTCAATTCCTAACAGTTTATTAAACATAGTTATTTAATTTAGGTAGGCGTTGTTGGGAGACCGGCAGGTTTTACTAAGAGATAAATAATCTGTTAAACCCCATTTAGAAACCAATTTGATCTCATCTCAAAAGATTTATTAAAGATAAATTCGTTATTTTATCATGTTTAGCATAACCAGTATTGTCCAGTCTGGTTCTAGACTTACATTATATGAGGTTTTGAGCTTATACACAGATATTGTACACAACTTAGGTATTTCAGCCATGAAAAAGGATGGCGAAGATGTCAAAAAATATTATAAAGGTTATCATGACGGCCAACATCTCCCTAAATCGGTCACTAAGTCAACATCTACATTATTTTCCTTATAAGAAAATAAAACTGGGGTATAACAAAAGAAATATATACATGGCGAGAAAGTACAAAAAAACAAAAGTACAAGGAGAAAAAGGTGCTATAGAAGAAGAGTAAGCCGATGACACCCGACATAGAAATCTTGATCAATTCAAATAAGTTATGTCACGTTTTTGTTTCAAAATGAGAACAAGATAACGAGCATCACTAAACCCGCCCAGCCGTAAACCTTCCCATTATTTTTTTCGCCATCTCGATCTTTTGAAAACCTTTGTTACGAGTTCGTTCGTTAGTTGAAAACTTTTTGAGCGAATAATGCACGTTAATGGGGACAGATCCTTAAGTAAGGAATCAACTTTGACATGTAAACACCACAGGATGGGAAAACAGGCTGTTGCAATACCAAAATGGAAAATTCACAATTTGGAATTTGAAATCACCACGCTTGTGATAAAACTTGACGGAAAGCTTTCATCAAGCTTATTTTATAGGTTTCCTCCTCCTTATCAAAGATAAGAATTTTAAATATTCTTAATTTTGAAATTTTAGCATCAAGGTCAAATAAGGTATTATTCGTGCGCGGCTTTGTCTAAAAGATTTTTTTGTATTCTGATCCTAAAATACATTCAAAGATGTCCAACGTTTTGAAAAGATCGCTTTCCGCATTTGTATGCATGTTTTGAAATTCAAAACATAAATTCAACAAACAAGAGTTGTTATTATAGATATCTGTACAGATGTATATTATGTATGTACTATTACATGTGTAATAGTCGGATCGATTGCAGTATCAAGTTAAGAAAAAACTGAATTAATTAATTCAAATCAATTGATGGCCTGAAAAAAGGACGGAACGGAATCTTTTTTCAGCATATAAGAAGAAAAAGAATGAATCTTATACGAAATACGCCAAAATAAAGTTTTAAGTATGTATATATTTTACATTTACAGAAGTCATAGATATGTGTTTAACATTAAGAAAAGTTGTAGACACACGTTAGTTAACATTAACATAAGTTATAGGCACAGCTTTAACATTTACAGATGTTACAGACACGTGTTTAACATTTACAGATGTGATAAACACATGTTAACATTTACAAATCTTAAAGACACTTGTTTAACATTTACATATGTTATAGTTACGTGTTTAACATTTACAGATGAAATGAACACGTGTTTAACATTTACAGATATTATTGACAGGTGTTCAGAAATAGATAGAAATGTGTTCAACATTCACTGACCTTCTAGTCACGTTTCCTACCTTTAAAGAAATTATAGGCGCATATTTAACATTTAGAGAAGGTCTAAGCACATGTTTTATGTTATATTGTTAACGCCTTTCGTTATTCAGTATTATACTAGACAAACTGTTTAACTCTCGTTGTCATAAGATAATGTCGTTTTATTTTAATGTTGAAGCTTCCTTGTGCTTTTCTTTGTACATTAAATTTATAATATATGTTTAATATGTTCACATTTCTCGAAACAGTGGTATTTCATTGAAAACACATATCATGCTATCAGATTACGACGTACTTTTACAATCACTTGACATGAGAGATATACAATAAAACAAAAGGAAATAGCAATTTTTATTGGCAACAAACAATATAAAATATAAACAATGTATTGTGCATCAACTGGCGAGTATATACAAAATTTGAGATGGAATATAGTTCTGCAGTACAATAAAATACATCAAGCGAAAACTTTATTTACTTAATAATTTAAGAAAATGTCAAAGTAAGAAGATGTTATTCATGTTAGTCATCAAATATTCATTCCTCCATACATTCACCGGAAATGACGATATAGTCCCTTTCTACACGCCTGTGTTGTCGTGTGCCTTTCTGAAGGCTCCAAGCGTAACTATATTTGTTTAACGTGTCCACTTCACTCATTGCTTTCTTGTCTAAAACTGCTCTCCTCACAAATACTTTGCAGCCTTGCTCTACAACACTTTGTATTTGTCTGTGAAGTCGGAGTTTGGCTCCAAATAGAAGGTTGTATTCCCATTCACGGTTATCAATGGTACCAGAAATTACTTTGGAAAACATAACGTGCCGTTTTCCTCGCCTTTTCGTTTGTACTGCTATCTCATAAAGAGCTGATTTGCATTTGTCTCTGAAAAGTTGGATACGTTTATGGCACGTTCCTTTGAATTTTCTTCTGAAGCCATTTTTCGTTTTAGGTTCATTGACGTCTGTTGGAATATATGCGAGTCGCCACGATGACCAATCAAGACAGTTGCACGTGAATACGGTTTCCGCTGTTTTCTCTCTTGGAATCATTTTAGCATCATCATTGCAGATGAGTTTGTCCTGGAATAATAAATTACATGTCATTAATATTTTTATATAACGGTCTACTTGACCTTCGGTTTTCACGAAAACTAATTTTATTTTTAGTAAAATGGAATTCATCTAACAGAAAAATGACCAATGATAGAAATATGATATGTACCTTGATATTCTTGACTGTCACGTTTCTACGCTTTGGATTGACCTTTGACCTAGACGGGTCGACTTTTGTCCTTCTTGGAACGCCCTTCACTGGTTTTGGCACAGAAGAAATCGCTGATGGGGTTGACAATGGTGAAATAACTGGCGGCGCTGAGTGAATGCCACTTGTACCTGAATCAGCCTTTCTCAGAGTTCCGAATAATCCCTCCAGATCTCTGTGGATACCACCTGGTCCATATCGTCCGCGGACTTCGGCTTCATAGCCCTGAAGTAAACAGATAACAATATTATTATTAAATGTTTTCATTTAACACATAAATGTCAGTGTAAATTAAACTTAAGAATTTTATTTCAAGGAAAGGAAAAATAAATCGTTTTAAACTCAATGTATTTAGTACTTACAGAGAAGAGATCGTCGCCCCTTTCCCGATAACAGATGGCCATGAGGAAGTCACAGATGTTGGAGAATTCATTGAGCTTGAGGTAATGTCCTTCAGTGTTTGCTGATATTGTCTTGTAGAAGTCGTCAATACCTTCATTTTCAAACACTTGTACGCCATATATCTTAACACCCTGAAATAATCCAAATTTGGCGGTGGTTATTATACAATCAATATATAATTAATTAATGGTCGTATTTCAATGTAAGTACTAATTATTGTAAAATACGTCAAGTTGTCAACTTATATCAAATAATCATTTGACAACAAACTTACCATATTGTGAAGATCAGCGACTTCAGCTCTCCAGTCAATGTTGTCCACATTCAACTCATACTCGGGTTCGTGTGGTTTGGCGTCTCCAATCATGACCAGAATTTTTTGTGATGCTGGAGTCCATGAGAAGTTTTGTCGGACCATGCGGAGAATAAGCTCGTAACATTCATCTTCGTCGCCGCCACCAGTACCCTCTACACCTTTTACAAAGTTACAAAGTTCTACGACGTCGCTACAAAGGTCCAGTTGCTTTGTAAGATAGAAGACCTTTTCATCACAGTAGTCCCCGTGGGCTATGACACCAATTCTTATGCCTGGAATGTCCGCCTGAAGGCGCTGTATCATGTCCTGTAACCGTCCCTGGACCTCCTCAAGTATAGAGGACATCGATCCAGTAGTGTCAAAGGAGAATACGATTTCGAGGAGTCCTCCTGGAGGAAGCATGGATGGTGTTGCCATAGTTGTCAGAATCTGAAATAAGTTTAAATTGTCATTAATTTATTGATTGATTTACATCTTTGTCTTATATTTTGTATAATGTCGATAATAGAATTAAGATTTTTAGAGTAATATTATCTCCTTACAATAGCTCGTTTTTATTGATAACTAACATTTATACAGTGACTAATTAACAAAAATGCTTACATTTTAAAGTGTACATCTAGTTATAAATGTATCAAATGGTGGTTTTAATTATCATTTTTTAAAACCTTTCATACGATTTGTTAATAATTAAAATTACCTTTGACATATATCAGTAGGTAAATATATATGTAGATACTATTAATTTATAGATGGAGCGAGTTTACGCTGCCTGCTCTGAATAGCTGTATACTAGTAAGTATAGTGTGTTCACTTTCCCGATCCAATACACACTGCTGTCTGTCGTCTGCTCACAGCCGTATTTATACTGTTTCCCCGGGACAAGCCGAGACTTGTTCGCTAAAAATACGCCGCTACATGTTTGATCGATGAACACGATGCAATGAAAATATAAAAGGTGTATCGAATTAAACAAACTGTGTCACGGTCTTCTCGGACTTCATCATAGAAGCCCTTTATTTTGAATATTGCTATGTTTGCACATTCGAAAGGAACACTGAATGCAAATATTTTATATAACATCCAACTCTATACACGAAACCATTACGTTCATATCTTGTAATCAGTGAACAATATTGATTGTGTACATGTTAATAGAAACAATATCTGACATATACCGGTACAAGTGCTTTGTAAAATGTGTAACCTGATTTAAGATCAACGGAAATAATTAGTACAGGTATTTTATTACTGATGTATCAAACTTTTCCAAGTGATTTCTGAACCAAACGAATGGTGCGGTCTAAATTTATCAAAGTATATTATATATATGTAATTCCAACGCTTTACTCTTGATATAAAACCTATTCATGTCCTGGTTCCTGTTGTCCATTTTCCTGAAATTGGCTGAGCAATTTACAAACACGTATTATTTGTTCGTTTATTCTACTTTCCATATATTGAATCATATCTTCACAGCATATTACATTTTAAAAATATTTTCTCAATAATACTTTCATTTACAAGTATTTTTCTTTTCAGTTGAAATTATTTCTTGACATCATACATTACATACAGAAAATTTGTCAAAGTCAGTAAAAATCTCTATTTTAAATTATTGCTTGATTCTAGTGAAGAAAAAAATATCTTAACCTTACACAAAGTATTTCCATGTGGAATTCTACATTAAAAAGAGCAAATTACTGCTTTGATGCTTCCTGTAATATTGTCATTTTATAGATATTGTTATCTCCAGTATTATTGTTTAACGAGAAACATTGGTGATATCTCCTGTAATATTGATATACCACAAACATGGCTGACATCCCCTGTATTATTGATATACCAGAAGCGTTGTTCATATCTCCTGTATATTTTGTATGACTGAAACATCGCTACACCTTTCAAAGTTTACAACACATGCTAACTATCTTCTAAGAAGTTATGATGAACTGTTACATCGCTGTCCATCATTAACAATATACGTTAGTTGACTCAATCATCATTTTTATCAATAAACAATATCATAATTATTATTACAGATATATATAATGTCTTATGTTAACAGCATAAACCTTAGAGTTATGAAATCAATAATGATATAATTATTTTATCCGTTACGGATATAGATCAACGTCGATTTCCAAATCACAATATCATCTGTATGTTTGTGACGGATACGTTTTCTTTGTCTTAACTAATGCTTCTTTCTGATATAGAGAAATAATCCAATCTGTTTGTTATTACATTTTCTACAGTGTGAAATATGGTTTGTTTATTTTCTATTAGTCAGTATCGTTGGTGTCAGCTTATACAACTAACTCATATTTCTGGAAACAAGTGATATTTTATTGAAAACAGAGACGGCCTTATCAGAATATGTCGTACCTTTACAATTTAATTAAAATTCAGTTTTCACGACAACTAATTTGATTTCTAGGAAAATAAATTCATTTAGTGGAAAACAATAAATAATAACAATAAGATATATACTATGATATCAGTATTTGCATTCAGTGTCCCTTTCGAATGTAAGGGCTTCTATGATAAAGTCCGAGAAGACAATGACGCAGTTCGTTTCATTCGATACACCTTTCATATTTTCTTTGCATCGTGTTTATCGATCAAACATGTAGTGGCGTATTTTTAGCGAACAAGTCTCAGCCTGTCCCGGGAAACAGTATAAATAGGGCTGTGAGCAGACGACAGACAGCAGTGTGTATTGGATCGGCAAGGTGAACACACTATACTTACAAGTAAACAACTATTCAGAGCAGGCAGCGAAAACTCGCTCCACCGATAAACTAATAGTATCTACATTTATATTTACCTACTGATATATGTCAAAGGTAATTTTAAATATTAACAAATCGTATGAAAGGTTTTTAAAAAGGATAATTAAAACCACAATTTGATACATTAATAACTAGATGAACAATTTAAAATCTAAGCATTTTTGTTAATTAGTCACTGTATAAATGTTAGTTATCAATAAAAACGAGCTATTGTAAGGAGATAAGGAGATAATATTATTCTAAAATATCTTAATTCAATTATCGACATTATACAAAATATAAGACAAAGATGTAAATCAATCAATAAATTAATGACAATTTAAACTTATTTCAGATTCTGACAACTATGGCAACACCATCCAGGCTTCCTCCAGGAGGACTTCTCGAAATCGTATTCTCCTTTGACACTACTGGATCGATGTCCTCTATACTTGAGGAGGTCCAGGGACGGTTACAGGACATGATACAACGCCTTCAGGCGGACATTCCAGGCATTAGAATCGGTGTCATAGCCCACGGGGACTACTGTGATGAAAAGGTCTTCTATCTTACAAAGCAACTGGACCTTTGTAGCGACGTCGTAGAACTTTGTAACTTTGTGAAAGGTGTAGAGGGTACTGGTGGCGGCGACGAAGATGAATGTTACGAGCTTATTCTCCGCATGGTCCGACAAAACTTCTCATGGACTCCAGCATCACAAAAAATTCTGGTCATGATTGGAGACGCCAAACCACACGAACCCGAGTATGAGCTGAATGTGGACAACATTGACTGGAGAGCTGAAGTCGCTGATCTTCACAATATGGTAAGTTTGTTGTCAAATGATTATTTGATATAAGTTGACAACTTGACGTATTTTACAATAATTAGTACTTACATTGAAATACAACAATTAATTAATTATGTATTGATTGTATAATAAACATCGTTAAATTTGGATTATTTCAGGGTGTTAAGATATATGGCGTACAAGTGTTTGAAAATGAAGGCATTGACGACTTCTACAAGACAATATCAACAAATACTGAAGGACATTACCTCAAGCTCAACGAATTCTCCAACATCTGTGACTTCCTCATGGCCATCTGTTATCGGGAAAGGGGCGATGACCTCTTCTCTGTAAGTACTAAATTCATCAAGTTTAAAACGATTTGATTTATTCTTTTATCTTAAAATTTTGTAGTTTGATTTACACTGACCTTCATGTGTTATATGAAAACATTCAATAATATTGTTATCTGTCTACTTCAGGGCTATGAAGCCGAGGTCCGCGGACGATATGGACCGGGTGGTATTCACAGAGATCTGGAGGGATTATTCGGAACTCTGAGAAAGACTGATTCAGGTACAAGTGGCATACACCCAGCGCCGCCAATTATTTCACCATTGTCAACCCCAACCACGACTTCTCCAGCGCCACAACCTTTGAAGGGCGTTCCAAGAAGGACAAAAGTCGACCCGTCTAGGTCAAAGGTCAATCCAAAGCGTAGAAACGTGACAGTCAAGAATATCAAGGTACATATCATATTTCTATCATTGGTCATTTTTCTGTTAAATGAATTCCATTTTACTAAAAATAAAATTAGTTTTCGTGAAAACGGAATGTCAAGTAGGCTGTTATATAAAAATATTAATGACATGTAATTTATTATTCCAGGACAAACTCATCTGCAATGATGATGCTAAAATGATTCCAAGAGAGAAAACAGCGGAAACCGTATTCACGTGCAACTGTCTTGATTGGTCATCGTGGCGACTCGCATATATCCCAACAGACGTCAATGAACCTAAAACCAAAAATGGCTTCAGAAGAAAATTCAAAGGAACGTGCCACAAACGTATTCAACTTTTCAGAGACAAAAGCAAATCTGCTCTTTATGAGATAGCAGTACAAACGAAAAGGCGAGGAAAACGGCACGTTATGTTTTCCAAAGTAATTTCTGGTACCATTGATAACCGTGAATGGGAATACAACCTTCTATTTGGAGCCAAACTCCGACTTCGCAGACAAATACAAAGTGTTGTAGAGCAAGGCTGCAAAGTATTTGTGAGGAGAGCAGTTTTAGACAAGAAAGCAATGAGTGAAGTTGACACGTTAAACAAATATAGTTATGCTTGGAGCATCCAGAAAGACACACGACAACACAGGCGTGTAGAAAGGAACTATATCGTCATTTCCGGTGAATGTATGGAGGAATGAATATTTGATGACTGACATGAACAATGTCGTTTTACTTGGATGTTTCCGTTAATTATAAAGTAAATTCCATGTAGTCCGCTTTATGATTTTTATTTTACTGTAGAACGATATTTTATTTGACATTTTGTTATAACACTTGCCATTTGATGTACATTTCATGGTCCATTTTCATATTGTTTAATTTGTATAGTTTTAAATAAAAATGAATATGTTCCAATGTTTTGTTTTGTCTATAATGTCAAATAATTGTTAAGTTATGACATATTCTGATAACACCGTCTTTGTTTTCAATAAGAAATCACTTATTTCCAGAAATATGAGTTAGTTGTATAAGCTGACACCAACGATACCGTGACTAATAGAAAATAAACAAACCATATTTCACACTGTAGAAAATGTAATAACAAACAGATTGGATTATTTCTCTATATCAGAAAGAAGCATTAGTTAAGACAAAGAAAACGTATCCGTCACAAACATACAGATGATATTGTGATTTGGTTATCGACATTGATCTACATCCGCAACGGATAAAATAATTATATCATTATTGATTTCATAACTTTAAGGTTTATGCTGTTGACATAATACGTTATATACATTCGCAATAACATAATGATATTGTTTATTGATAAAAATGATGATTTAGTCAACTAAAGCGTATATTTTCAATGATTGACAACGATGTTACTGTTCATCAGAACTCATTCAACGATCGATAGCGTGTGTTGTAAACTTTGAATAACGGAACGAGTGACAATGTACTGTCATACCAGTAATACAGGAGATATCAGCCATGTTTCTGGTATACCAATAATACAGGAGATATCAGCCATGTTTCTGGTATAACAATAATACAGGAGATATCACTAATGTTTCTGGTATATCAATAATACATGAGACGTCAGCCATGTTTCTGGTATATCAATAATACAGGAGAGGAGATATCAGCCATGTTTCTGGTATATCAATAATACAGGAGATATCAGCTATGCTTCTGGTATACCAATAATACAGGAGATATCAGGCATGTTTCTGGTATACCAATAATACAGGAGATATCAGCCATGTTTCTGGTATATCAATAATACAGGAGATATCAGCCATGTTTCTGGTATATCAATAATACAAGAGACATCAGCCATGTTTCTGGTATATCAATAATACAGGAGATATCATCTAGGTATCTAGTATACCAACAATACAGGAGATATCAGCCATGTTTCTGGTATACCAATAATACAGGAGATATCAGTCATGTTTCTGGTATATCAATAATACAAGAGACATCAGCCATGTTTCTGGTATATCAATAATACAAGAGACATCAGCCATGTTTCTGGTATATCAATAATACAGGAGATATCAGCCATGTTTCTGGTATACCAATAATACAAGAGACATCAGCCATGTTTCTGGTATATCAATAATACAAGAGACATCAGCCATGTTTCTGGTATATCAATAATACAGGAGATATCAGCCATGTTTCTGGTATACCAATAATACAGGAGATATCAGTCATGTTATTAAAATGACAATATTACAGGAAGTATAAAAACAGTTATTTGCTCTTTTTAATGTAGAATTCCACATAGAAATACTAAGTGTAAGGTAAAATAAACTTTTGTTCACTATAGTCAAGCACTGATTTTAAATAGAGATTTTTACTTACTTTGACAAATTTTCTGTATGTAATGTATGATGTCAAGAAACAATTTCAAATGAAATGATAAAAACTTGTAAATGAAAGTATTATTGAGAAGATATTTTAAAAATGTAATATGCTGTCAAGATATGATTCAATATATGGAAAGAACAATAAACGAACAAATAATACGTGTTTGTAAATTGCTCAGCCAATTTCAGGGAAATGGACAACAGGAACCAAAACATCAATAGGTTTTATATCAAGAGTAAAGCGTTGGAACTACATGTATATAGAATATACTTAGATAAATTAAACCGCACCATTAGCTCTGTTAGGATATCACTTGGAAATGTTTGACACATCACGACAATTTTATTCCAAGTCAGGTTGCACATTTTACAATGGACTGGTACAAGAATATGCCAAATATTGTTTCTATTACAATTTTGTTCACTAGTTACAAGATATGAACGTAATCGTTTCGTGTATAGAGTTGTATATCATATATTACTATTTGCATTCAGTGTCCCTTTCGAATGTGCGAACATAGCAATATTCAAAATAAAGGGCTTCTATGATAAAGTCCGAGAAGACAGTGACGCAGTTTGTTTAATTCGATACACCTTTTATATTTTCATTGTATCGTGTTCATCGATCAAACATGTAGTGGCGTATTTTTAGCGAACAAGTCTCAGCCTGTCCCGGGGAAACAGTATAAATAGGGCTGTGAGCAGACGGCAGACAGCAGTGTGTATTGGATCGGCAAGGTGAACACACTATACTTACTAGTATACAGCTATTCAGAGCAGGCAGCGAAAAATCGCTCCACCGATAAACTAATAGTATCTACATTATATTTACCTACTGATATATGTCAAAGGTAATTTTAAATATTAACAAATCGTATGAAAGGTTTTAAAAAATGATAATTAAAACCACAATTTGATACATTAATAACTAGATGAACAATTTAAAATCTAAGCATTTTTGTTAATTAGTCACTGTATAAACGTCAGTTATCAATAAAAACGAGCTATTGTAAGGAGATAATATTACTCTAAAGTATCTTAATTCTAACAGCGACGTTATACAAAATATAAGACAAAGATGTAAATCAATCAATAAATTAATGACAATTTAAACTTATTTCAGATTCTGACAACTATGGCAGCACCATCCATGCTTCCTCCAGGAGGACTCCTCGAAATCGTCTTCTCCTTTGACACTACTGGATCGATGTCCTCTATACTTGAGGAGGTCCAGGGACGGTTACAGGACATGATACAGCGCCTCCAGGCGGACATTCCAGGCATTAGAATCGGTGTCATAGCCCACGGGGACTACTGTGATGAAAAGGTCTTCTATCTTACAAAGCAACTGGACCTTTGTAGCGATGTCGTAGAACTTTGTAACTTTGTGAAAGGTGTAGAGGGTACTGGTGGCGGCGACGAAGATGAATGTTACGAGCTTATTCTCCGCATGGTCCGACAAAACTTCTCATGGACTCCAGCATCACAAAAAATTCTGGTCATGATTGGAGACGCCAAACCACACGAACCCGAGTATGAGCTGAATGTGGACAACATTGACTGGAGAGCTGAAGTCGCTGATCTTCACAATATGGTAAGTTTGTTGTCAAATGATTATTTGATATAAGTTGACAACTTGACGTATTTTACAATAATTAGTACTTACATTGAAATACAATATGGTAAGTTTGTTGTCAAATGATTATTTGATATAAGTTGACAACTTGACGTATTTTACAATAATTAGTACTTACATTGAAATACAACAATCGATTAATTATGTATTGATTGTATAATAAACATCGTTAAATTTGGATTATTTCAGGGTGTTAAGATATATGGCGTACAAGTGTTTGAAAATGAAGGCATTGACGACTTCTACAAGACAATATCAGCAAACACTGAAGGACATTACCTCAAGCTCAATGAATTCTCCAACATCTGTGACTTCCTCATGGCCATCTGTTATCGGGAAAGGGGCGATGACCTCTTCTCTGTAAGTACTAAATACATTGAGTTTAAAACGATTTATTTTTCCTTTTTTCTTCTTGAAATAAAATTCTGAAGTTTAATTTACACTGACTTTTATGTGTTACACGAATGCATTCAATAATAATGTTGTTATCTGTTTACTTCAGGGCTATGAAGCCGAGGTCCGAGGACGATATGGACCATGTGGTATCAACAGAGACCTGGAGGGATTATTTGGAACTCTGAGAAAGACTGGTTCGGGTACAAGTGGCATACACCCAGCCCCGCCAATTATTTCACCATTGTCAACCCCAACCACGACTTCTCCAGCGCCACAACCTTTGAAGGGCGTTCCAAGAAGGACAAAAGTCGACCCGTCTAGGTCAAAGGTCAATCCAAAGCGTAGAAACGTGACAGTCAAGAATATCAAGGTACATATCATATTTCTATCATTGGTCATTTTTCTGTTAGATGAATTCCATTTTACTAAAAATAAAATTAGTTTTCGTGAAAACCGAAGGTCAAGTAGACCGTTATATAAAAATATTAATGACATGTAATTTATTATTCCAGGACAAACTCATCTGCAATGATGATGCTAAAATGATTCCAAGAGAGAAAACAGCGGAAACAGTATTCACGTGCAACTGTCTTGATTGGTCGTCGTGGCGACTCGCATATATCCCAACAGACGTCAATGAACCTAAAACCAAAAATGGCTTCAGAAGAAAATTCAAAGGAACGTGCCACAAACGTATCCAACTTTTCAGAGACAAATGCAAATCTGCTCTTTATGAGATAGCAGTACAAACGAAAAGGCGAGGAAAACGGCACGTTATGTTTTCCAAAGTAATTTCTGGTACCATTGATAACCGTGAATGGGAATACAACCTTCTATTTGGAGCCAAACTCCGACTTCACAGACAAATACAAAGTGTTGTAGAGCAAGGCTGCAAAGTATTTGTGAGGAGAGCAGTTTTAGACAAGAAAGCGATGAGTGAAGTGGACACGTTAAACAAATATAGTTACGCTTGGAGCCTTCAGAAAGGCACACGACAACACAGGCGTGTAGAAAGGGACTATATCGTCATTTCCGGTGAATGTATGGAGGAATGAAATGGGTACATACATTGTTTCACTTTGGTATTTACTTAAAAAGTGGATTGATAAAGATGTATTGAGATATAAATTTGATACATTGAAAATTATATTGAACTGAATTTTTAATATCATGCATTGTTTTTGCTACTTGTCCTAATGTTGATGTTTGTTTCAAATAAAATATTATATTTAGAAACTGTTCTTATTATTTCATATAACAAATTAGGTATGGAACCAGAAATGTTTGGTGCGGAGTAAAACTTCTCACATAGGTAAGGAGTGGTGAAGAGAGTACATAAAGCAAATGTTCAACACAAAGTCAGAATTAGATACAGTTGTATAGCAAACGTTAATATGAACTGCATCATACAGCCGTGCCTTCTCTCTAGGACTCGTTAGTGTACTACACCATACGGTCGTGTCTTCTCTCTAGGACTCGTTAGTGTACTACACCATACGGTCGTGTCTTCTCTCTAGGACTCGTTAGAAATGCTACACCATACAGGTGTGTCTTCTCACTAGGACTCGTTAGTGATACTAAGGAACTGCACCATACAGGTGTGTCTTCTCTCTAGGACTCGTTAGTGATGCTACATTATAAAGCTGTGCCTTCCCTCTAGGAATCGTTAGTGATGCTACATTATACAGGTGTGCCTTCCCTCTAGGACTTGTTAGTGATACTACACCATACGGTCGTGTCTTCTCTCTAGGACTCGTTAGAGATGCTACACCATACAGTCGTGTCTTCTCTCTAGGACTCGTTAGTGATACTAAGGACCTGCACCATACAGGTGTGTCTTCTCTCTAGGGCTCGTTAGTGATGATTAGGACCTACACCATACAGGTGTGTCTTCTCTCTAGGGCTCGTTAGTGATGTTAAGTACCTATATCAAACAGGTGTGTCTTCTCTCTAGGGCTCGTTAGTGATGCTAATGATCTACACATACCGGTGTGTCTTCTCTGTAGGACTCGTTTGTGATGCTAAGGACCTATATCATACAGGTGTGTCTTCTCTCTAGGGCTCGTTAGTGATGCTAAGTACCTACACCATACAGGTGTGTCTTCTCTCTAGGACTCGTTAGAGATGCTACACGATACAGTCGTGTCTTCTCTCTAGGGCTAGTTAGTGATGTTACACCATACAGGTGTGTCTTCTCTCTAGGGCTCGTTAGTGATACTTAGGACCTACATCATACAGGTGTGTCTTCTCTCTAGGACTCGTTAGTGATACTAAGGTCCTACACCATACAAGTGTGTCTTCTCTCTAGGGCTCGTTAGTGATACTTAGGACCTACATCATACAGGTGTGTCTTCTCTCTAGGACTCGTTAGTGATACTAAGGTCCTACACCATACAAGTGTGTCTTCTCTCTAGGACTCGTTAGTGATACTAAGGTCCTACACCATACAAGTGTGTCTTCTCTCTAGGACTCGTTAGTGATACTAAGGTCCTACACCATACAAGTGTGTCTTCTCTCTAGGACTCGTTAGTGATACTAAGGTCCTACACCATACAAGTGTGTCTTCTCTCTAGGACTCGTTAGTGATACTAAGCTCCTACACCATACAAGTGTGTCTTCTCTCTAGGACTCGTTAGTGATACTAAGGACCTACATCATACAGGTATGTCTTCCCTCTAGGATATACAAATGATTTGTACCTTCAGGCATTCGTTTCGAATTAGACCAGAAATGGACAGAAATAATTCCCGCATTTGATGATTGTTACTGAACAGTAGAACCATACATGATACAAGAAACATTATTTGTGTAAGATGTTAAGTGATGTATACTTGCTGCTTTCTAGCGATTCGGTTAGAAAGAACCTCTCTGAAGTCAGAGGTCCAAGGTGTGATCCCTGGCAGATCTAAAGGTAAACGACAAACGTTACATGATTACTGCCGTGTCGCTAGAGCATGTTATAAGTTTAGGTTGGGACATGGACACAACACTAGTATGTAAAATAACTTATATACGATTTACCTGTGTTCTTGTTTGTTAACCCAACATGTCACTTATTTGACTAGTATAGGGCTGTTCAGAATCGATAATCTTTTTAAAATGTTCAATATTGAAAATAATCAAATTCGTCCAATTGTAGTTTTAAGGTAAGAGTGCACCTCAGCAGATCGATTTTGGTATTTTATTTGACCAATTTGGATTTTTCTCAGTCGTGCCCATGAGTTTAAGAATGAGGAGTTCTAGAAGGACTATACAACTGTCTGATACAATTAAATTCGGTCAACATGCTGTGTCTATAATTGGTATCGTCAGGTGCTATTAACGTTGGTGTGTTTTATACAATCATTGTATCCTAAAATACTCAGAAAGGATATTCCTTGTTTTTAATCTAACACTATCAAACAGAGAAGGAACGCAAGACATTTATAATTCATCTTGTTTTTGTTGAAAACCGTGTGTTCTAAAACATAGCCGGATGCAGAGAAAGGGTATTAGAGAATTAATCTTGATCATTGATGAGAATTTGCTAGACATGATATGCAGCATTTAAGGTATATGTTCTTGTTTTGAAGACTAGTAGTAAACATTACATATATCTATATCGATATAAAGGATAAAAAGAAAAACAAAACCTTTTTAATACATTGTAGGATTTATTGTGAATATATGAATATGTTTTTCATCAAACACTATTGCACAGTTTCTTCATTCATCCTATATGGATATGAATTTCTCGAAATACAGCATCTTAACCAACACCAATTTGTGAGACATCTGAACAAAACCTAGTGAGAGAGGAACCTAGGACAACCTAAGCATGCAGTTCTCTCATATGAAATCATCCCCTTGGAGTGTCTGATTTACATAATGTTACAGATGAAATATGATGTATTATCACAACATCTATTAACAATAACCCAATCCCTTTTAAAATTCCCACTGAACAATTATCCATGTTAATGATAAGGCGCAGAGTTACAATGAAATATAAGGTGGAAGTAGACATGAAAGTATGGTTTCAATTGTAGCTACCAACACACTTTTTAGGGAAAGATATATAATACCAAGTCATTTGCTGATAAAACAACAACAAAAAAGAATATTTTTCAATAGTGACAATATCAATATCCAATTTAAAAAAGGTAGTATTAAGCAGAAATATCAATAAGTAGGAGTCCCAGTCAGAGTGACCTTTTCAACAAAAAGATGCAATCATTCTAGGCATCAAGTGGCAACTGACATCATCCTAGGCAACAAGTTGCAACTGACATCAAGTTTAAAGTGTAATTTATGTTCAAAAGGATTTAAAAATTGAAACAGATTGTTGATGTTGGTATCACAGTATTCCCACTAAAGCAATATTACAGTGACTAGTTAAAATGACTGATGTGATTTCATTTAAGTTTGTTTTTTATTATTTTTATACGAAGTGGAATCTATGACAAAATGTTAGTGTTAAGTGTTGATAAAGTCAGAGATGAATACACTAAAATTACGGATGTTAATCTTTAAGTAGCCTAAAGCTAATGTTTATAGTTAACACTTCAAGAACAAAGATTACAAATCTTAAAAACAAATTCCTGGTTTGATAACTAGACTATTCACCCATCAGGCTGAACTTCAACAAGATGACCATTTCCTATGTTAGACTGGACCTAAGCTCCAGAAATGAATGTGAGCTTCTCTATAACAAGTACTAATAACTGAAGGTCAACAAGACTTTACCCTTCTGTTCTGACTACTCCACCTACAAAATATTTCTACAAGGTCTTCATCACAAAATTTCAACATTTTACTATGGTGTGAAATTATTAACTTTTGAGGATGTTTCATTTTCATTTATTTTGAAAAACCACAAAAATCGAGCTTCATAAAAAAATCGATCTTCAAGTCATTTGCTTTGATTGAGTAAGTTGTTCTAAAAATGTCTTCAAATTTCATGCATTTCATTAAAATATGACTTCATTTAATTGTATTTATTGAAGATTACTTTCTAATCCCATTAAGAAATATTACAAAAAGTCAAAGTTTAAACAGATATCTGTAACTTTTACAAAAATATTTTACCCTTTACTGATAAAGCCTGTATTTTCATCAGACTTTAAGTGAGATGTTCAAGTAGCCTAGGGAAATGTTTAGTGACTGTGCTCAACAAATTCCCTGTCCCTGTTTCTAAATAAAATATCCTTGACAGAGATTACTCTGACACACAAAAACTATAGAAGTGCTATCATTACAACACTTCAAGACTTTATAATACATAACAAGGTTCAATTCTGAATTTTGAACAAACCAAAGTAATTTTATTATATATCATACTGTAGATTTAACATTCATTAGTAATCCACAAAATTATCACCAATTACTTTCCACATGAAACTTTTTGATAAAAAGCACTTCATGCACTCTCGTATAAATATAATCTCCATTAGGTGTGAAATTCATTTACCGCCCGGTATACCTGTAGCCTCAAATGTAAACACAATTAACAAGTAATGAGGAAAAATACTACAAAACACTCATTTCCTGAGTAGAATGGAAATAAAACAAAAACATTGAATAGTTTTTAACTAAAATAAACAATGTTTAGATGTAAATAAGCACTTTATACAGTAACACATCTACTGGTTAAAACTACCAGATATTCATTATAGTATGCACAGTGGTATTGGAGTATGATTTTTAAATGATATTTGATATTTTTAAGACGTGTTTACAATTTATAACAATTTATATTACTACTTAAATGATGCTAAAGTGCTATTTTTGGGGGAAAAATACACTTGTATTAGTGTAAAAAAGTCATTTAGCATCTTCAGAAAAAAATCATTAATTCAGAGAGTCCTTGTACAGGTAATAATCTAAAGACAAAGAACAAAACATTTAAGCAAAACAAGTCAGCAGATTTCATGTGATACATGTGAAATTTATGAATTTAACATACGAAGTCATCAATTAATACACAAAGGCAACAATTAATTATTCATTTTAAAAAAATTAATATCACATTCATCAGCTTCACCAACAGCAAATATTTACATTTCTCCCTAACTCAAACCTGTGTATACCATAAACCTGCATATTACGAACTCTTGTCCAGTTCCTAACTAGTCTAAAATGTATAGGTCATTACATGGCAGGGTAAACATTTATGGCAGGGTTCTCATACAAAACATGTACAATGAAAGACGTTTGTAGCAGTGACAGAGCTGTAAATTCATTTACATAAACTTAGGTGTTGCTACCACTTCTTAAATACTGCACTCTACAAACGTACTGAAAAATTTACACAAATATATCACCTAAGTTGATAAAATAATGAAAATAAAACCCTAGAAACCTTGGTATGGACTGATTTTAATGCGTGTTGGTTTGATGTCGACATACAACATCACATTCTGATGATCTGTACAACCTATTTCTGAACAAACATTGAAGAATAAATATTACTGCATTTATACTGTAAAGAACCCAGGTATTCAAAACAAGACTTCTAATAAAAGAGGCGGGCTTATTACATGGCAATGATACAATATTTGTTGACATTTTGACTGAGATACAATTGATTTTGGTGGTCTCGGACCAGATGTAGATGTTTTACAGGTTAACATGGTGTCAAATTAACATATGATGAGTTTTACATATGTAAACTGAAAGACCTAGGCCAACCCTACAATTAACCATAAACTGCTGGAGCATAATATCACATGAATACTGACCATATCATAGCATAGTGTTGCTGATTGTACATGGCAAGGTATGGTCTCGTAAATACAGTAAGAAAACAAAATACAGGAAATAAAGACAGCAAACGGCCTTGTTTCATATAGCATAAAATATCACAGGGTCCTGTTGTGTCAGGAAATACAAACAGCAAAGGGCTATTCAGTTTCTTTTTCAACTTTAATCCTTCTTATCTTTGTTTTGGTAAGCATGCTTTGTTGTTTTTTTTTTCTAAATACACTATAATATTAACTCTACAAAGGCTTTAGCGTTTAAATGAAATTACTGGATTAAGTACTTAGCCTGATACAAATTGTTTTTATCAAAAACACACGGAAATCATTGTTAATAAACTATAATATTTAATGCCCATTAAATGCTGTATTGCAAAAGTGTAAAACAATCACAAAAAGATCTGACAAAGTTGCACGGATACCCTTTTTAAATCAACAATATCAAGTTTACATCCAATATACATGTCACCTGACTTGACGATTTCAGATGTAAAAATGATCACAAATTTCCAATTTTTTTAGCTTTGTGTTACAAATAGGAAAGTCAAATTATACTTTTGCTGTACAGTTAATACTTGTACATAGATTTACATATATCATGCATTTTTATGTATTTTTTGAGTTTCAACAAGAACTTCGTGAAGACATAAAACCGTGTCCCTTAACATACTGTAATAGTTGTTTTTTTTTAAGGGTTCTAGAATTTTGCTGTTTTAAAGGATGGAATAAAATGAACAAAGAAAAAAATTAGGAAATATTACTAATACAGAAAATCAGTGTGCTGTAGAATTCACACCTTTTCTTTTTTTTTTTTTAAATCTTTGGTAAAACTTCAAGAAAAACCACTTTCCAAATTCTCTTAAAATCCAGATTGTATTTAGTCAGTCAAACATGCCAAAGTCCTTTATTATTATGTCCACCTATATAAAACATTTGGCACCTTTAAGAATGTCCACAGTGAGGGACTCTCATGGTAGCCTGGGTACCTAAATATCCAACAAAATAACATGACCAGTAGATAAAAAACACTTCATTAATATGTTCCTATAATTATCAGGACTCAATTAGTGTTCTAGTGAATCACCTAAATATGTTCCTATAATTATCAGGACTCAATTAGTGTTCTAGTGAATCACCTAAATATGTTCCTATAATTATCAGGACTCAATTAGTGTTCTAGTGAATCACCTAAATATGTTCCTATAATTATCAGGACTCAATTAGTGTTCTAGTGAATCACCTAAATATGTTCCTATAATTATCAGGACTCAATTAGTGTTCTAGTGAATCACCTAAATATGTTCCTATAATTATCAGGACTCAATTAGTGTTCTAGTGAATCACCTAAATATGTTCCTATAATTATCAGGACTCAATTAGTGTTCTATTGAATCACCTAAATATGTTCCTATAATTATCAGGACTCAATTAGTGTTCTAGTGAATCACCTAAATATGTTCCTATAATTATCACGACTCAATAAGTGTTCTAGTGAATCACCTAAATATGTTCCTATAATTATCTGGGCTCAATTAGTGTTCTAGTGAATCACCTAAATATGTTCCTATAATTATCAGGACTCAATTAGTGTTCTAGTGAATCACCTAAATATGTTCCTATAATTATCAGGACTCAATTAGTGTTCTATTGAATCACCTAAATATGTTCCTATAATTATCAGGACTCAATTAGTGTTCTAGTGAATCACCTAAATATGTTCCTATAATTATCAGGACTCAATTAGTGTTCTATTGAATCACCTAAATATGTTCCTATAATTATCACGACTCAATAAGTGTTCTAGTGAATCACCTAAATATGTTCCTATAATTATCACGACTCAATAAGTGTTCTAGTGAATCACCTAAATATGTTCCTATAATTATCACGACTCAATAAGTGTTCTAGTGAATCACCTAAATATGTTCCTATAATTATCAGGACTCAATAAGTGTTCTAGTGAATCACCTAAAAACAATTAATACATAGAAGTATAATCCTATTAAAATGCACATTCCATTACAAAATACTTTAATCTGATGCTATTTCGAATTCAATCTTAAATCTAAAGCATAACATTTATTTCAAAATCATTTGAATTTCAATTTTTTTCTTTTTACAAAATCATTGCAGATAATTTCAAAGCAGATTGGTTTAAATCAACTCCAACATTAGTGAAAACAATTGTTTCAAAACTGCCTGTGCTATTGAGTTTATTGAAAACAAGACTTAAGACAGCAAATGACGTACCAGTATGTTTAACATACCAAGAAAGATGTAACCTCATTAAAACAGAGTGAAATAAATATTGTGAAATCTCAGCTGTACTTCAGTATTGAATTTTTACATAGTAAATAGTGTTAAACAAAAGACGTGGATAAAACTAAAGAATTTACACAAACCACAATGTCAGCAAAAGTTATCAATTAACCTGCCATTTTGTGTCATGTTATTTTTGCTTTATCCTGTCTACATCATTTCTTTTTCTCATCTGGAAAAACACCCAATTGTCTTTTCATTAACCTACGATTTCTCATTTTAGCAACAGACTCAGTCACATCTGTATGCTTTTCAAAGAATTCAACCAATGCGGGTTCAGTTAGCATTGATGCTATGAACTGTTCAAAAGATATTGACCAATCAGAATCTGGCTTAGAAAATGACTGATTTGAATCTGAAGAGATATCTGCTGTGGTTTTAGAAGAAGAATCTACAGTGTTCTCAGATCCTGATTCAATTCCCGAGGTCCTATCACTTCCTTCTTCCTCTTGAGTTTCCTCCCCTGATTTGTCAGTGTCCAGGCGAGTATGCTGAATGGTTTGTGCCAGACGGTCCATGTCCATGCCGCTATCAGCGCTACAGGACAGAGGTGTGTCTGTGACAGAGCTCTCAGATGGCGAAGATTTCTTGAGGTAGAATTTCTTGCCTACCTCTCCCAGTTCTAGCAGTAGTGTACCAACTGTGGCGATAGAATGATACAATTCTTGTTCCTCGAACTGATCACTGAACATGTCGTACAGAGTCTTACAAAGTTGAATAAACTGTACCTACAATAGAAAAAGTCATACAAGTTCTTATGCAAGTGAAAATCTTAAATGTCTTCCATCTAAATAGCCAGAGGTGGGTTCAACATTTCATTATCTACTTATCAGTTAAGTCTTTATTTTATATTTCTGAAATATTCTACAAGGCAAACACAAAACCTGTGACTCAAAGTTAGGGAGATGTGCATATAGCAGTACACTGATAAATCATCTGATGATATTTCTACTGATCATACAAAAGATTCAGGATGGACTTAGTTCTAGACATGGTATGATTGTGGAATATATATATGAATCTTTAACATGAAATATTTCTCCCTTTGTAATCAGTTAATTTTCCTATGTTTGTGTGCACTATGTGAAAGAAAACAGTGATAATACACGTAACAATTAAGCCTATGCATATGCCTCGTTTACTCTAGGGCATATAACGCTCCAGGGAATTTGGACGGAAATGCTAACCCTAGGTAAATCTATTTGTAGTTCACATTCCAATAGAAATTCTACAGTTTGTACCTGTGTCATTCGAGGAACATCCTTAAAGTCAGCTTTACTATCCTTCTTCTTCAGCTCTTGTCGCTTCTGGTACATTTTTCTCAGACTGTCACCTATATCTGACACTGCTGAAACATATTGTTCATTTGTTAGAATATTTATAGATTGTATTGGTCAGGAAAGTATTAGTCAATGGTATTAATTTCTCTTGAACGTCATACTGTTCACATAATGTCTGTAGTATTACCATACTTATTTAACAGATCACGCCTTCCTTCAAGAACACAATATCAATTGTTCTTGTAGAAAGATCTTGAAAGAACCAAATGTTTGATGTAAAAGTTCAGAAACATTTTTTGGTATTTTTATTTGTAAAACAAATGTCAACTTAAAGCTCAATGAAGGAAGGACATCCAAAGTATCTGTTTTGAATTTCCTAAGTGTAATGACCCTCACACCAACCCTCTATAAAATTAATCAAAGAAGCAGTCTGACGATAAAACCTTTTGCTGAATTGCTGCTGTCCGAAGCTTCACTTGGTTCGTCTGGTGAAGGAGCATCACTCGTTTCCACTTCGGCTGTGGCTTCACCATTAACCAACTCCATCTCCAGCTTTGTTCCCTGACCATTTTCAGACTCTGTATTTTCATTGGTCCCATCAGTCTGTTTGTCATCAGACTCCGCCCCCTCTGTTTTAGGAGCTGCAGTCTGCCCATCTGTATTTTCTTTAGTCTGACTAGAGATACCTTGAGAAATATTTTGGTCTTTGGATGCAATTTCTCCCTTTTCTTGGTCCTCGTTTGTGGGTAGATCTTCCACAACCTCCTCTAATGGTGGTGGTGATGGATCTCCGGGTAACTCAATCTCTACATACAGAAATTAAATCTTTTACCATAAAATTGAAGAAATGCATCAAAAGCCGTTCAATAAATATTTCAATTATAGTTCATTTATTATTCTATACAAAGGAGGAAAAGAGGGGTACTTCGAAAGAAAGTTACATCACAGACTCAGTGAGTCCAAACAGTGTAGACTCAATCAAGAGTCCAAATAGAGTGGACTTATAAGTCACTGAGTGAATCTCATGCTAAATTAAGTCTACACACAAATGTATCTTCTACTAAAAGGTCAACTGTTAGTAAAATTTTGTTTTCTTTATATGAAAAACTTTTCACTACTTAATCACTGTCTGGACATGATACACTTTAGGTACATTTCAAGAAATTTTCTTTATCAAAATTTGCATTTGAATATTAAAGATTTCAGGAATTTCAAGAATCCTAGATGAACTGTTTCTTTAAAGCACTACCAACCATCTTGTAATGTGTCACCACTGTCAAAAAAGTCTGTGGCCTCCACAGCGCTCTCAGTCGACTCTGGAACATGACAGGAATACCCATTTTATATATAACTATGTAGCAGTCTGTAAGTCTCTAAGCGATTAAGAGAGGTCAGATTAACAAGAATCTTGAGCAATTCAAGAGAAGCCTACACAGCATAAGAAACTCTAAAGTGATATATGAATGACTCCGACATGATTTAACAGCCACAGACTCTTGAGCAATTCAAGAAAAGCTAAGTAAGACTATGGTAAGCTGAAGCAAATTCAGCATCTTAGACAAGCTAAATCTTCAGTGATTCAAAAAATTTTTTTCCTGAGTATTCCATTTAAAGTATTGGAGGTTTAATTCTTTCCAATATAAAAACCTTCACTAATACTATACTCTGGTTAATAGTTCAGGGGTAATCTTATTTATGACAGTAAACTATGAAAGGCAGTTTCTCTTTATCATCTTCCATGAAAAACATCCTTGCTTCAATAATTCATCTTTCTATTAACCTGTAAAATTTCCTAATGACCTTCTTATGAATGCACAAAAAAAGACAGAGAAGTCTAAAATATCTGATTATTAACTTTCTTAAAACTTTTAAAACACATCAATAAATTTGAAAATATTTTTGACATCGGTTCTTGGTACTAATGTAAATAAAGGGAGATAATCTTTGTAATGATGTATATTGAATTATGCTTATGAAATAATACTATGACAAGGGAAATGTAGGATGATTTACCTGACTTAATTGAGGTGGGTAGATCAATTATCTGACTTTGGGAGAGATGGATAGATGTTTTACTAGACTTGGAAGACATAGGTAGATGACTCACCTGACTTGGGAGATGTGGGTATCTCCCCACTTTCAAGGTCATCTGATGGCAGTAGAGCAGGGGGTTGGTGACACTGATACAGTAGTTTTAGTTTAAGTGTAAGGTCCCCATGACAGATCACACCCAACAAGTAAACAAACTCCTTAAAGTTAATCATGTTGTCAGCATTCCCGTCAAGGTACTGGGAAATCAATAATACATTTCAATAAATAAACAATATGTAAAATATTTGAGAAAATCAGATTTATTATTGAACAATTTAATGATCTTCCTTCATCTTTATACTTGGATTGACACAAAATTAATGGGTAGGTTTGTCTATTCATTCATGTATTTCTAAAGGGTTTTCAATAAATATTTCCTTTGTTCATACTTTGCCCTCATTTATCTGTTTAGACATTGAATTTTGTTTTCACAAGAAACGTGAAAATATGCCGAGACGGCAGTGTTCAGAAATGAAAAAAGTATTTACACGAACAGTGAAAACCAACAAGTAAACCATAGAGAGCCTCTGGGGGTGTGAAACAAATAATGAAAGTAGAAATGGCGAGGTCAGAGGAACGCAGTTCCCTCTGTACTATTTGCTAACAAAACATGCTATGTCTGCTAATGATGCGCACGCATCTCATGGGATCCCGGATGTACCATCCAGGAGTGAATGACAGAATTACATGTTATTATTCTCAAACTGTTTTCAAGTTTGAGACGCCGAAAAATAAACAAAAAATACTTAAGAACGAAAATTATGACATGGATTCTGTGTCTTACATAATAACAACAGTTAACTTGTTCAGAACATTTCAGTCTACTTGCTCACCCTGAAGGCCCTAAGGGCCAGGATATGGCTTTGTGATCCCGTCGCCCAGGGAGCCAGTGACAGGAACATGGTCTTGAACTGGTCAAAGTCAACCTTATAGATCTCATAGTATGGCCTTGAGGGGTCAAACTTGTCTGCAGTATCCACAGGCTGTTGACTGGTTCGCCAGTAACAGGACGTCAAGTACTCCTCCTGAAAGTCAATGTTTAAAGGTCAAGGTCAAATATTGTACAATATCCATTAAAATGCCAAAGAAGTGAATTTAGGTAAAATATTACTGAATTCAGAGGCCACAATTTATAGATCTTGTTTAAATCAAGAGGCCCATGGGCCTTAACTGTCATCTGACTACAAAAACTTATTTTTTTTTACTTTGAATGAAATCTTACTAAGAGGCTGTTTTCCATGATGCATATGGTAATTTGAGTGAAGAGTACGTAACTGTAACAAGTGTTACCTATTTTTTGACAGTAAAGTTGAAGCTCAATCCAACTGGTGAAACTTGAGAAGTTTGAAAGAGGTGTTGCACAGGAAAACCATGATTGCCCAATTATGTTACAAAATGGCCTCCCATGTTGCCATGTGAAAGTTTTGACAATGCCAAAAAATAACAGCACTTTGTTGGCTATCTTTCCTTAGCGTTACCATTGTTAGCTCAATGGCACCAGTGGAACTGGAGAAGAAGTTTGAAATATGCTTTTCAAGATGGCCATCTTGGATTTCAGACATACCCAAAAAATAACAACACTTGAGTCAGGACCATCTCAGGATCATTTCATATAAGTTTGAGCTTAATCCCACTGATAGAACTTAAGAAAAAGTTTAAAATGTCAAAAGTTTATGACAGCAAACGCAGATGGACAAAGCACGATGGCTATAGGTCATCATGACCCTTCAGGTCAGATGACCTGAAAAACAGCAACACAATAAAGCATAGCAATAAGGTACATGATGATTGAAATACACTCAGTATTAGAAATCTGTATACAGTGGTAATATTATAAACCTTTGGGACAGAAAGGTCAAAATCAAGAATTTACAAAGTTTACAGCCAAAGTTATATAAAATTGCATTCTTTTAAAATATAAATGAGAGGTAATTACCTTAAACAGGATGAACAGATCCTCTAGTTCCTTGCCTTGAAATAAAGTGTGTGAGGCAACACTACGGAGGACATTTTTCTTGGTGCTATCTTCAATTGTCTAGAAAACATCAAAGTCATATCAAAAGTAGTTGCAGCGAAAACAATTTATCTTTACATGAGAAGACATTAACTGTATTTGTCTGGTCATAAGCCAATATCTGGTGATAAACCTACCAGCTGTTTTGCTTACATTGTTCACATGTTTACTTTACGAACTTTTACATTGCACACGTTTACACTGTGCAGATATTTACATTGTACATGTTTACACTATACAGATATTTACATTGTTCATGTTTACACAGTACAGATATTTACATTGTACACGTTTACACAGTACTGATATTTTACATTGTACACATTTACACAGTACAGATATTCACATTGTACACGTTTACACACTATAGATATTTACATTGTACATGTTTACACAGTACACATGTTTACACTGTACACAGGTTTACACAGTACACACTGTACACAGGTTTACACTGTACACAGGTTTACAATGTACACAGGTTAACAATGTACACAGGTCTACATTGTACACAGGTTTACACTGTACAGATATTTACATTGTACACAGGTTTACAATGTACACAGGTTTACAATGTTTGGTGTATTACCTGGACAACCTGAAGCCTGTACTTGAGTCGGAGTTTGTCAATGTCCTGGTTATTCAGATGACCAAAATTTCGGTAACTTTCACTGATAAGTTCGCTGATATCCACAGAGGCCTATAAAAACAGAGATCTTTGTTTAGTAGTGATTATTCAGTCATAATCAACACATTACTCATGTGAAACTAAAAGGACAAATTTTACAGAAAATCTACAACATATAGCACCATATTTATCCTCCAATAAAGTAAGGGCACCAGACTCAAAGGCAGCAGGTGGGCTTATTACAGGAAAATGAAAAAGTATTTGTTTGTGTCCACCAAACAGTAATAGTTATGGGTGACTTTTTAACAAATAACTATACTATATCTTACACACAAGTTTGTTACTTTTTAATATCAATATTTCTAAATATTTCATTTCAAATGCTTAAAAAGCACATATTGCAGTAAACAAAACATTCTAAAACTGATTTTACTTTATAACAAGTATGAGTTTACAGCACAGGTGTATTAAAGATGTTTCATTCCTTTATCCTTTGTATGAATAACCTAACCTCAGACTGGGCAGATAAATCTATATCTATATCTTCCATACAGGTAACCTAACCCTGATCACCTTGACAACAGGCGATTGTGTTATCAACTAGGCTAAGTGTCTACCAACAATACGACATACAAGTTTAAAACTGATACCTGGACATATAGATGAGTTGTTTAGAATTGAAAACACTATCAAAAACCAACTCACTTCCTTCTGGACACCATTAGTACAGAGCATGTTGGTATGGGCGATGTTTGGCATAGTAGAGTCACGGTTGGACACATTCTCCAGATATGCTCCCAGGATGGTCATCGCCTCCCCATCGTCTCTGGCCGCCAGTAACTGATCCTTCTTGGTGTCCAGTATGGTCAGGGCCACTTGAAAAATCACCTGTAAATTGCCAAGGGTTTAGACAGACTTGACTATAACAAAATATTTTCGTTCTCAGCTAGGCTTTTAAGATTTGTATGAATTATTTGTAAAATATAGTTTTAAGTGTACTAAGGTATGTCAGTATGTTCTTGGGTTGCATGCCGTTAAGAGCTTTTAGATTGTATGCGATTGTATTCACAAGTGTTGTTCAGCAAGGTAGCCACAAGCTACTAGGAAACCCGCCCCAAAATATTTGTATTACTGTCACCAGATCATTTCAACCTTAAATAATGAGCTCCATTTTCCTCATGTAACAAATTCTAAAATATTCTTACACCAACAGTTTCTGGTAGCCTGACTTTTTCATAACTGATTTAAACCAAAGATGTTTGTTGATTTCCTGGGCTTATTACCCTAAGAACAATCAGGGTCATTTTGAGGCAGGGTCTTTTTGTAGTAACTCATGGTAAATACAGGAGGCCAGTCATATGCCATCTAGAGCAATAAGGGTAAAGTGCCTTGCTTAAGGACACAATCACATCAGCACAGACAAGTCTGTTTCTCACCTTCCTGAGAATCATAAACTGCCACAGGTAGGCAACTTCAAACTACGCACCTCAAATCTTCAACTGAGGTAACATAGGCTAATACTCTGAGCTAACATGACCCCTTAAACTAATGGATTTCCCAAGGATTTCCAATAAAAACCAAAAGTAAACATTGGAGCATTGCAATATATAATTCTATATTGTTATATTTGAATATACATTAATTGACAATAAAGTCTATTAACTTCGATAAATAGTTAAGATGTTAGTTCAGATACAATACTAGCTGAGAAAGACAAGAGGCTGACTTACTCGAGCTCCATCGTAGAAGAAGCAGTCAAGTATGTTGACAGCACAACTGAAGGGCATAACACTGAAACAAAGAAAGACATAAAATTTTCAATAAGTAAAGCCCCTAACTCATGCTGGATTTTCTACCAACCAAAGGTCAGTTTACAGGTAGATCATTTTTAATTATATCATCATTGATGATTCCTAATTTACATTGCATTAAACAGCTTTCTTGAAAATATTTGAAGACAAAAACTAAGTAAACAATGAAATAAAACAAATCAAGAGAAGGTCATGTTTTTTTGGACCAATAAACACTTTGATGTAATGTCAGGTATATGATACAGTACCTCAGAAATATAGTAAGAAACCACGACAGTGAGATCATACTGAGCAGTCCCAGAGTCTCTAACTTCTGGTACAGACTTGGTAGGTTGTCCTTAATCAGCTCCTCGAACACACCTGTGATCAATAAATTATCTTTAAGTTAGACACAATGATCTTAAACATATCTAGTCAGTCTTTCTGTATTGTATCTTGATACCAATATTATTTAGTCAGTCTCACTCTACTGTAAATTGCCACCAATGTTATCTTGTCAGTCTCTCTGTATCGTATTTTGCCACCAATATCTATTTCACACCTTTAAAAATTTTACATTAAAATTATTCTTTCGATCAATTTCAAGTATTTTCCAAATAATGCCAATTACCATGTCACAGTTTAATCATTACAGTTTTTTCAGACGATAAGTACATGTCTTGTGATAAGCCCACCTGGTATCATTACAAACGAGTGATTTTCCCTTGTCCTGCAGTAAGTCCATTCCCTGATTTTGAGTACATTTGTTATCCCCCGGGCTTATTGCAGGATAAGTGTGATAAACTGACCTACTTAAAACTACTTACTTTGGTCAATGAGAGCGCCGACTACTTTAGTGTTGTAGTAGTCTGGCAGTAGTCGCTCACATATAGCAGTCAGAAGCCAGAATGCTTCCTCTTCATCAGTATAAAGTAGCAATACACTAGTGACAATGTTCATCGCCTGGCAGTAGCCTACAAAACAAGTTAATGATATTGATATTTATTTTCTCTTCTTCTTTGACAGATTTATTGCCCTGTGAAGAGACAGGGTCATTTTGTGTGATCTTGTAGCAGCTGGAGGCTATCTCACTGAACCTACAGGAGACCCTTTGTATGACATTCAGAGCAATTAGGGTAAAGTGTTTTACCAAATAAAATAGCCACAACAGTACTGACCGGTCCATTACACAACCTCAGAAACTCAAACTATCACAGGTAGGGAGCCTATCTTCATATCTTCAACTGAGGCTAAACAGACCTACACTCTACTAACAGAGCCAACATGGCCACCTGGCATATTGATAACATTGCATCATTATGTACAGCATAAAAAGAATACTTGATATTCGGCCAATTTATTTAGAAATATTCAAAAAGCCCCTTATAAATAAAAGATTTATGAAATTACTTGTTTTACAATACATATTTTAGCTTATAGCATGTATATGATACTACTGAATATTAATCATTTTAATTAACCATACATGATGATGGATATTCCAATATATAGTACCTATGGTAGGGTTTCTCCAGGCGTAGGCTGTTAGCACCCTTCTGAGGGCCCCGATCCCAAGGTCAGACTGGAACGCAGGGTGTTCTGGTAAAGACCTATTGACAAAATAAAGACAAAATGATATACCATCAAATTAGATATTTCACAGGGATTTGAATTTTATCATTTTTCGAAAGACAACTAATTTCTGATTGGATTTTGATGGATAATAGTACTCATTAATCCACTAGTTTTCAAATATTAAAGTCAATTTGAAAGAATTCATGTTTGCATGTTTTAATTACTCAAACTGCACATGATCGACCATAGTGGTTTTTCCACATCCTTCTTGACAAATTAAACATATAAATGATTTTTGATGAGCAAAACTTTGTTAACAAATTCAAAGAGGTACACAAGAAATAAATGCACTTTTCCTTTATGTCATGTAAGTAAGGAAATGTCACTTCTTAAAACATAACACATCTGTAACATTATTACCCAAAAATTAAAAAAAAACAGGAATTTTCTTTCTACCTGTGTAAGTCTCTCTCTATTTCATCTGTTGCCAATGAGTATTTGCCAGCACTTTCCTCTACAAGTTTCCGGTAGTAACCAGGGTTACATGATTTCTAAAACATACACATCGAGTAAGATTGGTAAGTTTGTGGCAGTGGTGTGGGAAAGGCATTTTATCAGGGAAGAAATTCAGTTTACAAATGAAGAAGGACAGTGGTGAAGTTACACTGTGAAATTAAATATTTTCCAGGGACTCAAATTTCAGTTTCAAGAAAATATGCATAATCAATTGGTACTTGATTATGCAAAGCAAATCTTGTTCACAAAATCCACTAATACCATAATTGATGTCAATTTTTATCAGTTTATCATTTCTGGACGTATGAGTGTGTGGATTAGGAGTAATCATGAATTCAACTCAAATTAAAACTCCTACAAGAATTAATAATTCTACAGTACATGTATTGATATTAGTACATTACCTCATTTATGGCACCTGAGAACAGCATCCACACCTCACCCCGAAATTTCTCTGGAAGACCTTTTAGTATAAGTTGTATTGTTGCCACTGTTCGATACATACACACACCCCTGTAAATAACAACTGAAGTTGTGTGATCCATTCTTATTTCATAAAACATTTTTCCAGTTTGTTTTCACAGGGTTTTAATGTCCTAGCAACATGAAGATGAGTATCAATAACGAACAGGACAGGAAACAAACCAAATTATCAGGGTCCCAAGAGTTGCAATGGGAAATCAGACCTAGCTTGGTCAGCTTAGTATAAGAAATTCTGTACATATCTTTAGAGTGATAACAATAATTCAATGTAAACTAACCTGCCATACTCAGCGAAGTGGATATTCCACAGATGTTCCTTGACTGTTTCCCTGGACGACAACTCATCCGAGTCTCTCCGACAGAAGAGCTTGACCAACGCTGGCTGCAAATCAAAACTGGAGCCAGATGTTTCTGGACCTTCACTTCCAATGCTAGCATCTTCTGACTTTGTCCTAGCCTTAGGCAAACTGCAGTGTCATACAAAATAACCAAATTAAGATAATACAATTTCTAAAGGCAGAGAAATAAGACACACATTAGAACACTTAAGATTTGCAGTTATCTACAAGTAGTTCTTTTGAAGTTTGGATTTACTATGAGCTGGTAGTGGTTTGTTGGAACCTAGACCTTTACAGAGATATACATACCATCTTTATCCTACAATAAGCATAGGGGCCATTACATTATCTCTGACTCATAGGTAGGGGTGGGCTTATTACAAGACAATGAAATAGTATTTTTAAAACAACAGATCAATAAAGGTGTGCTTATTAACAAACATGGGCTTATTGCTGGATAAACACACAATCCTACAAGAATGTTAGGGGAAATCAAACTTTCCTTTGGAGCTACAATTATGCTGAACTGACAAATGTTCGGGAAACAAGCACATTATCTCTGATTTTACATGGAGTAGTAATCCTATTTTAAAATAAATGAATATTGCACTTTGGCGTACTACCAGACATGGGCCTATTGATAAACAATAATGGTGACCGATGACATTTCAGATTAATCTTTATATCATTAATGATGTCGTACCCTGGATCAGGCTGCTGCTGTCTGGCTAAGAAATCAGAAATCTTCTCCAGTATGAGGTCTCGATCTCCCAGTTGAGAGAACATAAAATTCAGCTGTGTGATGAATATACAAATAAGAAGATCAATGTCAATATGGGTAGCAAATTAAAGTATTAACTATAGAAGAAGCTCAAGATAGAAAATAAAAAATGTGCATTGATGTCATTTGAAATATCTGTCATTTCTAAGGAAGATTATTTTAGTGATGTATCTTAAATCTTAATTGTCACAACTTAGCCTTCTGACTATAAATGCAATACAAATGATTTTCAAATTGAACCTTTTGGGTTCCAGCAGCTATACACATAAAAAAAGTAAACAAAATACAGTAGATTTATAGTTAATAGACTACAATGTATTTTGTTTTAAGTTTGGTTGCCTAATTTTGTATAAATTCTAACTTTCATCTGTGCACCTGTGTTAACACAGGGAATACTGATCAATTGAAAATTACAATAGGGCTCATTATCACAGATACGGCTGACCGATCACGCTTAGTCATTTGGACCAAAGCCAGGAAATTTCTACCTCAGACAAGGTGATGTCTAAACGTTCAACACAAAAATGATATTTTTTGTAGAATCTAGAAGGGATGGACCACAAAATATAATTGACACAAATGCATTATTCAACTCAACAGTGTTTAAATCATCCGTGTTTAATATAATAAGGTAAAGAAGAGAAAAAATTGGGACTGAACAAAACATTTGACTTATCCGATGCATTTCGATTCAAGCATGTTTAACACAAGTGTGTTTTACTGTAGTGGAAAAATAACTGTAGATTGACATAATGTAGATATATGGTTTCTAAGGCAACTGTGTAACACTTTACTGACCTTGCCCTTGGTGGTGATGACAAGACCTTTCTGGTTACTGTCAGCTGATGCCGAGTTATCAACTTTTTCTACCAGCTGAATCTCACGCGTTGGCATAACAATACTGACTAGTTCACGCACCTGTAGAGAAACAGTGTGAAAGAAATGTTTGTTACCAAAACAAATTTCTCAAATCTAGAAAGAGTACATAATGATATAAATATTTTTACTGAAGCCAGTCTGAGCATGAGCAGAGACTAAATTCCATTTGCCAATGCAGTCCAATGGAGATCGTAGAAAGTATTTGATGAAAAAACCCTTATTTTTCTACTTATAACAAGCTTCTACTCTGAAAAATAAATAAATAAACAAGACATAAATTCCACTGCTGATTTATAGATTAGCATCACCTTTACATTTACGTTCAACTTAAACATGATAAGGAACGACATAGGTCTGTATTTCATGTATTTCACACATTGCACCAAATGTGAAATTCTGAGATGCAGTGTGGATGGATGGATGAAAAGAATAGATACTCTTTGAAATACACTCTGTTGCATGAACAACCAAAGATCACACGTATCCTAAACACAAGAATATTCATCCTTCATGAGTAAAATCTATTCAATCTGCATAAGCTTCACTCTTCAAATGAATTTTTATCATATTTAGGGCAAAAATACTTTAAATTGCCTCCTGTTACTATTGCATGGAATTCACTCTTCTAATCAAACTATGTATACACTTGCTTTGTATTCATACATCCTTGATAGTGAATCATTATGGTGATAAAAAGTTAAAACTTGTGACAAAATTTATCATTGTTATTGCTTTACTGAATTCATCATGCTATAAATAATAAGCCCACCTACAAATACAGGAAAATTCAATACAGCTGCTACAACAGATACTGCATACATGAACTGTCACATACTAGCTATAGTCTACACGGCTGTATAAAGACTAACAGTTCACAGTATACCTACCCTGCTAGCAAAGCAGATGTAATTCTGAGACAGGTAAAGCCTACCCCAAACATTCTGTTTGTTATATGGTGTCCATAGAGTACAGTCAGTGTTGCCATCCAGTTTCTCCATTGTTGGTAAACGGAATGCTAACCTAAACCAGAAAAATTTACAGGTGAAAAATCTACAGTACACTGAAACCTATCGTTAATTATGACAAAGATTACCTGGAAAAATTCTGGAACAAAATTAATTTGTTTCATTTACCCAGAAAATGTAATACTTAAAAGGATTTATCTGTATCTTCGTTTGAATTTCTTTTTTCAAATATTGTCTCAAATTCAACTAAAACTAATATCAAGTAAAATGGAAAATTGCAGAAAACACTGCAAAAAAAGATGTTCACTTTCCACACACGATAGATGATACTTTGTACAGCATACACAATGTAGACAAACCTGAAGGCGTCACTTCTAGCTCTGGCATCCAAATCCCTCTTAATTGAAGACATCTTCTTTGGTGTCTTTTTCCTGAGACACACAACAAATGTAAGCTTTCTTATAATGTTTCTCAGTATTTTTCTTTAAATTCAAACTTGATTTTCTATATAACAAAAGTTTAAATGATAGAATTTCTTCAGTATTTCATTTAGCTTTCTTACACATCACAATATTCAGAATGTCAACTTGAAGACTTACTTTGTCCTGTCAACAATAGTCTTGTCTTCCTCAAATCCACCTTCCTGCATCAACCTTGATAAAAAATAAATCAAAGTCAGTTGAAAACAAGAGGCTCATTCAAATTTTTATTTTAAATATAAAAAAAGAATTTAAATGACATTAACTTACTGTTTCATAGCCATATTAGCGAGCTGTTCCATCAGTCGGAAGGTCTCCCCACTTTGTAAAAGCATGGAAAAGTAATACTGAAAAGAGATGTTGAAGAATGCAATTTACATATGAACTTGTACCAACAATAGAGTATTACTCAATTAGCTCCAGGCAGTAAAAAGAATATACCAGTAGTTGCATGACTGAAAATCCTACAATTCAGATCAAGATAATAAACTAAATTGCATGTATATATGCAGCTAAGAGTTGCATATGAAAAATAGGATAAGTTGAATTAAACCAAATTATCAATTTCTTTCAACACAAACATGGCTCACAAGACTAAATTTATAGTGTTTTTGGTATTGTCGAAAGTTTGAATGGCAATAACAGTGGACAAAATGTCCATTAAATATACGAAGTACTTCAAGGCAAAAAAATATTTACCTCCCCTTCTCTAGTCTTCACCACCACACTATCAGGAAACAGAACATTGTTACCAATTTCCAATTTCTAAAAGAGATTACAAACAAGTTACAGCAATCACCTAATTACTCTATAACACTGTAAAATAAAATGTTTTTTGTAAGTCTCTATTCTTATGGTTTTTCTTCATAACAACTACTGTTGTGTGAGCCTTTGATTTCATATCAACCATTCTGTGTGATTTCATCTGAATAAGAATCAGTAAGTGCAATTTTTGTCTAATAGTTACCAAAGTGAACTTTCACATTTAAACATTTTTTCACAGCTTATTCAAGAGGCACTTACATCTCAAAACATTGATTCTCAAAACATTGATAAGTGTTTTTAGTTCTTAGCACTTGTAAATATAGCTGCAAACAATCAAATTCTTCTAATATTTGTATATAGCGAATTCTGAACAGCTGTAACATCAATCAGACCTATTCTAGACAAATAAGCATTAAATTTGAACCAGGGGACATAACCCTGTAAAATAGTGACATATATTCAACATGAACATACCATAGATACATTATTGGATTTATATATATATTTATATCGTGTAGTAGGTCCAGATCCAATGACTTCAACAAAGTATTTGACTAATTAGTTATTACACAACAGTGTAATAACATTTTTCATGGATACTACTCAATTGACATTTATACAAGTAGGCATATTTGTAATATACCTGAACTTACTTCTTAATGAATATAAAAAAATAGTTTTAGGTGACAGAGTGTATGAACTGTGGACTGGACAAATCAACAAATCAACAGACAGACTGATGGACTGATCAACAGGTGGTGAAAGGAATCATCAATGTATTGATGGAGTTACAAAAAATACTAACCAAATGACCTGTCCAATGCTGGGAGATAATGAGAGATATATCTGGACTACAGGGAATGATGGAGGTACTGACCAAGATGTCTCTTCAACATGGAATAGTGGGAGATCCTAACCTAGATATCCTCCAATGTTGAATTGTGGGAGATACTGACAAAGATATCTCTTCAATATGGCATTGTGGGAGATACTGACCAATATATCTGTCCAGCGGATGATGACTTTGTCCTCTCGTCCCAACAGGAAGGAATAGAAACACAAATGGTTTACACTCAGATACATCCATCCCTGACGTGGCATTCGACTCTTCCAGTAGCTGCATGAGTAGTCTACAACACAAATTTATTATTCATTATTGCTGGAATCATTCAGATAAACTTCCTTTTCATAAATTTTTCAATAATTTCCAAGTTAAGATTTTTTTCCTTCTGTATCTTTGTATGTAAGTTTGGATGACTCGAATTTCATTCAGTCAAAATCTGACAACGAAATCAGTCAATACATACAAGTAGAATGCCACCTGTGCAAAACACATGGCTAATTTAGGGTGTATCAATTCATTGTACACAAAACACTTGGTCTCTGGAGATTAATTACCAGTTTTATTATCCTATCAAAAGTTTGCTTCCTAATTAGTGTCAACATCCTGTAGCAGCGACTTACCCATATGTTAAAAACAAATATACACAAGACATAAAAAAATTTAGCTTGGTTGTATGCAACTTCAGGAATGATAAAAACGAAACAGTCAAACCAGTACAAACTTTTTGACAAAAGCTGATCCCCACAATTCTGAGAGAGACTTATTTTTTAGCTTGTTTACCAAAGGACTGTGATCAGGTACTATGCTAGATTTAGTGCATTGACAGTAAAGCGTTTTTATTACATGTTTTGTTGTTTGGTTGAATAGACAATAAAAGGAGACAGTAGAAATTCATTTGTTTCTGTTTATTTACTGTCATTTCAAATAACAGATTAAATTATGCTATTTGTACCAGTGTTGCTATCGTAGCCCATACTTTGTTTTACCCTAATCAACGCCAGGAAACTGATATTGTCAACCTTCTCTGGACAATTTGGGTTGAATTGATAAGTCAAAATCAATGCCATGACTACTTTTGAACATTTTGATAAGCTACACTGGGCCAGTACTTAATATGGATGAGTGGGGCCACAGACGATCGCTCATCTATAACCAAGTGTTAAACAAAGCGTAGCTACAGTACATGGTTACCATCTGGTGTATTATTTTGGTCTACAATCTGTTTACCATCTTGTCACACTCTATTTTTGACCTTAGTGTACATAGGATTATAGCACAGCTGAAACAGCTGTTTGATTCTGTACTATCTTGTATAATACATATATCAGTGCTAGTATGCTCCACACTGGTCATTCGTCTAATGAAGGTGACAGTGTAGTCATCAACATTGCACTCTAATATTTTCTATTAGTTGTGTTATAAGAACTTCTGTTCTATTGAAGGATGTAATTAATACAGAACCTTATCACTCCTGTTGTGTTATAATATATATCCAAGATATTATTTCTTCAAAGATTTAAAAAAAAATAAAGAAAGACAAAAAATATCATCAGCTACTTACAATTGACTAGTTTCTCTTCCTTTGGCATGTTAAAGAGTTTCATGAACTTCCTGGTTGCATTTTTATATCTCTTGGTCTCATCGTCTACAATTACAAAGTAAAGGCTTCATAACATAATTCTTCATTAGACATTGAAACTTTATAAACTTATTTCATAAATTTCATATGAAAAATGAATACATGAGCTGATTGTTTACGTGATATTACTATAATTCAGCTCTATTTTAGTTAACATGCACATCTCTACACACATACATAAAATGAATATTTTAATATACAGGCATAATATACAAATATGTTCATATATTTTCCAACAATTAACATATTTTATCTCATAAATTTTGAGTTTTTTCCTACATAGGATATAATCTTCCTGACATCAGACCTGTTAACATTTCGTTGTCTACTTTTGAAAATTGACCATAAAGAAAAATAATAAAATCAATTTGTAAGAAGTCTTCTAACCATCTTCTCCCTTCAGTTTCACTTCATTGGCCAACAGACTTTCAATTTTACATCGGATGAACTCTGTTGCATCTTCATTTGACTCAAATGCACCTGTAGAAAATATAGCTGTACAGTAATCCTTCACTTCTACACATCATTTATACAGAAGATAAAAGCTGAACCTCAGCTTCACACACATTCATGACATCATCATGATGTTCTTTGACATCACATAAAGTGATGACATCACGATAACATTGACATGATGCCATCTGTCATGATATCTGATTGTACGTCAATTTCTCGTAGAAACGGAAATGGAAAAAGCAAATTATAAACTGTGATTTTCAAACAGAGATATGAGAGCTTTAGAAATAGGTAAGGAGAGTTTATCAATACCTGAAAAGATTATATCTATCTAAGTATGAAAAAGTTTTCAAGGCCAAGTTATTGGTAAAATTAAGGAAATATTTATGAAACTCATCTCAAGTCTTAATTTTTACTCATCACTACTCACAAAATTTAAAACATCTAAGACATGTTCTATAAAGATTCATAGGCAATAAAAACCCATATAGTTGTGATATTAATTGATAATTACCCAGGGTCTCCATCAAGTGCTGCTCCAGCCATTCCCAATCTTTATGAATCTCCTTTTTGTTGTTGGCAACGGCCACAGCTGTAAGTTATAGTAAAACATTTACAGTTGTAAAAATATTTATTTTACAAATAATTTACTACGAAAATTTCCTTTCAGTGTTCAATTCAAGTTACTTTGTTGTAATAAGTAACGAGACATGGGATTAAAGACATATTTGTTACTCTATTCATAGTCATTTTCATTACCTTTAACATATTTGTAATTCTTCAACACTGTATATGCATGTATAATAAACTTTATATTTTCACAATTAGTACAATTGATGTATTCTATTTAGAAACTTGTTTTCTACCTTTTGTCGTTGAATTCCTTGTGATTGTAAGAACTTTATATGCAATAAAATCTTCTGAAGAAAAATGAACAAAGATCTTGTAAAACATGTCAAGTAAACCAACCAAGATACTTACTGTAACTGACATCTGATCCCTCTGGTTGATGAAGGATTCTGTACGGAGGTGTCTGTAAAGTGTCAAGTTACAAAAGGGATATGTGACTCAATTAGAAATAAAATGAATACATGCAATTGTTAACTTTAGAATTCATATTTGACAAAGAGTCTTTTATTTCAAAATATACAAATAGAAGAAAGGAACTTCATACACACACTATAGTCTAGCATTTTGCCTATTCTGACTTATAGTACAAATTTGTCCTCTTAGATCATGTAACAGATAAGAGAATAATCATACCCTGATACCTGTCTTCCTGCCTGTAAGAAAGAATCTATTGTTCCAACGACTGTAATGATCAGTAATTCTAATCCTAATTTATTGACAGCAGCCAGCCTATTTCAAGGTTTCTGCCTTGAAAAGATTCAAGATTGTTGACAAAAATCAGAGTGGTCATTATGAAACATGTTTGTCAGTTTGACACAATGCAACCAGTTAGATAATTTATGTGTGGTATTTCAGTAACTAAACTCTGTCGACTTCATCAGAAACAAATGTAAAGTGTATCAGAGTGTACATCCACAAATAATGTTTGTTTCCCTTTCCAGTCCTTTTTTTCCTTCCCTAAACCATATCTGGTATTTTTTAAGGAAGCAATGTTAAGTATATCATGATTTTTCTCCCATAAAACCTTGAAATATTCTAAAAACATATTTATTTTAACTCACCTTTCTACTAAAATGTTTTAAACATGTAGCCAAAAACATCATATTTTTTGGCCTCACCAAACTTTGTTTGATTTCCATCCTGTACTTAAGATTAGGGGATGGGCTTATTACAGAACAATGGAGTACATTGGTTTATGAATTTACTGAACAGCAATACATTCTGTCATGCTTGTTACCAGACATGGGGTTTATTATCAGATAAGTATGGTCATACTTTCACTGTAATAAGCCAAAGGCACCAGCTTGTTATTCTCATTCAAAGTTGGGGTGGGCTTGTTACAGATCTATGAATTAGCATTGATTTTATGAATTATTCCACAGTAATATTCTGTTATGCTTATTACTCGACATAGACCTATTGTCAAATAATCATAGTAAGTATAAGAATTACCTTGCTGTCCAGGACAGTGTCCAGTGTGCCAACCAAGAGGCCGGTCAATCCTCCTCCTCCATATCCCTTCCGTCTTTGTAGGATGAAGAAAGGATTGGCTCTCTCTGTTACCCTAGAATTTGTCAGCATAACAGAATAAGTTAACTTTATTTCAGAGATTCAGTTTACAACAAATAAATTTTACATCTGATAAGTGGAAGCAATACACGTGGGAACTTGTATCTATTTTATCAAATTTTTGGCTACCATACAAATGTTAATGATAATTAATACATTTTACTTATTTTACAACAATTGTGAAACATGTTCTTCAACTTATATTTATCACTCTTGTTAGCCTGGATAGAAGCGTGCGAGGGATCTTACTGTGGGAGGAAACCAGAGTACCCAGGGAAAACCCATGTGGTTGTGCAGGTGACCCCATCCCTTTTCAGATCCATTCAGGGAATCAAACTCTGGGCGGCTAGGTGAATGGTGTGTTACCATGGCGCCACCTGACCATCCGACAAATGTTAGTTATCTCTAAGATCATATGAAATATATGCTATCTAAGGACAGTTATTTCCTTTCTTGCACATTAAACTGTTTATATCAATGTCCATGAGAGAGATCATTATTCAGTATATACAAAATTGTGCAAGCCTCATAATAATACAATATAATTATAAGACACCTCCCTCTAATTATCTCCCTCGCTCTCTAGTATGCACAAATTGATTTTCTTTTTCCATTTTATTTTATTCTTCCTAAAGTATTAACAAAAAAGAAATTTTACTTGTACATGAGCCCCTTTTTAAATCTTACAAAATCACAAGACTTAAAAATAGGAAAAGTTGATAAGAATGGCCCTCCCAATTCTGGACTTGAATGTGACCGAATATCAATATATTTTAAAGGGGGGTCCAAGGAAGGGAAAATCTTTGGAATCATGTGAAAGTGTGAAGATGCAGCATTAGTGGACATAAATGCATGCAGATGGGAACAGAAATCTTACATAGCAAGAAAATATCAATATGAAACCAAAATTTCAGATTTCCTTTCTGTTTTTATAATATCGCAACATATTTGCTATACATATGTTTTATAATTTTACTTACTTTATGACTTGAAGCAATTAGGGTTTTGGATGGAGCGAAAGATATAAACAATTTAAAAACTTGCTAAAATGTCGGAATTACAACCCAAATTTCCCAGCTTCAACTCAAGGAAACAGCTTGGTGTGATTAGGGAGAATAAAGGTTGACTGTATAGTCACAATTATACATATCAAAATACTTCCTTAACTATCATTATGATAATAACCACAGAAGTTTGTGCATAAAATTGAAATCAGAACTTAATAGTTTTTATACAACATAAAAAAGCAAAATGATATGATGCTACAGCATAGCAGTATAATATAAGCGATCGTTCGACCTACTGTTGGGCCTTTCTTAAGTTCGATAAGTTTACAGTGGCTGGCCTAGCGTTTTGTTTACCTGTTTGTTTACCATCTTCGTCGTTTGATAAGATCAGATAACGAGCTTTACTGACTAATGAAATAAATATCGCATTCATATTCTTTGAATAACGAGCATTTCGATGCATACTTTGCATAATATTACTAATGACTTGATAAAATTGTTTCGTTAACGAACACAACAATCGAGGAAATGTGAACGAACTTTTCAGGGCCAAATGGCCAAGGTTTGGACGATAGGGGGTGTGATAATTTTGAAACGGTTGTCATTTATATGAGAAAGCACAAACCAGAGAGCATTTGCCAACAGAATTTCTTCTGGCTTCAACCACATAATGGAAGGTTATAGGTAACCAAACATTCCTGACACTTGTGATGTGTTGATGTTGTATTATTACAAATGAACACGCACTCGTCAGCTGACTGCCATTACTGTCATTTGTATCCCCTCGGTATCGTTTATCAGGTTTTAATGAGATGACTCTAGAAATGCTCCGAAATATAATGTTTACGTTTTTTCTCGTGATCTCGACTAACTGTGATCTCGCTGCAACATTTAAATGAAATCTTACGTGGAACTGCCACCATGTTGAAAATATAAGTTGAGAAACGCGAGGAAAATTTAATATACTATTGATTCCTTCCAACGATAAACAAATAAATAATTGAGACAAGTTGCAAATAAAATATGCGCGGGAAATTATGATTCAATACACTGTGCTCCAATTTATTTTGTTTATTTTTTTCAGTTGACATCTTTCTAATATTAAAAAATGCTCACTGTAAAAAGCTACCTCTGGCTACATAAACATGCATGGTTAGTCTAAACAGTGTTATTGTTAAGACTTCTAACACGACAGTAGACTTACTAGACTGGATATGTTCATGGTTTAATTGGCGGTCGTCGGAGATCTGTAGCCGTGTAAATAAATTTCAGTATTCAGTACTAATACTAATAGATAGCAAACTCTGTGGTCCTAACCTATGGTGTCTACATGTCACAGCTAATTCGATATTCAAGTGTCTGTTCCCACTATCACGATTTTCGTACAAGAAGTCAACTGATGGACAAACTTGAAAGGATTTCAAAAGATGCAGGTTGTTGAAATTACTGGAATATTTTACGGTTGTCTTTATGATATCATGAAATAATATATTTATTTGTGCGATATGAAGCTGAATGAAGTTGATGTCCTTTAGTTTGACTGTTTGTTCCCATGTTGTACACCTTGTTCTAATTTGAAGGCATGACATTGCTTACCTGGACTAACCAAAGTTTACTTATCAGGTGTCGTCGATGAAGCAAAAGACGCTTACTCTTCTGGAACATCTGGTCTTATTCTCCTTGTATTTTTTTCTGGAGTCCCCATGTAAATCTTTCTTTTGTTCAAACTTTTGACCTAGTTCATAGGTCACAGGGGTCAAGTATGTTTAGAGTTCAAATATTGCGCCAGCAGGTACATAGTTTGGAGCCCTATACAGTAAATGATCTTGACCTATTTTAGAGGCCACATGAATCAAATATTTAAAGTACCATTAGGAATCTTTTTAAGTTTCCCAAAACCAAAATTACTAATATTTAGCCAATGGGTACCCAAAGGTAATACATTTTCCATATATAAATGACCTTCACCAATTTTCAAGATCACAAGGTTAAATATGTTAAAAACTTAAGATTTGTTCCTGAAGGCCTGGGGTACTGATAGTTGGCCAGATGACCACCAAAGAAAAAGAGTTTTAAATTTCCTCTTTAGAATGACCTTGAACTATTTTTATTATAAGAGATGCTTTGAACCAGACTCTAAGGTATTCATTGTTTTATGCATCAATGCATTATGTTTTGTTGGTGCGGTACCTACCAAACGAGATGGTACATATGTTTAGTGTGTAAAATGTGAACTTTGGGTCAAATTTCTTCCCCACTTTTTAACAGCTTCTAAATATCATTAAGATAATGTGTTGAAAATACAACACAAGCCTTCAATAATACTACAAACCCCGAGTTGTTTGCCTGTATATAATATACAAAGTGCGATTACATTTCAGTCTCTGGTAAATGTTTCAAATTCTGTTTTATCATCCCAGTTACTGATGATCATAATTCATTTTCTGTGTTTCAGATTGAGTCACTATGGGAAAAAATGGCATCGTTCCAGTACTAGTTTGTTTTGATATAATCAGATATACTAATCTGTACTGTCAATAGATGCAACATCCCTGATACTGTTTCCTGTCAATGATAATGGCCCAATATTGTTTTATACAACCTTTGAACAATCATATTGAGTTGCATTTCTAAATAGTGCCATCTGCAGAAGAAAAGCAGCCATATTTTAAAATTTGAATTGTCAAAGTTTGAACAGGATGGACAAAACATGACTCTCTGAAACATGCACTCTGGCAATGGGAAACTGATGGACACTTGTTTTAAATGTCCCAAGAAATTGATATTTAATGTGAAACTTTGAAATGTTTAACATGATCTTCAAAATTTTGAAATTGTCTTTCGATTTGACTTTAGTATAACAGGAAGGATACCGACTAACGTGTTTGTTTTATGCGTTTCCAAGTAGAATTCTAGTGTCGACTGCACATTCAAAAATGTCATATCTGAAAGTTTTCAATTGTCACAGCAGACAACAAATTGTAATGTGTTTTAACAAGACCTTCAAAATCTTACAATAAGAAAACTTACATTATCACCATTGTTTAACAGGTTGACACTATTCGGTTTGGACCGAGTGAAGATAAACTTACATTATCACCATTGTTTAACAGGTTGACACTATTCGGTTTGGACCGAGTGAAGATAATCTTACATTATCACCATTGTTTAACAGGTTGACACTATTCGGTTTGGACCGAGTGAAGATAATCTTACATTATCACCATTGTTTAACAGGTTGACACTATTCGGCCTGGACCGAGTGAAGATAATCTTACATTATCACCATTGTTTAACAGGTTGACACTATTCGGTTTGGACCGAGTGTGACTCTAACTTCACTTTGGTATTGGGTCTTTTTATGTTAAGGATAGAAATGAAGAAACAGGCTGTGCTCATGTATTTTTTCTTTCTTTTTGATTTATTTTGTACAATGAATAATAAGAAACAATTATAGAATGTTTGTTGAAACACAGCGTTGAATCTATTTGGTTATTCAACTTCCCGATAATCAAACAAACATGTCAACTGAAACCAAGTTGGAAATTGGTGTCAACAAGACATACTTTTGTATTCCATCTATTGTTTTATAAAATCTGTGGATTTTCAAAATTTGATGTCCTTAACTTGAAAAAACAAGAATAACTAATCAGCAGTAGACTGGATTTTTGTAATTATGCATTTACTTCATCCACCTTTAAATTATCATTCTAAAGCGCTCTCCACTGGTACTTAAAAGAATAAGAATGCAAATATGGTTTTGTTCATTTTTCAGAGGAAGAGAAAAGTTAATTCTAGAATTCATCAAATGATGACATTGATTGCCCCCTTTAATTTTATAAATTCAACCATCCAGTGGATGACATTTCCTCCTACAAAGATGTCACATCTACGTGAATTGTAAATACGTCTTGTCACATCTACGTGAATTGTAAATACTTCTCGTCACATCTACGTGAATTGTAAATACTTCTTGTCACATCTACGTGAATTGTAAATACGTCTTGTCACATCTACGTGAATTGTAAATACTTCTCGTCACATCTACGTGAATTGTAAATACTTCATGTCACATCTACGTGAATTGTAAATACTTCTTGTCACATCTACGTGAATTGTAAATACTTCTCGTCACATCTACGTGAATTGTAAATACTTCTTAACATTATATAGATTATCAATAGTCTTTGAAGTAAAATTGGTGCCTTTTGTGTGGTCTATGTTTACATTTTAAGCAGAAATGTTTCCGGACCTTTTCAAACAGAAGATTCTAATTGTTCATTTCTGGGGGACTCCTTATGAACCAATTATATATGTCCACAAATCAATAAATTAAAAACTTGACATAAATAAAGATGTATGTAGTATAAGTGGATTTCTTGAGTGTTATAATCCACATATTCAAGTGTACATGATTAAGCAATACTGTAAAAAAACATAAAATTTGGGCCCAAACATGCCTTTGTAGTATATAAGGCAATATTGTACAAATTACACACATAATACAACATATTCATTAAAATCAGTTTATTTCAGATGAATGTGAACAAGAAAATTGTATAGAGAAATTCATTAATAAAAATTTATGAGAAAATTGATAACTTATTTTGTTTGAGCAAACAAGTTTATGTGGTACTAACTCCATTCCATCCTCAACCCTGCCACCGTTCCTCTCTTAATGAAGCAAATACATGCATGGATTCAGTTCTACATGATATAGCTACATTGGTTACCTGCAAAGTAGAACTGTAAACAAACCTACAAGATATGTCAAAAAAAAGTTAATTTGTCCATCTAAAGTATAAATTGTTGGACAATCCTAAATGCTTCTAGGGTTAGCAAGGTTCAATGAAATTTTGTTAATATGCATTGTTTTATAAGCCATTATAAAACATTTTAAATTATACAACTTTGGGAAAACATCAGTCTCAGTTCAAAATTGAAAAAAAAAACCAAAATGATAACAATGAATTCACAGTGAATGGTAGCCATTTTTGATAAAACAGATCTCTCCTGCATACTGGTATTACTCGTAGTAAATGAAATACTGACATAATGAAATGACAGTAGACCTGATAGGGGAATTCATATAGGTTCAAATCAATAATTTCAAAACCTTTGTACTTATTGTAATTTTTATGAACTGGAAAGTTTTCATTAGTACATAAATAGAGTCTGGTTTCAAGAAATTTACCTCACTCAATATCATTTAAAGGAAAGTGATTACAAATTAAATATGCTGCTAGATTTTTTTTCCATTTATATTTTGAAACCATAAACATCGATGGTAAATACCAGGTTGATATCATACACATTAATTTCTTATTGAAATTATGGGAGATTTCATCAAATATTTATGAATATTGATGAATTGCTGATAAAAGTGGTACAAATATTCCACTTTGATAAGTAACAATAACAATCATCAGCTCACCTTTCTCACTACATAGTGTCAAAATATGTTATACAGAAAGTTTGATGAACAATTCTAGTGATAAGACTTAACAACACTTAACATTATAATTATAGCAAGGACTAAATCATAAAAAAAAATCCCAAAATGGACCTGATCCACTAATAAAATTACATATATATCTAACTGTTGTATAGATAAGGCTATTGTTGAAATATACGATGTCAGAAATATAGAACTAATGCAGTATTTTATACCAAAATAGCATGGAAAGTAAGTGGGGGTTAAGGCTGGGAGATATTCTCCTACAACTTGTTTTCTACAAAACAGAGTAATGTTCTTGTCACATTTCAATTTAAATATATTGTGCAGGACATAAAGCATCCTCTTCTACTTTAAACTTAATTGATATTTATTTTTGCCATGTCCACATTTATCAATCATTAATAACATATTCACTCTGGAATATATCTAATTCTGATTTATTACATAATATGTAAAACAACATGTATCTTTAAACATGTCTATCATTTCCTTCTGACATTTTCATTATATTGCACAATGTTTTTAGATAAAACTTCCATGTCTGTGTTTTCATAATGTTCCCCAGTCATGAAGAATAGCAACTATTAGAATCAATAGGACAAAAAAGAATCCATCAGTATCAATGACCAATGAAGAACTAATATTACATAAGGACTGAAAAATTTATTAGACACCATGGGTCCTAATATCAAAGCTGAACTGATTATGTACTTTAAACATTGATGATTTATTAAGTCTTATAGACATTTTTCAGATTTTAAGATAATTGATTAGTGTATATATGTTTACATTTGATCTTCCATAATTCAGAACACAAATGCCAAAACCAACAGATTTTACATGGCGACAGTTGCTACAGTCCCATTTGAGTCGTAATCAGCAACGACATGGCAACAGTTGCTATGGCCCTAGTCAAATCTGAATCAGTTAAATCAGTTACTACGTGGCCATAATTGTCATGGTCCAGTTCAGTAACAGGGAACATCAGACATTGAATGAAGTAGCAGAAAAGGCATGAAGATTTCCCATCTGGCTGAGTCCACTCTGAATGTGATTAATGTGGATGTCTACGTTATTCTTGAAGGCACTGAGGAGATAAAAATAGTAATCATGAGTGTAAGGTGAAGGAATTTTGAGAACATGTATATGATAGTTTCATAATTTTTTCTGGGTAGAGTTTTGAGATATAGTTCATTTCACCTAAACTTTTGACAAAACTGCTGTTAAACTCAATTATCCAATGAAACATTGTTTAACCATATATTAATATAATAACAAATTTTTGCAAATTTATTTTACTCATACACAATAACATAATGATCCTGAAATTCATGTTGATAAACTTACTTCAAGCTATTCCCATCCAATCGACTCTTAACATCTTGTAACGTGTCTTGTAATGACTTGAATTCAAAAGAGTTCAACTCTGTTTCTGAAAACGTCTGCAAAAATATAAAGTTTTACGAACTCCATATATCATTTAATTCCACATAAATTCCAATCCTGGTATGTTAAGATGGCAGTTAACTGTTTAATAGTATTTTAATTTTGAAAATGTAAACATGCATGTTAATTCCTGAATGCTATCAGAATATTGTTACTCTGTAAATATTCATGTTAATGTATTACAGTAATTAATGGAACTTTTAAATGTTTATTTTTAATATAAAAACATTATTTTTGCTTGTGCTTTCAAACTTTTAAATCATTTTATTTTGAAAATCGGTTATTAATACTAAATCATCAATAACAAAGACAAAGACCGTAAAAAAGCTACCATTAAGCTGGAAGCTATGACTACTATCCAGACTATATTATCATCTGGATGTCAATATCTCCATAATATACCAGCTCACTACAAATTTTACAGGAAAACTTTTGCATCCCACTTTGAGTTTGCAATGTTTTGGTGTTGTGATGAGACTCACCCGTACTTGTAACATTAGAGAAGTTAAACCAGCTATGAGGTCCATCACTTTAGGATTCTTCTTTCGGTTGTGGAACATGGTCTGTAATGTAAAGTCAACATAGTGATTTCCCTCTAAATGTTTTGTTCTGTGTTTAAGATATAAGCAATTTTCATGTATCCTTGTACAATTTTGTTCAAAAGATGTAAGTTTGAATTCTGCCTAATCATGTGACTATTACTTGCATCAATATGAAACCTAACGAGATCCCAGAGGGATCTTGGCGCCCACCATTTGAGGATTTGTTTTCAGTTCTTGAAGATTTGTTTATTTTTTTTGTTGGTTACAGGTGTTGTAAATGTTCATGAACTGGTCTTCATTGAATGTACTCAATGATGGCACAAGATATTTTTATTAAGTACCTATTAGCAAATATCATTTGAAAAAGATCCCAAAGTATTATTAGATAGCAGTCAGTTACAGGTGGATAATGGACAATATGCTTGTGCTGTACCACTGTCGACATCCAAGATGGCTGCCTGTGGGCCACCTTGATTTCAAATCAGTCCAAAAAAGGTACAATGCACAACTAGGGACCAAGGGAAACCAATATCTATGAAATATCAGAAGGATCCATCCAGTACTTCCTCAGATATAGCAGTAACAAGATTTTACTCTCAAAATCCAAGATGGCTGCCTGTCAGCCATCTTGATTTCGGATCAGTCCAAAAAGGTATAATGCATAACTTGGAACCAAAGATAACCTGCATATGAAATTTGGAATCACCTGTCTGCCATCTTGAATTTGAATCAGTCAAAAAAAGGTACAATGCACAACTAGGGACTAAATTTGAGAAAGATCCATCCAGTACTTTCCAAGAAAGAGCAGTAACAAACTTTTACTTCCAAAATCCAAGATGGCTGCCTGTCGGCCATCTTGAATTCGAATCAGTCCAAAAAAGGTACAATGCACAACTAGGGACCAAGGGGAACCTGCATATGAAATTTGAGAAAGATCCATCCAGTACTTTCCAAGAAATAGCAGTAACAAACTTTTACATCCAAAATCCAAGATGGCCACCTGTCGGTCATCTTGAATTTGAATCAGTCCAAAAAAGGTACAATGCACAACTAGGGACCAAGGGGAAACTGCATATGGAATTTGAGAAAGATCTATCCAGTACTTTCCAAGAAATAGCAGTAACAAACTTTTACATCCAAAATCCAAGATGGCCACCTGTCGGCCATCTTGAATTCGAAGCAGTCCAAAAAAGGTACAATGCACAACTAGGGACCAAGTGGAAACTGCATATGAAATTTGAGGAAGATCCATCCAGTCCTTTCTCAGAAATAACGGTAACAAACTTTTACTTCCAAAATCCAAGATGGCCATCTGTCGGCCATCTTGAATTCGAATCAGTCCAAAAAAGGTACAATGCACAACTAGGGACCAAGGGGAACCTGTATATGAAATTTGAGAAAGATCCATCCTGTACTTTTCCAGAAATAGCGGTAACAAACTTTTACTTCCAAAATCCAAGATGGCCACCTGTTGGCCATCTTGAATGCGAATCAGTCCAAAAAAGGTATAATGCACAACTAGGGACCAAGGGGAACCTGTATATGAAATTTGAGAAAGATCCATCCAGTGCTTTTCCAGAAATAGCGGTAACAAGAATTGTTTATGGACGGACGGACGGACGGACCACGGACGCAGGGCGATTTGAATAACCCACCATCTATTGGATGGTGGGCTAAAAATGTAACAGTGGCTTTGACATAGACCTAAATTTCATTAAATTATTTATACAATATAAAATGTACTGGCATTGGTTTAATATGCTCTTTGACCACTTCTTACACCATTCCTAATATGATACCTGTACAGTTTATACATGTCGTCATAGAACCTTGTACTTTTTCTATTTGTCTTATCCTTCATGGATGTCAAAGTCAATATAAAATCTACATCATGTTTCTGATCTCTAATTGAAATGATTTGTAATTCTAAACCTACCCCACTTATTCTGGAAACCATTTCCTCTGCTTCATCATCACACTTGGTCCTGATCTCTGATGGTTGGTCCAAGGGAGTTAGGCCCTGTTCTGGAGCAATCTACAATTCATAAAAAAGCATATCAATATTGTTATATCAAATTTTCATACTATAGTATATTGCATATACATTACACACACACACAAAAATGTTATCATGTTTTTTACTATTTCATTCCGAAAACGGTTCTTTTTTCATTATTACTAGATTTAGGTAGGTCAATTTTGAGATATCTAAATCCATTTATCCATTAACATTTAGCCTAACCATAGTTTATGTGGATATGACCAAGGCCATGTTCCTATAGATAAAATGGATACCTTTATGCCCTAGTCATAGACAAAATACCCAGAAAACTGTCATATCACAATATCAAGAGGAAAACTGTCTACATAAGCATGCCACATTCATATGTTAACCCATACCAGCTCCCTCATCAGGTCAGATCCTGTAAATACTGTTGGTAAAATTTGTTATCTGGGTTTATGACCAGGATCATTTTCAGATGAGGTGCCCTTGTGGCAGCTGGTGGCTACTTTACTGACCATCATGCGTCCTCCCCTGGCATGATATCAGTGATCTCAGCTTCCTGTAAAATGTAATACTTCACTCACAATGTGCTATTATAAAACCACTGTGATTTTACCTCCTGACAGTATTGCTGTACCCCTATCAGACACTCGTTCAGCTCTCTGTTGAGATCCTCTAGCTGTAATACAGCATTGGCGTACTTCCTCTGGAACTCCGGAGATATAGGTTCTAGGAAGGACTTCTGCCAATAAAACAGCTGGAGTTATAATATTGCTCTTGAAATGTTACATAAAGGACCATTGAAAACTCCCTGAATTTTGTCAGGTAAACCTCATATTGGCCATATCATGACCTTTTAAAATTATGAAAAATTATTTGAACCACCTGGTATCTCCAAACCGAAACATTTTTTTTATTTACAAAAATTGTATCATTGTATTTGTCATTCCCCTAAACCTTTTCATACCAATTTTCAACTTAATCAGACAATATCTTAATCTTAAGCAATCAGAAGCCTCCAAAGTGTTTCCATGGCAACAGTTTTGGATCACCTAATATGTCAAATTATAGGCCACAATTAGCTGTAATATTTGATCAAGTTTAAATGAAAAAGTGAAAGGTCACAACTTATATATCATAGGAATGTAGCAAGCAAAGTTCGAGAAATAGCACTTCAGTACTTTATCAGATACACTTGACAATATTCCATACAGAATATCTAGAAAAAGGGGTAATATTCTACCAAATGTTGTAGAAATAATACGAAAAGCTAAAGAACACAACTTTATATCATAAGGATGTAGTATGCCAAGGTTGACAGGGTGATTCCAATATACCCCCCTGAACTTTATTCAGGGTATAATAAGCTTTAACTGCCAAATCCAAGATGGTCAGCTGGAAGTCATTTTGTTTTTTCTAATCAGTCCCAAAACCAAAGGACACTAGGGACCAAAGGGAAGGTACATAAGTTTGGGAGAGATCCATTCTTTACTTCTTCAAAAATAGCGATAAAAACATTCAAAGTCAAAATCTAAGATGACTGCCTGTCAGCCATTTTGTTTTTCTGATCAGTCCTCAAATCAAAAGGGCACAACCAGGGATCAAATAGTGGTCAGGTGGTGCAGTGGTAGCGCACTCACCTTTCACCTAGCCAGTGGCTTGTAACAAATTTCAGAAATAAACAAACTACATGATTGATTTTTAGTTGAAACTGAGGAAAACAGGATTATCAAGTTATTAATCAACCATTTTCATAATGACATATCATTCCATAACATCAATATATACATATAACACAAGTTCATACACAAAATACTACATGAGTAAAGTCACTGAAAAAATGTAGCAATCACAGAACAAATCTTATTCTCAGCCAGGAAAAAAATTATTTTGTTCAGCTGCCTTAAATGTGATGACATACAGTTTTAAGTAAGTGAAATCTTCACCTTGTAGCCATGTTGTACCTACATATAATTAAACTCAAACTAGTTGTAACAAAATGCAAATAAAGGATGAGAAAGAAAAGATCTTTTCGATATATCCTATGATAAACAACCATTTCATTTGTTTAAAAACTTGTTCTAGGTAACTGTGCACCAAAAGGTAAAAAATCTGAACAAAAGTCAACACTTTTTGTTTAAATTTCCTGTCAGATGTGTCCAGTATATCAATACTTCATACTCTTACCATCTTTTCAGCCTCTGTGTTCATTGTTTTTAACTGTTTGACCCAGTCTTTCTTGATCATGAGAATCTTGGATAATTTTGTCTGTAATAGAAATGGAATATAGAGATAGTTAAAACCTTGTTCAAAACAGAGAGAAACACTGCACTCAGCATTAAAAAGTACTATTCATGTACAACTGATCTGTTATACCATATACAGTAACTATCAGGTACTTTACCTACAAATTCAGTCATGTATTTAAGGTCAAATAACCCATATAAATAGACAAAGTGTGATATATGTACTCTAAATAGGTCACCATTTCCTGGACAAAGTGTAAAGTTCATACCTACAAGGTAACAACAGGTGTTAAAATACCTAGACAATGTTAAGTGTAAGGTAATTAGAACTTATGACATGTGATCTCAAGTAATCCTGTCATGGTTCACTTCACTCCCCCCCTTCAAGTATCTTGGAACAGCCCTTAAACTACCTTCCACACCTAAGGTATGATGCACCATGAAACAGTCCTTTAATACCCTTCTGTCCTCTAATGAGTGATGCACTATGGAACAACCCAGAAACTTAACTTCCACCCCTTAGATGTGAAACCTCCCATGAGTCATGCACTGTGTAATTGCTCTAATGCCTTACATATATTAAACAATTGTTTTCAGAACATATATTCTAACTCACTTTATCTACCTTCCTCTCAATAATGAAGTTCAATATTAAAGCAGACCTTTAACACACTATGAGCACAGGACTACAGTAGTGGACTCTCATAAAACAGCTACATATTTTCTAGCGCTCATGGGAATTGGTGGAGATTTCAAGATCTATGATCACTTACAGTGAAACCTCACCTAACGACCACCTCAAAATTACGACCACCCCGCTATTACGGGCACTTTTTTTCAGTTCCGTTTTTTTCCACTATATATCTTTGTATTGGTCGCTTCAGTATTACGACCACCCCTCTATTCCGTATTACGACCACTTCCTACAGTCCCAACAACGTGTGTCATTCACGACCATTGTTTACGTCACGGGTTACCGACCCTGTCACCAGGTGGCGTTAAACGAAGTAAACATTGTTATCGGATTAACTTGGCCTACCCGTCCGAAACCGCGTGCTAGACACATTTTAATAGCGATCTGTTGTTTGTTAATTATATATTGATAGATCGGTAGGTATATAAACACCTTAGAAGCCCTGCATACCCAAAAGTGAATTATGTAGTTGTTTCGGCCGATATTCCTTGGCTTGCACGCGCACACGTTGTTGAGGGTTTTTAACTGTTTTTGTAGCAATGTTGCACTCTCGATATCGTTTGAACAATAAAAAAATGTGTATGTTTATGTTCCATTTTTTTTATGACACATTTTCTCTGTCACAAACCTCCGATGAACTTTATCAAGCAAAGACGAAACCACGGAAACGAAACGAGGTATTGCTATAAAAGGACGTATGAAAGGGGAGGCTGTCCAGATCCGTAGCTCTTCGCAATATTGTGCACTGGACTCTTTTTTTTTTAAGTAAAAAAAAAATGTGTTGTACTGAGTGATACACTGATAAAGATTATGTGTTTGCAAATTTAAGTGAAAAATGAAGCGTTGAAAACATCATTATTCTTCTGTCAATTCAGCAATTTTGTCTTTTTTACATGCATTTCATAAAATTCAACATTTTACATAAGTTTTGTTATTATTGTTGAATAATACACATGTACATTACTAAATGATATATATAGTCTTTATTTTAAACAGAGTTACGGTTCTTTGTGGTCAATCTGATCCACCTCACTATTAAGACCACTTTTGTCCAGTCCCCAAAGTGGTCTTAATAGCGAGGTTTCACTGTATTATGAATGGTTAGTGACAACAGAACAATTTTCGATCATTACTCGATTGGTCATATGAATAATTGTTTTTGTTACAAACAACATCCCATCAATTCAAAGTGTATTTGGGCACTGAACATATCAGTGTATGTGTTAAAGTGATGACCTACTCATAGTAAATATTACACAAGTTTTAGCTGGTGATGGTGTACAATTAGAACTGTTGGTAATCTTGAAATGATTACTAACTTTTATTAGCATATGCAAAATTTACACACCACTTTGTTCACATAGAGATAGTCTGATGACCCCATTTAATCTATTAAAACAAACATATCTTTCACATTCTTGGTTGTTCCTTGTCCTGGATTAGCAACAAAGATTGCTACCATGTCACTGTACCAGGCTAACTCTAGACTAGTTAAGTATCATTTTATTAAAACTTTCCATGTACTAATCTAGTTGATACATTGTGTAAGAAACTAGCTCTCGAAGACTGAGTTCATGGATTAACCACTGAAAATGAAACTAAAACACACACATCCTGTTTAAAACATCATCTGAAATCTGTTGCCTTTTCAATTATGATATGATTATCTCAGCAATACTGACAGTTTTTCGTAGAAGACTGAAAACTATGAAAAAATTTCAGACAAGACACAATAAAGACCTTGTGGGACAATCACATACGTATAAAACATCGAATGGATGGACAATGGAAGGAAACTCGGACACTTAAAGATAGGCCTACCATATTCTTTCAAACAGACAAGAGGCAAAAAAAAGTTCAGAATTCTCACAAATAAAAGATTTTATTCAAAGAGATATTTACATTTTTTCTTTAATTTGTTGATCTTATATACTTTATATCTTATATACTATATTTTGCAAAATAACAGCTTTAATTACTTATTGAAATAATTTCAAAACATGTCCTATCCCTTTCGCTATGGTAAATGAGTACTGTGTGAGAAATTATACCATTCCAGGTCATAAATCCAGTGATGACTATAAGAATCCACAGTATCAAAACAACCTTAACACAGTTCCACGAATCACCTCTCCTTTCCACCAACATCCCCCATTCAAACTTTAGTTATACTGCCCCAATGCTTTCCTCCAAAAAACATTTAATTCTTAGTTTATTCAAATGAATTTATCAACTCAGGAGGTTGGAATAACATGCTTTAAGCTGAGTGATCTGGACCACTGGTAGACATACCTCTCTAATTTCCAGAAATATATATATCAGCAAATGTTTATAGAGAAAACGTTGAAAAGGTGTTGTGAATCTAAACCTGTTTGAAGGAAGATTAAAAGCATGTAGCATGGTAATTCTGATCTAATTCATAAAACTTCTTGAGCAACTCCCTTTTAAATTTAAATATGGCAATTATGGAACATCCCTAAAACTACCTGTCATTTTTCACACTTTCTAAATTCTTAGCAGCATTTATACTTGAATTTCCATCCAAATCATGATGCAAGAACAATCAATGTTTGAGCAATACTTACAACTTGAACTAAGAATTTGATGGGGAAGCCACCATATGTTCCTCCTTCCAGACTCATCAATCGACCTTTGAATGGTGACCCACTCAACAATGGATCATTGTCCTGTGAAAGCATCAAAAGAAAATTACAACATCTTGTCTCAGTTAAAAAAGGGTCCTACCCACTTTCATGGATATTTCAGCAAACCTTACACTATAAATTTTTATCAAATATTACAATTATTTTCCCATTCTAGACTTTGCCTCTCTGTATCAACAACCCTTCCTCAATATTGACAGTTCATTTCCAAGTCTGGATGAAAATTTACAGATTTTGTTGAAATACATTAAACTTTATCATCCAGTCTTCAGCTGTTTGGCCCTACCCTCAGGCCTAGAGTATGCTATACTAATCCATGCAAAAGGTTTTGATAAAGGAAATCACATATGTCAGAAGAACATACAAGGGAAAATTTCAGGGTCCACATTGAAATCAATGACCACTTATGGTATTCTGATATACACGACAGAGTCAGGAGAACCTTACATATAAATGTTAGATATGTTAATTACTTACAAGGTGAGGATTAGGTGAACCTAGACTGGGTACAAATCTGGGGGGTGAGAAGATGGCTTGTCTGGGCCGATGTTTCTGTTGGAAGGCTGTGAGAGGGATAGTCTCAATGTCTTCATTACTCTGTAGGAAAGGACAAAATCAATATTTAACACATCAACAAATAGCACTCTGACATATATCTAAAGCCAAGAAATAAATTTTGGCTAATCTGAAAACTAACCTACATTTCAATTGTAATTTCTGCCTCTGAAGGTATCATCAACAACACCACTTGCCTTAATTTGGAATCAATATCTTTACTTTATTTTACAGAAGTAACCTATGATACATTTATTTATACTTTATATCATTATTTTTTTTAATTTGACATCAATACCAACAATACTTCATTATTTCATTACTTTATTAAAAAAATTATGAGCTTCTCCATCAAATTCATTTCTATTTTTTTTTTCAAATATTGTATTAAACTGTAAAGTCTTCTTACAAGCACTTCATAGTCTGGTATTGAGTGAACGCCAAGACCAGGTCTGTCAAACGTCACACGATAGCTGTTGTTTACTGTATCTAAGGCATCCACTGTACCAGTAAACAAGCCATCCTGAGGCCTCCTTAGTCGTGCTGATAACATCAAATATTTATATGTATGTAGTAATGATCATGGACGATTGTAGACATAAAACAACCTACCAGTATATCAACCTATGAAGTTATGAATTGATGAGCATCTCAGTATTTTCCTACTTCTCATGTTCTTTACATTGATGATATGAGGGTATGCCATTAGATATTATCATCTAACATGCTGCAAATTTTCACACTGACAGAACGACCCCCTTAATGCGAGGTTTCCATTATCAGGTCGAATTGTACATTGCGATGTTTCCATTATTGTATGTTGAATTATGTCTAATATTACAAAATTATTAAATTACAGAGGTAATATGGTAATAACGCAGCAGACATGTGGCAGACACTGGGATAATCAGAATCAAATGCACAAAAATGTCCTATTATCAGACAACCAATATGACATTTTCTAAAGAGAGAACACACAGTAACATTCAATGTTTAAATAGAAAAAAACAACAAAAATAAATGGGATTTTGACTTTTGTAACACACAACAATAAAGCAATAGGGATGATGATATAACCATGAAACCATAATTTTTATTTCTTTAACAACAATTAGTAAAAAAATTAATTCAACCTCTGTTTATCACTCTGATTTACCAGATGGAGAGAGTGTGAAAGTGTTATTATGGGATGAATCTGGAGTACTTAGAAACATGATCAGACAGAGGAGTCCATATGAATTTACATCAAATGAGGGAACCAAACATCTTAGCAAAAGACTTATTCCTATTAGTTTGATCATCCAAAGCAGGGATTTGAACAATCCTTGAAATTTTTTTCTAACCTGCTAGTCCTTCTGTATACCATTTCAAATATTCCAGTGACTTCATGCAGTATATGTGTTCAGAGTTTGTTATTAAATATTTATTTTTTCTTTATATTTTAGATCAATTAAGAACAAGATAGAAGATTTAACATGTTTGGTCTATGTAACTGACAATTTTATCTAAGTTACTAAGACTTGCAATATTATTATAAATTTCTATCGTTTTAATTTATGTCCGCTTTGCTTGTACCAATTTTTCTGAACATAAAACAAAAGACAAGGATTCCCCTACACATACCTGTTACTTTGGTTCCTATGACAAGATGTGTAGGGATCTCATCTGGAAGATCCTTAAAGCTGTTCAACTCAGATAGCTTACGCTGTTGTAGAAGTCTGATTTTGTTTCTCCTCTGCTCCAGTGCTGCCCTTTCCTCCGCAAAGAATGCTGGTGAACATCTAGCAGACACATTAACATGAAATAAAATCATCTAGTGCAAACAGCATTCAATAAACTTCTAATAAAAAATTCAAAAGAAGGTAAATCTTGTTGAGCACAAAAATATGATATAGATATGTGCAAAATTAAAACTTTGATATTTTCACCTTTTCTAGGGTTACAATAAAATGTTACTTCATTAGAACAACTAATTTTGAAATACAATTATGAGTGCGTGTTTGAAAGAGAAATACGGACACATACCAGAGCAAATGATCACCTTCAGAATGTTTTCTTGTTTATACATTATATAAAAATTATAAACTTGTACTTACATTTCAAACATAATGCAACAATTAACTTTTTATTTGATATCTATTATCAAACTAAATAATGATATTAATAGTATCGCTACATGGTAGATAAAACGTGAATGATTTATAAAGGACACCTTCTTGGCTTCCCCATCAATCTACGAATCTTGTTCCACTCCACACGTCTGATCTTCTTTGTTTTCAGCTGTGGGAACGTTTCTTTGACACAGATACAGAAGTCATTCTCACCCAGAAATAATGGTCTGTAAAAACACAATAATGGTCATTTCTGATTCATATCCAATGTAGTATTTACTGGTGGCCATGTCTGATTCATATCCAATGTAGTATTTACTTGTGGCCTTGGCTGATTCATATCCAATGTAGTATTTACTGGTGGCCTTGTCTGATTCATACAATGTAGTATTAACTGGTGGCCATGTCTGATTCATACAATGTAGTATTTACTAGTGGCCTTGTTTGATTCATATCCAATGTAGTATTTACAGGTGGCCATGTCTGATTCATATCCAATGTAGTATTTACTGGTGGCCTTGTCTGATTCATATCCAATGTAGTATTTACTAGTGGCCTTGGCTGATTCATATCCAATGTAGTATTTACTGGTGGCCATGTCTGATTCATATCCAATGTAGTATTTACTAGTGGCCTTGGCTGATTTACATCCAATGTAGTATTTACTGGTGGCCTTGTCTGATTCATACAATGTAGTATTAACTGGTGGCCATGTCTGATTCATACAATGTAGTATTTACTAGTGGCCTTGTTTGATTCATATCCAATGTAGTATTTACAGGTGGCCATGTCTGATTCATATCCAATGTAGTATTTACTGGTGGCCTTGTCTGATTCATATCCAATGTAGTATTTACTAGTGGCCTTGGCTGATTCATATCCAATGTAGTATTTACTGGTGGCCATGTCTGATTCATATCCAATGTAGTATTTACTAGTGGCCTTGGCTGATTCACATCCAATGTAGTATTTACTGGTGGCCTTGTCTGATTCATACAATGTAGTATTAACTGGTGGCCATGTCTGATTCATACAATGTAGTATTTACTAGTGGCCTTGTTTGATTCATATCCAATGTAGTATTTACTGGTGGCCATGTCTGATTCATATCCAATGTAGTATTTACTGGTGGCCATGTCTGATTCATATCCAGTGTAGTATTTACTGGTGGCCATGTCTGATTCATATCCAATGTAGTATTTATTAGTGGCCATGTCTGATTCATATCCAATGTAGTATTTATTAGTGGCCATGTCTGATTCATACAATGTAGTATTTACTGGTGGCCATGTCTGATTCATACAATGTAATATTTACTAGTGGCCATGTCTGATTCATACAATGTAGTATTTACTGGTGGCCATGTCTGATTCATACAATGTAGTATTAACTGGTGGCTATGTCTGATTCATACAATGTAATATTTACTAGTGGCCATGTCTGGTTCATACAATGTAGTATTTACTAGTGGCTTTGTCAGATTCATACAATGTAGTATTAACTGGTGGCCATGTCTGATTCATATCCAATGTAGTATTTACTGGTGGCCATGTCTGATTCATACAATGTAGTATTGTCTAGTGACAATGTCTGATTCATATCCAATGTAGTATTTACTGGTGGCCATGTCTGATTCATATCCAATGTAGTATTTATTAGTGGCCATGTCTGATTTATACAATGTAGTATTTACTGGTGGCCATTTCTGATTCATATCCAATGTAGTATTTACTAGTGGCCTTGTCTGATTCATATCCAATGTAGTATTTACTAGTGGCCATGTCTGATTCATATCCAATGTAATATTTACTGGTGGCCATGTCTGATTCATATCCAATGTAGTATTTACTAGTGGCCATGTCTGATTCATATCCAATGTAGTATTTACTGGTGGCCATGTCTGATTCATATCCAATGTAGTATTTACTGGTGGCCATTTCTGATTCATATCCAATGTAGTATTTACTAGTGGCCTTGTCTGATTCATACAATGTAGTATTTACTAGTGGCCATGTCTGATTCATATCCAATGTAATATTTACTGGTGGCCATGTCTGATTCATATCCAATGTAGTATTTACTAGTGGCCATGTCTGATTCATATCCAATGTAGTATTTACTGGTGGCCATGTCTGATTCATATCCAATGTAGTATTTACTGGTGGCCATGTCTGATTCATACAATGTAATATTTACTAGTGGCCATGTCTGATTCATACAATGTAATATTTACTAGTGGCCATGTCTGATTCATACAATGTAGTATTAACTGGTGGCCATGTCTGATTCATACAATGTAGTATTTACTAGTGGCATTGTTTGATTCATATCCAATGTAGTATTTACTGGTGGCCATGTCTGATTCATATCCAATGTAATATTTACTAGTGGCCATGTCTGATTCATATCCAATGTAGTATTTATTAGTGGCCATGTCTGATTCATACAATGTAGTATTTACTGGTGGCCATGTCTGATTCATATCCAATGTAGTATTTACTGGTGGCCATGTCTGATTCATACAATGTAATATTTACTAGTGGCCATGTCTGATTCATACAATGTAGTATTTACTGGTGGCCATGTCTGATTCATACAATGTAGTATTAACTGGTGGTCATGTCTGATTCATACAATGTAGTATTTACTAGTGGCATTGTTTGATTCATATCCAATGTAGTATTTACTGGTGGCCATGTCTGATTCATATCCAATGTAGTATTTACTGGTGGCCATGTCTGATTCATACAATGTAATATTTACTGATGGCCATGTCTGATTCATATCCAATGTAGTATTTACTGGTGGCAATGTCTGATTCATACAATGTAATATTTACTAGTGGCCATGTCTGATTCATACAATGTAGTATTTACTGGTGGCTATGTCTGATTCATACAATGTAGTATTAACTGGTGGTCATGTCTGATTCATACAATGTAGTATTTACTAGTGGCATTGTTTGATTCATATCCAATGTAGTATTTACTGGTGGCCATGTCTGATTCATATCCAATGTAGTATTTACTGGTGGCCATGTCTGATCCATATCCAATGTAGTATTTACTGGTGGCCATGTCTGATTCATATCCAATGTAGTATTTATTAGTGGCAATGTCTGATTCATACAATGTAGTATTTACTGGTGGCCTTGTCTGATTCATATCCAATGTAGTATTTACTGGTGGCCATGTCTGATTCATATCCAATGTAGTATTTACTAGTGGCCATGTCTGATTCATATCCAGTGTAGTATTTACTGGTGGCCTTGTCTGATTCATATCCAATGTAGTATTTACTAGTGGCCATGTCTGATTCATATCCAATGTAGTGTTTATTAGTGGCCATGTCAGATTCATACAATGTAGTATTAACTGGTGGCCATGTCTGATTCATACAATGTAGTATTTACTAGTGGCCATGTCTGATTCATACAATGTAGTATTAACTGGTGGCCATGTCTGATTCATACAATGTAGTATTTACTAGTGGCCATGTCTGATTCATACAATGTAGTATTGTCTAGTGACAATGTCTGATTCATACAATGTAGTTTTAACTAGTGGCCATGTCTGATTCATACAATGTAATATTTACTGGTGGCCATGTCTGGTTCATACAATGTAGTATTTACTAGTGGCCTTGTCTGATTCATACAATGTAGTATTAACTGGTGGCGATGTCTGATTCATATCCAATGTAGTATTTACTAGTGGCCATGTCTGATTCATACAATGTAGTATTAACTTGTGGCCATGTCTGATTCATACAATGTAGTATTTACTGGTGGCCATGTCTGATTCATACAATGTAGTATTTACTAGTGGCAATGTCTGATTCATACAATGTAGTATTTACTAGTGGCCATGTCTGATCCATACAATGTAGTATTTACTGGTGGCCTTGTCTGATTCATACAATGTAGTATTAACTAGTGACAATGTCTGATTCATACAATGTAGTATTAACTAGTGACAATGTCTGATTCATATCCAATGTAGTATTAACTGGTGGCCATGTCTGATTCATACAATGTAATATTTACTGGTGGCCATGTCTGATTCATATCCAATGTAGTATTTACTAGTGGCCATGTCTAATTCATACAATGTAGTATTTGCTAGTGGCCTTGTCTGATTCATACAATGTAGTATTAACTGGTGGCCATGTCTGATTCATACAATGTAGTATTTACTAGTGGCCATGTCTGATTCATACAATGTAGTATTTACTGGTGGCCATGTCTGATTCATATCCAATGTAGTATTTACTAGTGGCCATGTCTGATTCATACAATGTAGTATTTACTAGTGGCCATGTCTGATTCATACAATGTAGTATTTACTGGTGGCCATGTCTGATTCATACAACATAGCAAATCAAAAACAAAAAATAATCTTTCCTCTAACTGGAAATTACTAGGAAAATGTCTTTTCAATGTATAACAAGGATCTAGTCTTCAATATCTCCCACTCACGTTCATTTGTAAAATATATACATTTAAAGTCCGTAACACGGAACACTAAAGGACTGAAACCATTTATTGTTTATGTTAAATTCAAAGTTCTGTTGGAAGTGTTCAATATAATAACAATTTAGTAGCATAATACTCTGAATATCAGTTTATCATACTTTCACCTTCCTTTCTTTAGCCCAATGGTAATGAGAGAATATTTGTCACTTAATTTCAGTGATGCTGGATTAATGCTAAAGTATGGCTTAACCATATACATATTAATATAATACAATACAGCATTTAATAGTCAGATATGTAAAATTGCAAGAAAGTTACTGTGTTTTTGTGGCATCTATATTTCTGAATCAGTAAGAGATATGTTTTAGTCTTTTAATGGACTCTTATTATTACTTCAGATGATATCCTGTGCAAAGCAATTAGCCATTCAGGTAACAGCTGCCTCTTTGGATATTCACGGAATTAGCCAATAATCAAACTTAAGAGAGTGCTTAAGGTACTAAGTCTGATCAGCAAGTCTCATAGAAAATTTGATCGTTTTTTTAGATAGAAGTGCGGAAAGCGATCCTCCAGACTGTTTCAAGAAATCAGGCAATCAGGTAAGAGCACCATCATTAAATATGCAAAGAGTATACGGTTGATCTAACTTGAGTAAGGAGATTATGTAATTAATTTACCAAGCAAGTCTCATCAAAATTTGTTTGTTCCTTCAAAAGATAGCATGCAGAAAGCATTCAGTTCAAGTGCTGATCAAATCACAGCAGTCTCATGAAATCAATAATCGAACCTGAACAAGGAATGAAGGTAATAAGCCTACAAAGCAAATTTCCTAAAAATCTTATCATTTCTTCATAAGATAATGTGCAGAAAGTATTCTCATAAAGCGATATGTTAAAAAAGCACATATTAACATCAGCGGAAGAAGACGTGTGTTGTTGGGGGATTTTTTTGTCGGGAAAAGTCAGGTTGTCAACTCACCTGAGCCCTATCTATGAGATTCTAGTATCCAGCATCTAAATATCAGGTGGAAAACTGAAGTCAAATTATGAAAGAGTCAATATCCGATCAAAGAGGGAATGAATCCAGGAGGAAGTCAACGGTAAACCAATACAGGAATGACAATATCATATCAGGTCAACAACTGGTGTCATTTAACGAGAAAGTCAATACTTAACCTATAACAGAATGACAATATCATATCAGGTCAACAACTGGTGTCATTTAATGAAAAATTTAACATTTAACCAATAAAGGAATGACAATATCATAATCAGGTCAACAACTGGTGTCATTTAACGAGAAAGTCAATACTTAACCCATAAAGGAATGACAATATCATAATCAGGTCAACAACTGGTGTCATTTAACGAGAAAGTCAATACTTAACCCATAAAGGAATGACAATATCATAATCAGGTCAACAACTTGTGTCATTTAATGAAAAAATTAATATTTAACCAATACAGGAATGACAATATCATATCAGGTCAACAACTGGTGTCATTTATTGAAAAATTTAACATTTAACCAATTAAGGAATGACATTACCATAATCAGGTCAACAACTGGTGTCATTTATTGAAAAATTTAATATTTAACCAATACAGGAATGACAATAACATAATCAGGTCAACAACTTGTGTCATTTAAAGAAAAATTTAATATTTAACCAATTAACATTTAACCAATAAAGGAATGACAATACCATGATCCAATAACTAGAGTTCATCAATTAATTGGAAAATCAACAGTCAAGCATGAAGGAATGGCTAATCCCACTGACAACTGGTGCTCATCAATTTATGGCTAAGACCTTATAGAATGAAAAAAACAAAAAAAAATAAACAATATCCAATGCAAGTGAGAAAAACTGCAGAGACTGTGACACTGGCACTAGTGCTTCAATCAATAATGAGAAAACGATATATATTCAACTTAGATACAACCAGTAGACCCACTGTCGTGATTTAATAAATACACTATAAAAAGGGAAGCAACATCAATGAATATGTGAAAATTCATGTTTAAAACCAAGGAAGCAACATTACAGAAAGTGAAAATAGAATAGGTTTAACTTTGTAAACAACCTAAAGAGGCCCATGATCCGGGAAACTTACATATCCAAGTTAGAGTAGAACCATTCGTAACAAACCCATTTGTGAGCCTTTGGAAGCTTGAGGAGATTTCTGAGGCGAACTCCAATAGCTTGAGCAGACTTCTTATCAGAGGAACTTAGGAGAATCTTTGTCTGAATGAAAACAAGAAAGAAATTGTAACATAACATACTTAAATGTAATCTATTGTTTTCCAATATATAAGGAAATGTACATGTTAATTTCATATCACTTAATGTTTGCTTCTTTCCAGGTATCACAATCTTAACACTCAGAAATTTGAAAAGCAATGGTATATTAGGGCCCATTCTCCGTAAAATTCTGTTGTTACTGTCTCAAGAACCACGGGTAATCCAATTCTTTTCATGTAGAGTTTATCTGATTATAAGTGAGTGGAAAACTGAGTGATATCAATGCAAAATATAGCAATATCATATCATGCAGAGGTTAGGCTAATTAATGTATGAAGTATACTGTGGTAAGTAGTATACAGGTGTATGTAGTATGTGTAAACAGGTGTATGTAGTAGATGTAAACAGGTGTATGTAGTATGTGTTAACTGATGTTTGTAGTATGTGTAAACAGGTGTTTGTAGTATGTGTAAACAGGTGTTTGTAGTATGTATAAACAGGTGTATGTAGTAAACAGGTGTACGTAGTAAACAGGTGTATGTAGTATGTGTAAACATGAGTTTGTAGTATGTGTAAAAAGGTGTTTGTAGTATGTGTAAACAGGTGTATGTGTATGTGTAAACAGGTGTTGTAGTATGTGTAAACAGGAATGTTGTAAACAGGTGTTTGTAGTATGTATAAACAGGTGTATGTAGTATGTGTAAACAGGTGTATGTAGTATATGTAAACAGATGTTTGTAGTATGTGTAAACAGGTGTATGTAGTATGTGTAAACAGGTGTTTGTAGTATGTGTAAACAGGTGTATGTAGTGTGTGTAAACAGGTGTTTGTAGTATGTGTAAACATGTGTTTGTAGTATGTGTAAACAGGTGTATGTAGTATGTGTAAACAGGTGTATGTAGTATTTGTAAACAGGTGTATGTAGTATGTGTAAACAGGTGTATGTAGTATGTGTAAACAGGTGTTTGTAGTATGTGTTAACAGATGTTTGTAGTGTGTGTAAACAGGTGTTTGTAGTATGTGTAAACAGGTGTATGTAGTATGTGTAAACAAGTGTTTGTAGTATGTGTAAACAGGTGTATGTAGTAAACAGGTGTATGTAGTATGTGTAAACATGAGTTTGTAGTATGTGTAAAAAGGTGTTTGTAGTATGTGTAAACAGGTGTTTGTAGTATGTGTAAACAGGTGTTTGTAGTATGTGTAAACAGGTGTATGTAGTGTGTGTAAACAGGTGTTTGTAGTATGTGTAAACAGGTGTTTGTAGTATGTGTAAACAGGTGTATGTAGTATGTGTAAACAGGTGTATGTAGTATTTGTAAACAGGTGTATGTAGTAAACAGGTGTATGTAGTATGTGTAAACAGGTCTTTGTAGTATGTGTAAACAGATCTTTGTAGTATGTGTTAACAGGTGTATGTAGTATGTGTAAACAGGTGTATGTAGTGTGTGTAAACAAGTGTTTGTAGTATGTGTAAACAGGTGTATGTAGTATTTGTAAACAGGTGTATGTAGTATGTGTAAACAGGTGTATGTAGTATGTGTAAACAGGTGTTTGTAGTATGTGTTAACAGATGTTTGTAGTGTGTGTAAACAAATGTATGTCATATGTGTGAACAAGTGTTTGTAGTATGTGTAAACAGGTGTATGTAGTATGTGTAAACAGGTGTATGTAGTATGTGTGAATAAGTGTTTGTAGTATGTGTATGCTGTAATAGTATTACAGCATACACATACTACACCTGTATACTATATACTGCATACACCTGTATACAACACACACCTGTATACTATGTACTAGTATTATGTTTTAATGTTATTTGTTGTATAATTCAGACTGCAAATTCTCTAGTTTTATATGGGGAAAAACCTTTTTATACAAAAACATGTAGACAAAGTTATCAAGATAATAATTATCATGGTTCTCACATTTCTGCTTCTAAGTGAGGAGGGTGCTCTGCTCGTCCTGCGAGGGGACTTTGATGGTGAGTAAGATGTATCCTCGTCATCGTTATAAAATTTTTGGTTCTTTTTTCTTATTCTTGGTGGCTAAAACAAAGGAAACAATTTTACATTACATCTATGATAACAATTTCATATCAGTGTTTCTATTCCCATGTGTTCTAGGATGTCACTTTCAAAATATATATGTATAAGGATTCAGTACAGAAAAAATGATAAAACATTTATCATACTTTTATACACTAATTTACAAATAGAAACCCTAAAACAATTTCATTTTGTTTATCAATGTTTTCCAGCAATAAAAGTTACAGATAACAGGAGAAAAGCATTAATTTTATCCTGTTGATATCAAACACAGACAATGCTATGGCTATATTAACTGGATGTCAGTTGTCAATGCCATATATTTATAATATCCCTGTACACCCTATACATGTATGTAGCTACATTTACAATAATTAATAAAACAACATGTCAGGTACATACATAAAATTATTGTAAAACATATGAGATTCTATTGCAATTTTCACCAAAATCATTTGCTAAATTTTCCCTGAAAACATATTATTAGTAAGCTGTCTTACTTTCTCAGATTTTCAATGTCATTAATCTTTAGAACTGATGTTAATATGCTGAATTTGTAAATGATATAAAATGTTCATTTTTATTGCAGTTTCTGTCTTTCCTTAATGTCTGTTATTTGATATGCTGAGTCTGTGTGGCCATGTAAACATTGTAAACATAATCTACCAAATTCCTAGTTTACATGTATATATACATTCTTTATCATACATACATGATACACATGTACAGCATACTTACATTTCGGCTTCGAGGTGGTGATCTGTAAGATGTTCCCTTCCCTGCAAAGGAATATTTAATTTTGTTGCAGGATCAATAATAGCTACAGTATTACTAGCTTAACATGGTCACAGCTGGTGTTAGAATCAATAATATAATTATGAATGAACACCATTGATATTTATTTGCCATAAATCTTGAAAGTTTAGAAAAGTAAGCGAGGTTCAAAGGCGGGTATATGAACCAAGGACACAGGATATAACAATACTGGTTAGAATCGTTGTTGTTGGAAATATTGTTCACAGTATAATTTAAACAATGAATATTCTGCATTTCCTACATCTTAAACAATGATCTTAAATTCAAGTGAAACCCTTTATGCTTACCTTCTTTCAGGCTGACCAAAACCTCAGCTGATGAGCCTACTGAAACAGAGGTATGTCCGTTTTAGCTATATAATTAGTCATTCCCATTATAAAGCTTACTATTATAATCGAGATAACCACTGGATCGTTCGTATATATTATAATACGTAGAGATATGAAAACGTATTACTTAATTTATTAATCTGATGAAGGTGCGTGTGGTATCACCCATACTGTAGACTAATTCACGTGTTGACCTTCCAACGAGATCATCTCCATGCATCGATTTCAGTTGATAGGTTGTATTAAGCCAGAGTATAGTTAATGAAATGGCAAACAAGTCAGCACAAATTATATATGCGTGTATAGGTTGAGGATGTTTCAGAATAAGCATTTTCACACATTTACATGCTAAAAACCTAAGACAATGAAATCGGTTTTGGCCCAAACCCAAATGAAAACAATCATCCCCCCGACCCTCCCACTTCCAAATATCATTTCCCTGCCTAATAACAATTAAACCCTAATCGCCGACGATAAATGGCTACATAGATATGAATAACAATAAAAGTAATCATTAACATTTGAGGATAAAGTTAGAGATATGGTATTAAAGCATGCAAACGATACAAATGTTGAGAAGCGTGGTTACTTTCAAGTGTGTCGTCCGCCATGTTCGTCGCGCCTCTATTTCAAACACCGGAACGTCATGAACGAAGAGCGACAACTCGTAATGTGGTTTTGCAACATTAAAGATGCCTGTACGGCGTCTAAAAAATCGCGTTATCAATCATTATCATTCATGTTTTCATGTTCTCATACTGTCTTACTTTTTAACCACGAAGTTGTATTCATAAAAAGACAAGCAATTATCGATTTTCTTGACAAAAAACTATTTCATTAGATATTGAGGTAAAAAACATACTGGATGCATGTTGTGAGCTTGATACGTTCACAAGTTCTTCTGCAATAAAAAAGAGATCTCTGGTAAGGTCACTTTCTACAAATTTGAAAGTTCGGTTACCAAATAACCAATGCATGTGGATATACAAATACTCTGTTAGTCCAGGGCTTTGCAGTATTGTTGAAGTTCTTAAACATCTGACCCCTGTTGCTTTGAATGCAGGTGAAAAAGAGGTCATCATCAATTTCAGTGCCTCCGCTAGTTTTCGAACGAGGACATCTGCTTTACTAGTCTAACGCTCAACTGATCTAGCTAAATAGAAGAAAGGTATTTTTAGTCGAATTGTTCGAGTGGTATTATGTAGCGAGTACTTTACCAGTCTTGTTTATAAAGGTAAATGTAATTCATTTGATAAAAAAACCCAACAAAACAAGGTAGCTCTTCATCCTATCTCACTACAGACACGATATAATGACCATGTGTATCATGGATATATAGTCAGAATCTTATTTTGAGTCTATATTGTATTGCTGAGTGAGTTGACATTTTCTGGTATTATCTACTTTAGATAAATATTTTCTACATATGTATAATTATTTCAAGCAAAAAAGAAGTGACATGTCTTGAACAAAGTATCCGCATTGACCAGAGACGTATATAACACATATGTGTTATATACGTCTCTGCATTGACCAATGATTAGGGTAATTAAACGGGACGTTGGGGTGGGTTTGGAAGGTATGTGATGGGAGGAGTCTTTTAGTGCATTGCATTGTCCTTCTGTGTACTTCTGATACAGGGAGGAGGTAACTGCGTATAAACTGCATACATTTGGTGTATTAATAAACTAATAATACTACTGATTATAGTAAATCTTGGTTGGTTGGTTGTTTGACATTTTTTCTCTACGACTCCTCCCGTTTCCAGGTTTTGTCTCACCGAGTCGTCAGTGTTCTGGCGACGTCAATTTATCACAGAGCACGGTGGTGGATCTTTAAAATGATGCGTTTTTTCTAAGGGAGACAACTCCCAGCATTCCTACTCGATGTTTTGCTTCAGTCTAATGTTTGTGAAGTGAATAAAACAGGACATTAGGTGAGCAATTGTGATTTATAGATGTCTATGATGAGTAAATGATGTGAGTATGAGGTTTTATCATCTTCCTTAATGTACAAAGATTTTAAGTACTAGATTGTTCTAACTTAGTAGCCAAACATTTGATAAGCCTCCACACCAGTCTTGGCAGTAAACGTGACATCAGATGCAAGTTGTTACCCCAATATCTGATATCATAGAAATGGGACGTTCTATATGTGTCTAGTTGATTAATATAAGAAAAACAGCAGGTATCATATACACGTTTATGATATGGAACGTCTGATTACTTTGATAATATCACTTAGGCTTGATTGTCACGAGTCGTACAGCAATATATAAATATCATATAGACGCATGTGTAATTACACTGTTGTACAACATTATAAGTACATCACATTTTTATTGTCTCGGTTGTGGCTGACATACCATTCACTTCAAAGTAGTCTATGTAGGGAAATTGATTCGTGAGTTTTTTGCTTATTTTTCAGATATACAGGTTATATGATAAACAGAATCTTACACTCGTGGCGATATGTCTATATTGAACTTATTTAACTTATATGGAAATGATTGATATGCCACTTGCCTTAAGCCTTATGGTCATAACATATCAAATTATTGAACTTGTTTAATAACTTAACTGGCCTGTTGTGTCATGTCATATAAACATGTCATGAATACTGTAAGACAAACATGTATAATAACCTATTGTGACATAATAAATAGGTTATATATTGATGATTGTCTCGATAGTGAATAAGGCAACACCTTTTTGATAAAAAACACCTGCACTGCATGTAGGTTTAAATGGACCATATTAAATGAATATAAGGCTGAATTTTGAAAACCAAAGGTATATATGTTTTTTATAACTTTATCCAGTTTCAAAAACGTGGAATTTCAGGACAAATGCAGTATGGTACAGTGTGGTATTTATCCTGATCTCCAAATGCAATATATAATATAAATAATTAAGAGTTACCTCCACATACAAGAGAAAGATGATTTCCTTGTTTAATTAAGTGGTCATGATAAATCCTAATTAGTTGACAAAGTTAAACAGGATTTCCATTGTTTAACAAGTAAACAAAAAATGCCTTTGGTGTAATTTTGGGTCATGAGAATGATTATGAAAAACAGTTGAAAATAAAACCACTTTGTTTTGTATTCAGGTCACACTGTTTCCTAATGAACAAGACGTAGGGAGTTGAATTACGATTGCTACCAGTGCAGGCTATGTCCGACATATCCCTGTCACCGACACCGTCCCAGGAAAACCTTGCCAATACAATGGACGCTTCCATGTACAATGCAATTGACACATTTATGGCCAATGAAGAACAGTCCTATGATGATTTTATGAAACAGTTTACACATTTAACAAAAGGTAATGATAGATTTGTAACCAATTAATGAATGGTAGTCTGCAACATGTATGTGCAGATCTACATAACAGTTTACATGGATCTCATAATAACCTCATCTCCTGCCTCATCATTAATTGTCTTTTAAAAAACCTGTTATTTTTTAGATGATGTTAAAGCAGAGATGCTTAGAAAGCGAGAAGTCATGTTTAAGAAAATGAAAGAATCTAATTCTAAGTCTGTAGCTGAGAGTAGCAAGCAGTGTAGCGTACCTAAGGATGTTAGTGACACCTGCCCAGGTGTGTTTACTGGGGAGGTGGAGGAGCTGGAGGAGGAGGAGGTATGTCTGTTCTTGTTAACACTACATAAGGGGAAGTAATCTTGTCAGAAAATGTGATACAATTTTTAAATTTTGAATGACACCAAGTTTAGACATATATTCATGGAACAAATTGAAATAGGCAGTGATTACTTTCACACCCACCCTTTTATGACTTGAGATACCACAAGGACATTGAACCTGGAGCACAACATTAATGGTTACGATGTGTAAGTAGCTGGAATTACTTAAGTTCCAAGGGAAATCAGTGTTTTTCTGAGAAATGAAGTGTTGTTATATAAATCTATTGATGTACATTCTAAAAGCACAACAGCTACATTTTAGTTGTGACAAAGGATATTAATGGGAACATCGTTCATAGAGTGTATACAATTTGTATATATTTCTAAATATATATATGTATATAGTTCTGAAAGATTGTTTTATACATGTTCAATCTATTTTGTTTTTGTTTTTGTTTGAGTTCTGTTGTATTCTGATAAAATATTGGTAAAATAGTGACAGAAAAATTATATCAAATTTAAACTCTAAATAAATGGTTAGAGGGAAAAGTCAATCTTTTTATTTTAACAAATGTCTATGTTGATATATGAATGGAGTCTGATTTACATGAACAGGTGCTGGAATTTGGAACCAGTAGCAGTATAATGACAAGTGGAGTTAACAATGGACCTAAACAGTCCGTGGTAAAGGTAAGGAACATACAAGGATCACTTAGCACAAGCTCTGGTTTAGAACACCTTAGATTACCACTGTTTATCTATAGGCACATTATTATAGCTTCAGAAATGATTGGGGCCATGGTAGATGTCACCCCTGATATTATTTTACCAGTTATATTTACAAAGGTCAAGGTAATTCATTTGGAGAAAAAAAAATGGTAGACCTTCATCCCAGCACACTACAGACATGATATAAGGACCCTGGGTATCTTGTATATATAGTCAGAATCTATTTTGGGTCTATAATTTATTGCTGAGTGAGTTGACATTTTCTGGTATTATCAACTTTAGATAAATAATTTCTACATATGAAACTGACTAGATATTTTATCAGTGGCTGTCAGTTGATTGGTCCATTCATATGTCCATTTGTTTGTTCATTCACTCTTTATCTCTGGATTTATCTTGAATTTCAGAAATTCTCAATGTTTTTAAAATCTTCCATGCTGCTTTAAGTGTAATTTGCAAACTTACCAATAGATTCAAAGTTGATGCCACCTTCTACAAATAGAATACAGACTGTCAGGTACACAGGATAATTATCAATATAAAGATATTTCCCTATGTGTTTGATTGTTATTTCATACTAAATCTGCTTATTCATAGTTAAAGAAATAAAATTGCACATATGCTTTAAGCATAGTTAAATTAATTCCATGTTCAATTTGAGTGATCATTTGTACATGTATGTACTTGATCATTGATCTGGTTGTCAGGCCATAATTTGAAGAAGACATAAAAATGTCATAACCCAACATTTATCTATAGATATGATAATGAACATTTATACAAATACATGTATGGTATGCAATGCCATTCTGAAGAAAATGTTTTGTGAATGAAAGATTGAAACAAATACAGATGAATACACAGTATACTGACCATGACTTATTCAACCACATTGTATGGCCTTGGTGTAGTGATCATTTGATTTAGGTACAGATATCTACATCACAAGTTTACAAAAAGAAGGTATTGTGGTACATTTTATTTAATAGCCTAATAGGTTTGGGATCCACAGCAATAATTCAGCACATCTCGGTATAGTTAACCTTATAGTTTTGGGATCCACAGCAATAATTCAGCACATTTCAGTATAGATAACCTTATAGGTTTTAGGATCCACAGCAGTAATTCAGCACATCTCAGTATAGATAACCTTATAGGTGTGGGATCCACAGCAGTAATTCAGCACATCTCAGTATAGATAACCTTATAGGTTTGGGATCCACAGCAGTAATTCAGCACATCTCGGTATAGATAACCTTAAAGGTTTGGGATCCACAGCAGTAATTCAGCACATCTCGGTATAGATAACCTTATAGGTTTTAGGATCCACAGCAGTAATTCAGCACATCTCGGTATAGATAACCTTAAAGGTTTGGGATCCACAGCAGTAATTCAGCACATCTCGGTATAGATAACCTTATAGGTTTGGGATCCACAGCAGTAATTCAGCACATCTCAGTATAGATAACCTTATAGGTTTGGGATCCACAGCAGTAATTCAGCACATTTCAGTATAGATAACCTTATAGGTTTTAGGATCCACAGCAGTAATTCAGCACATCTCGGTATAGATAACCTTATAGGTTTGGGATCCACAGCAGTAATTCAGCACATTTCAGTATAGATAACCTTATAGGTTTTAGGATCCACAGCAGTATTCCAGCACATCTCGGTATAGATAACCTTATAGGTTTTAGGATCCACAGCAGTAATTCAGCACATTTCAGTATAGATAACCTTATAGGTTTGGGATCCACAGCAATAATTCAGCACATCTCGGTATAGATAACCTTATAGGTTTGGGATCCACAGCAGTAATTCAGCACATCTCGGTATAGATAACCTTATAGGTTTGGGATCCACAGCAGTAATTCAGCACATCTCAGTATAGATAACCTTATAGGTTTTAGGATCCACAGCAATAATTCAGCACATCTCGGTATAGATAACCTTATAGGTTTTAGGATCCACAGCAGTAATTCAGCACATCTCAGTATAGATAACCTTATAGGTGTGGGATCCACAGCAGTATTCCAGCACATCTCGGTATAGATAACCTTATAGGTTTGGGATCCACAGCAATAATTCAGCACATCTCAATATAGATAACCTTATAGGTGTGGGATCCACAGCAGTAATTCAGCACATCTCAGTATAGATAACCTTATAGGTTTGGGATCCACAGCAGTAATTCAGCACATCTCGGTATAGATAACCTTATAGGTTTGGGATCCACAGCAATAATTCAGCACATCTCAGTATAGATAACCTTATAGGTTTTAGGATCCACAGCAGTAATTCAGCACATCTCGGTATAGATAACCTTATAGGTTTGGGATCCACAGCAGTAATTCAGCACATCTCAGTATAGATAACCTTATAGGTTTGGGATCCACAGCAATAATTCAGCACATCTCAGTATAGATAACCTTATAGGTTTGGGATCCACAGCAGTAATTCAGCACATCTCGGTATAGATAACCTTATAGGTGTGGGATCCACAGCAGTAATTCAGCACATCTCAGTATAGATAACCTTATAGGTTTGGGATCCACAGCAATAATTCAGCACATCTCAGTATAGATAACCTTATAGGTTTGGGATCCACAGCTGTATTTCAGCACATCTCGGTATAGATAACTTTATAGGTAATTCAGCACATCTCTGTATAGATAACCTTATAGTTTTGGGATCCACAGCAGTAATTCAGTACATCTCAATATAGATAACCTTATAGGTTTGGGATCCACAACAGTAATTCAGCACATCTCAATATAGATAACCTTATAGGTTTGGGATCCACAGCAGTAATTCAGCACATCTCAGTATAGATAACCTTATAGGTGTGGGATCCACAGCAGTAATTCAGCACATCTCAGTATAGATTACCTTATAGGTGTGGGATCCACAGCAGTAATTCAGCACATCTCAGTATAGATAACCTTATAGGTGTGGGATCCACAGCAGTAATTCAGCACATCTCGGTATAGATAACCTTATAGGTGTGGGATCCACAGCAGTAATTCAGCACATCTCAGTATAGATAACCTTATAGGTTTGGGATCCACAGCAGTAATTCAGCACATCTCGGTATAGATAACCTTATAGGTTTGGGATCCACAGCAGTAATTCAGCACATCTCTGTATAGATAACCTTATAAGTTAGGGATCCACAGCTGTTTTTCAACACATCTCAATATAGATAACCTTATAGGTATGGGATCCACAGCAGTAATTCAGCACATCTCTGTATAGATAACCTTATAGGTGTGGGATCCACAGCAGTAATTCAGCACATCTCGGTATAGATAACCTTATAGGTGTGGGATCCACAGCAGTAATTCAGCACATCTCAGTATAGATAACCTTATAGGTTTGGGATCCACAGCAATAATTCAGCACATCTCGGTATAGATAACCTTATAGGTGTGGGATCCACAGCAATAATTCAGCACATCTCAGTATAGTTAACCTTATAGGTTTGGGATCCACAGCAGTAATTCAGCACATCTCGGTATAGATAACCTTATAGGTTTGGGATCCACAGCAGTAATTCAGCACATCTCGGTATAGATAACCTTATAGGTTTGGGATCCACAGCAGTAATTCAGCACATCTCGGTATAGATAACCTTATAGGTTTGGGATCCACAGCAGTAATTCAGTGGTAACAGATCAGTCTTTGACATTATTTTGAATTGTTCCATTATTTCAGTTTGACAACTTTGTTGAGATAGATGAAGATGATGAAGATTTATTGGAGGGTAGTGGTTATGTTGCCAGTTTTGCTGAACAAGACCCCAATCTGAAATCAGAAGGTTTGTATGTTCTCTTGTTTGTAATCTGAAATCTTTCTCTTTTGTTTGTCATGGTATTGGCCATAAAAGTGCCCTTATTGTCAAAAGTTTCTTCTAGATAATCTTACATACCAGTTTATTTTGCAATTTTTTTTGTAAAAATTTAGAAAGAAAAAACTGCCATAAAAGTATTTGAATAAAAGATAGACATTTGGGTTTTTAAATATACATAGAAAATTTGTATGGACCTAAGAGATGGCAAGGTACAAATTATAAAACACAGAGTTTTACTGGTGTTCAGACATCGTGTTATAGTCATACATCATGGTTATAGTGTACTATGTATTTGACATTCTTTTTTTATTACATTAGTGTTAAGGGAAGGATAGAACATTTTTTTTTATAAAATTGTGTTTGTGATATACACCTGTAATAATAATACAATATTTTATTTAAGTTACAGAACCGAGCTTGCTTGATCAGGAGCAGACAGATACCAAGGAAACTGAAAGCCAAAGGGAGATAACTCCTGCATCTTTAGCTGTTATAGAGCCGAACGCTGAGATAGGCTCTGCTGAATGTGGTGTCCTTAATCCTGGGGAAGTGGAAGACCTGCCATCCATAGAGCCAGTCATACAGAAGGACCAAACACTCAACTTCTCCGCCAAATTCATGGAGGGAGCACCAATCGAGGAGGATCAACAGGTATTGGTAAAATAAGAATGTTACTGACTTTGTGTAGTGGTCAAGTGCAAGCTCAATGTTTTAGAAGTTAAAAAAATTATATCAGAGTTATAAACACTGTGAAATTAACAGTCATCCAATCAGAAGATTATTAAAAGATAAACGTATGATTTAAGTTTTAGCTGACTATCGGGACGAGAAATTAAAATAATTTGAAAAATGTAGGTTTGTAAAAGATTATATTAACACAGATGAAGGATAACATCAGTATCCATAACCAGAATGAAAAATATGGAAAACATAGAAGAACAAGTCACATTATTATCCACGACCAGAATTAAGATATGGGAAAGATGGGAGAACAAGTTACATTATTATCCAAAACTAGAATAAAAAATATGGAAAAGATAGAAGAACAGGTCACATTATTATCTAAAACAAGAATAAAAAAAATATGAAATTCAGAAAATGGTTTGAAAACAAGTCCTATTAATATCCAGAACAAGAATGAAAAATACGGAAAAGATTTTCCTGTGCTGCTACATTCTTAATTTTTATAAGACGTATTGTTTAAATGTTGTGTCATCATGTTGCTTGTTCAGTATTTCACCTTTCTTTGTATTTCGAAAGAAATTTCAAACATCAGTAAAAATTCCAAATAAATTTTCTAGATTTTTCATTGGCGTGTCTTGGGCCTAAGTTGAACTATCACAGAAGTTTTCTTGGTTTTTCGAGGATGTTTATTCTTTGTTCATTGATCCACATTTTCTTGATATTGTACACAGGTGATCCATTTACAAGTGTAATAACATCAAGTTATATCATTTTAATGATTTAATGCCTTCTAAAGATAGACATCTGGGAAAAATATTTCAAAGATTCTTGAATTAAAAACATGCACAAAATTTGAGCAGGTTTATTGCTGCATTAAAACCACTGCAGCAGCTGTAGTAGGGATAAAAACATCTCTGTTTACACTGGATACACAAGGTGAAACTTCTTTTGATAGGATACATTCCTGGCAAGTGAATGTGTTACAACCGCTTACAGTACACTGCATGATGATGAAACATCATTATTTATAAAAAAAAAAGTATCATTTACCAGTTTTAAAAAAACCCTGAAAAGAATATTTTCAAGCATATTTAGAGTTACATATAGGTAGGGGCATTTTGTATGATAACTTTAAAGGTTGAATCAGGCTCTATGAATAAGGCTTTGAATATACATTTGCATATATCGAAAGGAATTTCCAGCATCTGTATATAAGTATGCCAGTTAATGACTAAATATCCTCCCTCCCCCCTCCTCCCTCCCCCTCCCCTTAGTCTGTGTTTTTCCTAGATGATACTTGTTACTGTATTTATTATGGATGACACTTTTGTTGATATGGAAACAAGATATTGACAGTATTTGAAAAAGAATCGTCACCTCTAAGAGTTTGCGATGTCTTTGTCACACCTATTGATTTTAAACCTGAGATATTTCGCTGTATGTTAACAATCCTGGTATTTCTTTATAATGTTATTATTGTTTATATATACACACTTTCCCATACTAGTATATATGCTCTACTCCTTAAAATGTCCAAAAGCTGTAGTGGTCTGTTTTGTGAATAAAATAAATAATTTTCCAAGGCCTGTATACAGTAGAAAAATGATAACAGTGACAGTACAATTCTGATTTAGTTATTCCATACCTTTGATCAGTATAGATCTCTATTTTATAATTGATATAACAAAAATCAACAAAACTACTTAGGGTTTTTCTTTAAAAAGAAATTGTAATTAATTGAACTGCCTTTTTTTCAAAATGTATTTCTTAAAATAATTTTTATAACACAAGGAAAGGATTTTGGTCAAGGACAAGAAATCTTTTATTGAAATATTTTTAGTTTCTTTAACTTTAATTAGAGAACGTATTATTAGGTGTTTGTAATGTGTAATGGAGAATTAGAGATTTTTGGGAGAAGTGTTAAAAATAGTGGAGGGACAAATTATAATCCCTTATCACTATAGCTTATACTTTTATGTAAACTGTAAAATATTGAAATTTCTTAACTGCTGCTAACTTCAATCTTAACCATTGAATGGATTAATTCCTGAATGAGAAATAATTTTCATAAGAATACAAAATTGAAGTTTGATCCACAACACATTAATTCTAACATATTAAAACAAAAAATGTGAAAGAACTACCCACCCACCGCCGTAAAGAAAAATGAACATGTTGCATGAGGATGTAATAATGAACATAATATGAAGATTTCATAATCCGTTTTGGTGAAGAATTATCTCCAGATACAAAGCGTAAGAAAAATGTAAAAAATGTAGAAAAAAATTAAAGAAATATTTTTTCTTATTTATTTGATATGGTTTGGTGAAAGTTAGCCGTATTTCCATCCTGTAACTGCCCTGAGAGATGTGTGTTATCTTTAATACACAAGTGTTCACATGTCTATATGTATATAAATGTCAACGCCTCGGTGTAACCATGTCTCTTACGGGGATCTGCAACAGCAAAGTTAATGGCAAGAGTTAGGTCCAAGTCTTGATGTCATTTGCTGCTGTTACCGACAAAAGTAGGTCAAATAATTTACATAATAAAATAACTACAAATTAGACAGTGAAAAAGAGGGAAACTTTCCTGTTCTGGTAAAAAGAAAGATACACACAATTCGAATGCTGAATGTTAATCTTTATTGGGTTTAACAAACTAGAATTTGGTTCAGAATTGAAGGTATTAAAATTGCTAGTCCGTATGCATCAAAATTAGCATACATTTTATCAGGATAGAATAGCAGCAAATCGTATTAATGCATTGCCAGGTTAATTTTTTTTTCTCTTAAGCTCTGAAATAAATTTTATTACGAGGCAGCTTGTAATGCTATTAAACGTCACATGGTTTACATAAAATGATATTAGGAGTAACGGGCCACACACCCTCTGCTGACATCACTACCCTATGGACTTGTCCCAATTGAATTGAATTTTTATGATTTTTAACTACCAGGTACCATCATTTTACGGCTGTAGTACACAGAACACCTATCCAAAGGACACGGATAAGATAGATTTCTGTCAACCTGTACTTTACAGTTCAATTGAAATGCTGGTCTGTTCGTTAATCTATTGTCTTCTTGTTCCTGAAAAGAGAATTTTTTCATAAAAATTTTGAATTTCCAAAAAAAAAAAAAAAAAAAGAAAGGGTTCAAAACAAAAAATATTCAAAATTAGAGAATTTGATTACCTGCACCATGAAAAATACAGACATATCATGAAATGTCAACGACTAGAGAGTCTGTCCCAAACTTCACTTAACAGACAATGGGACATTTCATTTCACATTTCAATTCAAGTTAAAAGAAAAATTGCCATATGACAGGACATTAATCATTTCAGATTTTGGTAAGGATTAAGATGTGATTTTAAAGTGGTTGATCACTGCTCTGTTTGAGACATGGCTGGTTGAAACAATTAAGCTGAATTGATATGATGCTAGGTATTATTGGTCAGTTTCTTCTTCTTTCGACATGTAAATGCTTGATTCATGATATTCCAGGGCCAACCTCTTACTGTTGTCTGAAAACATTCCTCTCACATTATCATAGCTTTGGACTGGTCATTGAATGATATTAAGAGCTACAGAGGTTTACTACCAATGATACCATACCAAGTTCTGTGAGATTATTAGGATCAATATGGTATTTATCATTTTTTAACACACAGGGATGCATGCTGTTTCAAGAAATTACATGTTATCCCAGTATTTGAAAAACCAAATGCTGCCTTCATCCCCATTTTTTATGATTTATGTCTCGTCTTAATTTCTTGTTTCACCTGCTGTTCAGCTAAGTGTCCAAACCATAGCCTCTGAGTCGGGGATGGGCTTAAAACAGAACATTAGTGGGCTAACTTATTACCTCTGACTCATAGTCAGGAGTGGGCTTAAAACAGAACATTAGTGGGCTAACTTATTACCTCTGACTCATAGTCAGGAGTGGGCATAAAACAGGACATCAGAGGGCTAGCATATTACCTCTGACTCATAGTCAGGAGTGAGCATAAAACAGGATATCAGAGGGCTAGCATATTACCTCTGACTCATAGTCAGGAGTGAGCATAAAACAGGATATCAGAGGGCTAGCATATTACCTCTGACTCATAGTCAGAAGTGGGCATAAAACAGGACATCAGAGGGCTAGCATATTACCTCTGACTCATAGTCAGGAGTGGGCATAAAACAGGACATCAGAGGGCTAGCATATTACCTCTGACTCATAGTCAGGAGTGAGCATAAAACAGGATATCAGAGGGCTAGCATATTACCTCTGACTCATAGTCAGAAGTGGGCATAAAACAGGACATCAGAGGGCGATCATATTACCTCTGACTCATAGTCAGAAGTGAGCATAAAACAGGACATCAGGGGGCAAGCATATTACCTCTGACTCATAGTCAGTAGTGGGCATAAAACAGGACATAGGAGGGCTAGCATATTACCTCTGACTCAAAGTCAGGAGTGGGCTTAAAACAGGACATCAGAGGGCTAGCATATTAACTCTGATTCATAGTCAGGAGTGGGCTTAAAACAGGACATCAGAGGGCTAGCATATTACCTCTGATTCATAGTCAGGAGTGGGCTTAAAACAGGACATCAGAGGGCTAGCATATTACCTCTGATTCATAGTCAGGAGTGGGCTTAAAACAGGACATCAGAGGGCTAGCATATTACCTCTGACTCAAAGTCAGGAGTGGGCTTAAAACAGGACATCAGAGGGCTAGCATATTACCTCTGATTCATAGTCAGGTGTGGGCTTAAAACAGGACATCAGAGGGCTAGCATATTACCTCTGATTCATAGTCAGGAGTGGGCTTAAAACAGGACATCAGAGGGCTAGCATATTACCTCTGATTCATAGTCAGGAGTGGGCTTAAAACAGGACACCAGAGGGCTAGCATATTACGGCTGACTCATACATAACATATGACAAAATGTTAGGGATGGGATTATAAAAGGAC